GTTGAGCTTCTTTAAGCTTCCAGCTTCCGCTACCGCTTCGGCTTCCGACCCCTGGTCTTTACACATGATTCAACATCACATAAAACAGTTGCAAGCCTTTCATTGAAATCTGACGTTAATTGCAACCATGAAAAGGTTATTGAGTTGCATTGAATTAAAGACACGCAAGACAAAATTTTTTTTCGCTTGCATATTTTAACTTCATGGGACTTCTTCATGACAAAACGCTGTAAGACGCTTGCTTACAATATTTGGGTCAGCTTCTTTTCTTTTCTTTTTTGTTGTTAAGTAATGTCTTGAGTACTAGCATTAATATTGATTGTGAACGGATGAGAAATGAATGAAAATGCGCAAACAACGGCCGAAAGTAAAAGAAGAAAAATTTATTTTTATTGCATCGTCTCAAAATATTTATGAGAAAAATCATACACAGTCGTTTGTTATATATTCAACATCAATGGAATTCAATTTTAAAGGAAGCATTGTATTCGTTTTATCAGAATTTATTTTTGAAAGTTTCTTTCAGGATACACAAGACATAAAGACGAGAGTTATTTTATTGGCAATGACCAGACGAAGTTGTAATCGATTTGGTGATTCTTTTTTTATTGTAATTTATTTTATAATCTTAACGTGAGTTAAATGCTTTACAATGAGCTGTCACGGATTCATTAAAATTCGTCAATTTATCCAAGTTTCGATGATATTTTACATCGCTAACTGGGAACGTTCAAAAATCATGTTTATGTTTATGTTTAAAATCGCGTATTGATATCATTGATAAATAAAATTTAATCTACTCATAAATTCCTTGTTACAACTACTTTATCTACATAAGCCAATTGATGTTAATGTAATAATCGTAAATATTTTCATTCACTTCTCAGTCAATTGATAAAAAAATAATTTATAATTATTAATCTCATCTTGAGACTTCATTTGCAAGATGACGAAGAGGCATAAACATGAAGACCATCAAAGGAAAAAGAAATATGTACAATAAAAGTCTAATTCAACAGCATAAATTCGTTTGAACTTCCTTTACTTACTCTAATTGATCACGTCGTCAACATTTCCATCAACTTTATGCCGCATCTTCACTTTGATTCAACATCAACATTAATTTCAACATCAACATTATAATTATTTGTAGGAAAAAAAAGAAAAGAAAGAGACTTTGAGTGTCTAAGCTTTTCAATCGCTAATGCGAGAGATGAGATGAAGAGGTTGTCGTTTATCGTGAATGGATGTGATTACATACAACATTGGCGGATATTTTTAAAAACTCATTAAAGTTTTATGATATTTTTCATTACGCAAAACTTTTATTTTCCTCGTGAAATTTCATGGTACAATCGACTGATTGGTAGTTAAAATTGAAAACAAAGCATTGCATTGGCAAATGTTAACGATGATAAAACTTATTGTGGTTCTCAGCAAAGATTCAGCAAACTTATCGTGTAGCTTACATATTGAAATGTTAAACTGAAATGATTTATGTTAGTAGTCATTAACCCCAATATTTTTGTTTTCCTCCCCCTCCATTAATTTGTAGCGCAAGATGAAATTATTTAGCAATATTCGTGGAATGCAGAGCTTCTCATAAAGATCTTCTCTCTTTGAACATTTTGTTTGTGATATACTCTTCCTTCTGACTAGAAAATAATTCAAGATAAAGTGAAGTCATTAAGCTGTAAGATTAACTAGACGAACAAGAAAGTGTAAAGTTTCATATTCCGTGTATTCAAATTTTCGAACAGTTGTGGTCAAGCAAATAAAACTGACCACATGTTTATTGCAGTATGTTAATGTAAATGTCTATATTCGAAGATTTTTCAGAAAAAAATTGTTGAACAACGTTAAAGAAATATTTATAAGTCTTAAGCTTATTTTCCTTCAAAATAAATTTTATCCACAAATGCTGATTCATCAACCCTAATAAAAAAAACAAAAGATGATGTTTCATTAATCAACGACAATAAAATGCAAAAGCATCGCAGTAAATGATTGATTGCATAACTGTCACTAAATGATCATTGAATATTTTTCATAATCAAGTTCAACAGAATTTTTAATTCCCTTTTACAACAGCTACGATTACTGTTAGCTTTGTCTGCATAATTTCTAACATTCTTAGACTTCTCCAATGACCCAGAATGTTTAATTCATTCTTAAATTGCTTTTCAATCGATAAAGACTGGAACGTTTTATCGAATTCTCTTAAAATGCTTTCAATTCTTCGATTATACAATTTTTCAAATCACTTAATGATTCTCATTTTTAATCCATTCAGTTATGAAAAAGAAGCTTATGAATTGACACACATTCAAGACAACAAAAGTATCCAACAGTTCTTGTTGTATCGGACTGTGTTAAAGAATGAATGAAGAAAACAAATCGCCGGTTGATTAAGCTATTAAATTCCGATTACACTTCTTACATCACCACATTGTTATTAATTTGTAATTCGTTTAAACTTTTTGTTTCATATTTTAAAAATCTGAGTTTTGAAGCAAGTTTGAGGCATGAAATGTTAGCAGACGGCAACAAAAAAGAAACTAAGCAGAACGTAAGCTTTCATATATGTTAATAAATGTCAGTCCCACGGTTACGAGGTTGAATAAATGTCTAAGTTTTGATGCAAATATTGAATTCAAAGAAAACTCGCATCAATTTATTTCGATTTGTTTCACATTTGAAAACATTACTGTTTTCTGCACCTTTTCAAATTCGTGATCTTCAATCATACTTTGACGTCTAGAAACTTCAATAAGCGGTTCTAGAGATGATCCGGAATCAGTAACATCGATTGATGTTGTTTCAAGGAAATCTGATGATCGTTTGATTCTCTCGACATATGCTTTCGGTGGTTTTTCGGCACGCTCACTTTTCTTCTGATTGTACAAGAATTTAAACAATTTTTTAAACATTTTTATTATTGAAAAGTTTTTAATGTTTTTTTTTAAATGTTATTCGATCTAAAATCTTTTGCCCGTTTCTTTGGTAACTTTTCTATTCGAAATATTTTTTAATTCATCAAAGGAACCTTGAAAGTTCCAAAAAAAATTAATTTTCATTCCTTTTTCCGATCTCTTTTGAAGAAGACGTTTTAAAATTAATAAATTGAAAATGGAGCATTTAGTCAAATCTGAATCATCAAAAACAGGCAAGCAATCTCCTGAAAACTCTACAGATGAACAAACACCGGCTTGTAATATTGCTGAACAACTCATGGATCTTCAAATCGAAGTTGACGATCTCATAGCTCACTCATCTGGCATTCCCGAATGTAAAAACGCAGTTAAAAAATTAAAAGACATAAAAGCAACGATTGAGAAGTGTTTGGAGAAAAATTTGAATCCAGAAACCAAAGCAAAAACCCTTTGGAAACGAGTGTTGGGTCGTGTCGACAAGAAAGCTGCAAGAACTACTGAACCAGGAAGACAAGAAATTGAACATTCAGTAACGCATTATGAACCTCGTTATGATGATTATAATGACTCAAATGGACGTTTCACTCCATTCATTGATGATTCAATATTATTTGGGATCGATTTGATACTGCGACTATGCAGTCACATAAAAAGAACTTATCGACTTATTTTTAGTAATGAATAAAATTGTGAAGTTTTCAGTAAGCTTTGTTAAATTTCTCATTTTCAATTTGCGAGAATAAATTTAAGAGTTTTGAGATTTGTTAGAACTTTTTGATTTTAAATAAATTTGAAATGGAAAAGAAATCATCACAGGTTAAAAACCACAAAAATTTAGATGTCAAATCCAATCAGAAAATTAAAACAAAGCCAGAAACAACAGCTCAACCAGCTCACCATTCGCAAGCTTGCAACATCATGTATGACGTAGAGAAATTAAAAACGCAACTTGATGCACTCTTTGAAGGTAACCCAAATGATCCTGAATATCAAAATAATGCAAATAAATTAAAAGAAATCAAAACATTTCTTGAAAATGAAACAAATGATTCGACGAGACAGGAAAATCCTTCAAAAATATTTCCAGACATCATCAATGTTAATTTAGACGAAAGTCTGCTTTGCGTCGTTGATCAAATTATAAAATTGTATGAAGTTATGAAAGAATATTTTCAAAATCAAAGACAATAAAAAATTTTCCTTATAAAAAATAATTAAAAGTTGTGAATAAATTCAAATTAATTTCAGCAATGGAAAGTTTTGCAATAACAAATAATGGCAGAGATATTTGCAGAGATGGGCATTGGTCATGATTTGGCTTATATGTACTTTGTTTATTCATCATTCCCAGTTCTGACTTTATGTTTGCTTTCACGTTTGAGCATGAGCTATGAACTCATAATAACTATATTAAGTATACTAGACATGATATTGACATAAAAAATTAATGAAATAAAACTTTAATGCCTAAGTCATTCATATAAAATTTGTTTTGACGAATTTCAATCTATCAGTTTGTTAAAATTTGAAGCAATGAACAGGTTGTTCCTTGTAGGAATTATTTTAAATATAATAAAGTTATACATTGCACAGTATGAAACTTGTGATTTATTTGAAATCTGTTCGTCTAATGCAACTGTTCATCCAAGCGAGGTAATTTCAGTCGTAATTAGTTACCAAAGAATTTTATAAATATTTGTGCATGTTGCTACATAGTAGCTCTTAGGAATTTATTATATGAACCAACTTCTTGCAAGATCTTTCCTTCTGGGAACATCTTGTACCTACATCAATATTTCTGCACCTGAGAAAGAAAATATGAATTACAAGCAACACTTTGCAATTACCGAAGTTGTGTAAGTTAAATCAAAACTTTATTGTTTTGTGATGAATTTTAGAATTTCCTATATTTAGGAATGGAAAACAGCGAGTTTCTGATGGATATCTTTACTCAAATGAGACACATATTCGTACCGTTCAAACCGCTTGTCAGTTTTTATAATTACAAATGAAGTTACCTTGAAAAGTTATTAAATTTTACTTCCTTTCCAGTGCAACTTCCAATTGATGGACGATTCTTCTCCTTCAATCCTGGTTAATATAAGATAATTTATGAGTTATTTTTATACAATATTTAAGTTTTCCTTTCATAAAAATGTAGATTATTTTGCTTTCATGGGTTGTCGAGACTGTGGTTATTTTAGAAAAGGAGGAACAGGAGGTTTCCGTCATTTTTAAACATTCGTATACAATAATGTTAATTACTTTGTTTTCAGTATTCGTGAATGTTTGGTCCAGACTTGTTTATCCCAAATGCATCGATATGGATCCAATTATTGCATCTCTGAATGCTTGTGGAATACCAAGCTCTCTTTTGGTACACGTAGATCATACTAATTGTGAAAAGAAATGTTAACAATAAATTTCCATTTTTATTCGAGTAGTCTAGAAGAAGATAAATTCTCAGAAATTCTTATTGGTTTTATTTAATTTAGTTGTGTCGACAAGAAAGCTGCAAGAACTAATGAACCTGGAAGACAAAATATTGAACATTCAATAACATATTTTTAACCTCGTGATGATGACGACACAATATTATTTGGAATGAATACTTCGCTCCTTCAGACAGTTTTATCTTTAGCAAATTTTTCGCTGAGATTAAAAGTACTGAAATGTCTCTTTGTCTCGAGTTGGATACTTATATAGATATCAAAACCGAGAACCGATAATCGGCTGTTTTTTTCGGTTATTTCGAGTACTACCGTCTTTTGCGGAACTGGACCCACGTGCTTTATACTCGGGTTTTTGCAAAAACGTCATTTGAACCGAATAAAAAGCACTGTTTGGGAAAACGACGGAAATTAAAGCACCCCCCGAAAATAAAGCACTACTTTGTAATTTCCCGTTACAGAACGATAGAAAAATAAACAAGAATGAAAGTTAATAAAAGAGACACCAGAAATGCCTTCAACCTTTCTGTAATGAAACGCTCGTTTTCGCTTTTTTCACTGATTTGTTTTGTTTTGGGGGTTTTGTGTTGAGTGTTTGCAAAACGACGGAAATTAAAGCACCCCACGAAAATAAAGCACATGTGCTTTATATTTTTAATATAAAGCACGTGGGTCCAGTTCCGCAAAAGACGGTAGATACTTAGATACTTTTTCTTCTCAAGGATTACTTCTTCGTTCGAACAAATCCAAAAGTCTTATTTTGCTCTCATTTAAAAACCTCATAGTTCCAGCTCAAGTACTGGAACATCACAAACGAACAATTATTCTTCTTCAATGTCCATTCATTATTATCTGTTAATATTATACTTTGCCATTCATATGAGTCGCCTCTTTGTTGCTGTATGACTTTATTTATTGTTTTAATGACTGTTTATTTTAAGCCAAATGAGAATAAAAAAAAGAATTCTCGAGTTTCTTTTTTCTGCTTCATTTTATGCGTTTTTAATTNAGCCAAAATATCTTTTTTTTGAAGTTTTTGTATATTTTTGAGTCAGAAGCAAGCAAAGTGCAATAAATGTATTAGGGAAAGAGTGGAAATACGCACATCAAGCATTCTTTTTTATTTTTTATGTTGAAAAAATTAAATTTTTATCACTATTTTAAGATTTCGGTTAACCTACTTTTCTTTGTTTCGGTTACTAGGTTAACCGAAATCTTAAAAATACCGGTTAAAAAATATCCAACTTGGATATATATATATATCCTTCCTATATGAAAAATAAAATTATACGAAATTACCTATGAAAGAATATTTTCAAAATCAAAGACAACAAAGATCTTTTCTTTTAAAAAATAATTAAAAATTGTGAACAAATTCAAATCAATTTCAGCAATAAAGATTTTACAATAACAAATAATTGCAGTCTGTAGATAACGTCAAACATTATTTGCAGAGATGGGCATTGGTCATGATTTGGCTTATTCTTTGTTCATTCATCATTCCCAGTTCTGACTTTATGTTTGCTTTCACGTTTGTGCATGAGCTATGAACTCATAATAACTATATTAAGTATACTAGACATGATATTGACATAAAAAATTAATGAAATTTAATTTTAATACTTAATTCATTCATATAAAAATTCGTTTCGACGAATTTCAATCTATCAGTTTGTTAAAATTTGAAGCAATGAACAGTTTGTTCCTTGTAGGAATTATTTTAAATATAATAAAGTTATACATTGCACAATATGAGACGTGTGATTTATTTGAAATCTGTTCTTCTAATGCAACTGTTCATCCAAGCGAGGTAATTTCAGTTGTAATAAGTTACCAACGAATTTTATAAATACCTATTTGTATGTACATGTTGCTACTTAGTAGCTTTCAGGAATTTATTATATGATCCAACATGTTTCAAAAACATTCTTTGTGGGAACAACTTGTGCTTACATCAATATTTCTGCACCTGAGCAAGGCACAATGCCTTTTAAGCAGCACTTTGCAATTACCGAAGTTGTGTAAGTTGACTCAAAACTTTATTGTTTTGTGATGAATTTTAGAATTTCCATTATTTAGGGATGGAAAACAGCGAGTTTCTGACGGACACTTTTACTCAAATGAGACACATATTAATACCGTTCATACCGCTTGTCAGTATTTTTATTACGAATGAAGTTGTCTTGAAAATTTTTTATTTATTTACTTCTTTTACAGTACAAATTCCTACTGATGGACGATTCTTCTCCTTTAATCCTGGTTAATATAAAATAATTTTTTAGATATTTTTATCAAATGTTTAATTTTTCTTTATATGCAAATGTAGATTACTTTGCTTACATGAGTTGCCTAGAATGTGGATTTTTTAGAAGACAAGGAACAGGAGGTTTTCGTCATTTTGAAATAATTCTTGGACAATATTGTTAACTATTTATTTTCAGTATTCATGCATGTTTGGTCCAGACTTGTTTATCCCGAATGCATCGATATGGATCCACTTATTGCATCTCTTAATGCTTGTGGAATACCAAGCTCTCTTTTGGTACACGTAGATCATACTAATTGTGAAAAGAAATGTTAACAATAAATTTCCATTTTTATTCGAGTAGTCTAGAAGAAGATAAATTCTCAGAAATTCTTATTGGTTTTATTTAATTGCTGAAAAATTGGCCTTCTTTGAATAATCTAATTAAGCGAAGTGCTTTCAACGACTTCAATGAAATGTTAAACTACCTACTTTAAAAAGATTTAATGTTTGTTTTATGTTTTATAAACAATATCATATGACAGTAGATGAAATCGGAGATATTTGTTTAAATAATCAGGAACGTGTCGCGACGATTTGTTTCCACTTGACCTTACTGAAATGCTCATGTATAAAATTGGAATTGCACTGGTGAGGATTCAATTGAGTCTCTGATAGGCTTATATACAATATTATAGTTTCAAAGAAAATGTTCAAAAGAATATAGAATCAATAATTTAATTTGAGAATAACTCTATGAGAACTTTAACCGACTTTTCTTAGTAATCATGTATTGAATCTTTGAGCTTAAAACCAAATTAAATGTTACGAGAATATAAAACGAGATTGAACTACAATGGAATCAAAATCAAGTTTACATCTTTCAAAAGATTATAACTCTGAAGAGGAATATGAAGATATTTCAAGTAAATTCAATAACATGCTGGAAATAAATCGACTCAATGATCAAAGTGAAAACGAAAGTTTCGCAATGAATTTTTATTCTTTCTTAAATACGCTGTTCGATGGATTTGTTACACTTTTGAGAATTTTAGACATTTGCCTTTTCCTGGAACAGAATTACATGTGATGATTAAATCAAAATATGATGTAAATTATGATTGGAAAAGATTAATGAATGTTTTGCTTCATACATAAATTCTCGTGTTTCACTGGTTGCATAAAACTAGGCGCATAAATTTACTTAAATATTTTTAATATGCTTATTTGATTCAATTCTATCGATTCACGTGAGTATAGAACTTCGCAGATAAGCTTTAAAATCACACCAGATCATTTGACATGAATTTGGTTTCATATTTACTGCCTTGCTCAACTTGTTAGGTTTCCTTTCAATGAAATTCATGGGACATTAAACAAAGAATTAATTCAGATTTTTGGTCTTGCTTTTAATAACAGGTTCTTCATTCAATAACACATGTCGATGAATTGATAGGTAATGTGTAGTTTTTGACAGATCTCTATAAGAAATCAATTTGTTCTCACACGCCAACTACAAATTTATTTTATTTTTCTAGATATCTGTCGGACTTCCTTAAAATGTTAAATTTATAATCAAACATCAAGATTTCTTGTTTAAACAAATCCTTTTACAATTCTAGTGATCTGAATTAGTAAATGTAGAAAAAAATGAAATTCAGTTTGATTTTAAAACGACGATGATACCACGGAGATCATTCGAACTTTTCACGTGTGTCGGAATAAAAATCTTCAATGTAAGTGAGAGAACAGATGTGACTCTCACAACTAATTCACGGAAAGTTGTTTCTTTTCATTTTTTTTTTTTTTCACAGCAACGAGAATAATTTAGACATTTTGTTATGTTGCGAGAAATATTTTCAGTATGTTTTTGCGTTTGAAAGAGAATCATCACTTGTGTGATAAATAAAAAGTGGCGAAAGCAACTTGAAGGAAAACTTAATTGACTTAATAGCTCATACAAAAGCATCATTAAGCGTTAAATTTGTCGTTTGTCAACATCGCAAAATTCTCTTACTGCGTACATTTATTTGTTCAGTGCAGTTCAAAAAATTATCAAGTTAATTTCTATTTTTAGTCGAACAGTGTTCTCTGATTCTCACTCACTTTAATAATCCCTAAAAATAAAAACTTCACAGTCTTCACAAAATGATCATCTTTGACCGCTTTCTCTGTTGCATCAGCTTGAAAACGTTTGGAAAGTTTGTAGGATGGGTTGGGTCGATGGGAGCGATAATGATGGCTTACGCTATGTTTCTAATCTATAGCGTCAAACCTGAAAACTTAAGAGGATTCAAGGATTATCACATCAAATCTAGTTCTATAACCACTGAGGGTATAATCTCTAAAATAAATTTTATAGGAAGTGTTGTTTAAATGACTCTGTTAATGCATTGCAGATGTTCACATTTTTGCTGGAATATCATTTGCTTTACTGCTTTTGTTTACTTTGATTCACATTTTACTGATTATTGGAATTAAATTTGTAAGTATCATAACAAACTTATTTCTCATATCTTCATTTCAACGCTGAAACATTCCATTAGATTAAATCGCTGGCTATCATCCCACACATTCTTTTGTCAGTCTTTGGAACTGCCGCAGCAATTTGTCTGATTCCATCTGAGGTTCATCTAAGTGCGACTGATGATCATGAAGCAACTAAGGTCGAGTTGATAATTGCTTACATTATGATTATAATATTCAGTGTTTATTTTACTCTCTGCATTTATTCGCTCTATGAGTTGATTAAGATTGAAGAAAAGAGAAGAAAAAGTTATAGAAATTGTGAATCAGTTTTCATCACAAAAATCCCGAAATAACATCAAAATGAAGAAATTGCGAAACCCTCAGGAGAAAAATCAAGACAAGCATTTTTCATTCATTTCTTTTATTTTCATCATTTAATAAACAAAAAAAAATATAAAAGAATATTTTGGAAATGTGAAAACAAAAGTTAATTAAAGATTAATCGAAGAGTCAAATAAAATTCAAGAAGGTTGAAAAAGTTCATAAATTAATAAGTTACCTGTCATGAAATGAATTAAGAAAATTAAATATTTATTCAGTTTGAGCTATCAATTATGTTTGTAAACAAAAATATAAATCAAAGTTAACTCATCTAATCATGGTCAATAAAAAAAATATTAGCAGTTATAAAATCCGAGAAAGTTCCATAAGTGATGATCATATAAATATGTAACTGAATGAGCATTGCCTCATTTAACGACCAACAAGTGAGCAATCTCAGCGCATGGAGGAAATTCAGAAGCTCCATGAAATGTTGGCAATAAAAATTTTAATTTCCTTCCTCTAAACAATCTGAATAATGCTTTTGGGATTAATGATTTTCAAACTCAAAAATATTATTCAAGTTTTTTCATTTTCTTCCTACGTTTTTTTTCTTTATTTCTCACGAGAAAACTCTCAAAAAGTAAAGAAAATGTGAGAAATTTTCACCTCGTTAGTAGATTTAAATATGAAATTTCAGTCTCGCGTATTCGATTCAAATGAATGGAACTTAGTGGAAAATGATGTGAAGTGATTAAACGAGGAAATTCAACAAAGAAAATTAGGATCAAATGGCGCGAGTTAAAAGTTTTTTAGGATGTTGTCAACTTGAAACTGGTGGTCTCTGTCTCGGATGGTTTTTCTTTATTTTATTTTTTATTTTAACAACACTTCTTGTTGTTTTTGGAGGAAGATCAATTTATGCAAATCGTGAGATTCGTTTTTTGCTTTTTCAAGTTTATAGTTTAATGAATTTTATTGCACTTTAGCACATCCACTTCATACCCTGATATGGCTCGATATCATTATCTTTTGGATTATTGTAATTTACTCCTCTTGGTTAATGGTGCAAGGAATTAAAACTGTAATTATAAACGTCATTAATGATTTTTTTTTATTAATTTTTTAATTGCTTTCAGAAAAATCCAAGCAAAATTCAACCTTTTCGCATCATCTTCATAGCTGCAACTATCTTGCTTTTGTTAGATTTAATCTATTTCATTTACAAGATCAACTTTAAGAAGAAAGATCCTCAAAGTATAATTAAGACGGAACAGGATATTTTTCAATTAATTGAGCAAGACTTTAAGGCTGTGAGAATCTTGGTTAGTCTACTGCTTTTAATTATGTCAATCTACATTTATGTCTTTGTTGACTCACTACATAAATGTGTGAGGGAGTCAAGAACTCGCTATTATGTCGTGGCCAAGGTTTGACCAGAAAGTTCCCTTGAAAAAAGTAAGCGGAAGTCTTTAAATTTAAAATTTCTATACTGATCTATTTTTGGTTCATAATTTAAAGCGTTTTCGCTGTTGTTGGCACAGAGACATGTTTTCTTTGGTCGCAAAATTTTAATTTAATTCCATTTGTCAACTCTTTATGTGTTTTAACAATAACATCATTCCGAAAATTTCAAACCTGATGTTGTAGGCCCGAACAAGATTACGCACAGATAAAGAAAATTAAATAAAATTTAAATCTTTGTATACAAAACTTTAAATGTTTTCTTTGTTCAATATGAAAATCTTCAACTTCGTTTTTTAATTTTCTTTTTTTTGTTTGCTTTGAAACTATTTTTGAAAATATTCGCGTTGGGTATTAAGGTGAGAAGTTTTCTATTTTCCTCTCGATTTTTTCTCAATTTTCATGCGAATTTCCTCAAACGCTTTTCTTTTGTTTTTCATAATTAGTCGGAAATTTAAAAACGAATTAAGCTGTTGATAAAAAATCTCTCACATTTTTCAACTGGTGGATGATTTTTATAAAAAATGTCGACTAAATCTTTTTTTATAAGTTTCTAATCCAAGTTCAATGGCGATTAAAGAAGATTAAAGATTATCAGAAAAAATATGTTGATCTAAAAATAAAAGCAATTTTGATATTTTTGTGACACTCTGAAGTGTTTCTTTTATCTATCAACGGTGTTCTGTGATTTTTTTTCCCACGAGATTAGTTGATAATTCGTTGAAAGTTACTTGACATTATCATCAAAGATCCCCTCTCAACAAAGAATTCAAACGTTTATTGTTTTAATATGATACGATTACACAAATTTCTGTGTTGTCTCAAGCTTGAAATTGGTGGATATTTGATTGGTTGGATAAATTTATTCGCTTCACTTTTAGCATTTCATTACACTCTTGTGGAGCGTAAGTAAAATTTGAAAATTATTTCAAGAAAAGAAAATTTATTTTTTTTTCTTTTAGTTGGCGATAAATTTTTCCAATTAATTTTCTCACTCACCGGTGTGATTTTTTATGGAGTTGTAAGCTTTTCTCTATTGAATGGCGTCAAAAAGGTGAAGGAACTAAAGAATTATATTGCATCATTGTGTGATATTGATGGCAAGAAATTAATGTTTTTAGAGGCTTCACATTCTGGTTCAACCTTATAAAATATTTTGTATACTTACATTCATTGTAATATTTATAACGACCACCGCTGTTGTAGTCAAAGTAAGTTTATACGGATGGAAAATAATCGAAGTTTATCACATATTAGAAGTAGTGCTGGGAACAATCATCAATATTTACACACTCATTGTTGTAGACAGCTTACACAAGAAATTCAGGGACGAGAAATTCCATCGAGGAGGATTCATTAGGACGATTTGAAATTAAAACAACTTTTATAGATTTTGTAAAGATTTATTCATATCTTAATTTTAAATGACAATTTTTAAAGATCTATTTTGAAATTTACAAAAATTGGTTTTTCCTTTTTTTGCGAGAAAATAAAAAAAAATGCAACAAAATTTTCGAAATAAGCGGTTACAAACTCAACATTAATTGCCATTACAAAGCATTGTGACTGAGCTTCTGATACTTACCAGTTAAGGATTTTCGTTTTATTCCAAATACATTTAATATATTAATCCACTTTCTCCATTTCTCTTCGATAACACCATGTCGTTTGTCTCTTAGTTTATTAGAAAAATACTTCGTTTCCATTCGTAGCTTCTAACATTCGGGAATTATTACAGAAATTTTCACTATTAGATTCTTTGAGTTTCATAAATATGTTGTCACAGGTAAATCATTGCGTGTTTGTCATTTGTTTTATCTTTCTTTAATTCTTTAATCGAGTAAAAGGTTGTGCTTTAAATTAAAATTTTTATAAGGGGACTAGTTTCTCTACTTTAGGCCGGAGATTAAACAGTTCAATTCAAGATGTTTTTTTTTCTGTTCAGGCCTTAATTAAACATTTTAAACGATTATACTCTTTTTAATATCCTTTAAGCTTCTTTAAAGTTTATTTTTAAATCTATTTTATATCAATTTGAACATCGATTTTTATGTAACTTTTTAAAGACTTTTCTTTTAATGGTTTTTTTAGAGGAAAGGTGATAAAATATATTTTGACTAAATATTGAAAAAATTGTACAAGAATGTTGTACGAAAAACTGGCACCATAAAATCATACAAGCTCGATTTAAATAAAAAAACCGTTAAAAAGTATAAAGCAAGTACAAGATATTCAAGATATTAGCTAATTGAATTGAACCCTTACGGCGTCTGTTGTTAAACATTAATCTTAACAACGTAATTATTTTATAAATTAATGTTATTAAGATTGAATGAATTTGAAGGGTATAAATATTAAACTGAACAGGGAATATCTTGTATAATGAATTAATCAATTAATAATTTGCTAAATCTTAAAAACTATCCGGTGCGTCACATAAAAAACAAATAAAAAATTTACAAAAATTATTTGCACGCGGGTGACGCAGGATTTATTGTTGTTATTATGAGTTTTACGTTCTTTATCATCATCGCGATTGCATATTTACAAAAAAAAAGTAAAAAAGTGAAAAGTTAATTGAATAAATTGAAAGAGTGATATTTTTCTTGTAGGTTGTTTGTTTCGGCAGCAGACTGAATCACTTGAGTAAAGATAAAATTCAGTGGGTGGTAACTTGGTATTATTTAGCTGGTTAGCGATATAAATTGGATTCTTCATGTAAGATTTTGTATAGAAAAATCATCGATGGTTTCAGATGGTAAAAGAAAAAAATCTCTTTTTTGGCAATGTTAGTTTCGTACAAATTAAATCTTCTCATGTTTCCACAATTGGCACAAAAAAACCATTCAAAAGTTTTGTACATTTATGAAATGATCTTAGTTTTTTCCCATTCAAAAGAATCTTTTGCTTCTTCTCTATCTTCATCATGACTTAATTCTATTGAATAAATATAAATTGTTTCTTATTAGCATTTCTTTTCTCTTGAAATATATTAATAATTTTTTTTTGCTCAATTTTCTGTCGTTCAAAAATTGTTTTTCTTTTTTTAATGCTTTCTTCTCTTAAATCTCAGAGTACACACAATACTTTGGGATTATTTCAATTTTTAATTACTACCAATTACGTTTTTCTAATTCATTCATTTTAATATCAAAAACCCTTTACAATTAAGCATTTAAATCTTTCGATTGAAGATCGGAAGTCATTTCAAAACCGAAATATATGAAAGAAATGGCGATTTTTGTTAATTTTATGACACTGAAACACAAAAGAAGAGATTTTGTGATGATCGGCACATCAAACAGTGTTGCCATTTAGTCGTAGCCAATTACTTATTATGATGAAGACAAAAGAATTAATATTTTGTTTGTTCGTCTTTTAAATTTTCATTCTTGTGTTTTTTTTCTCCACTTTTTTGTGTTCGAGCAGAATTGAAGATTTCATTTTTCCCATCGTTTTGCCATTCACTTACATAATATTTATAATTAAAATTAGATCAAAAGGAGAACCAGATAGACAGACAGATAAATAAAAAAGCACTCTCACACATCACATCAATCCACTTCCTTTCGCTTAGGACTCGAAGAAAATAAATTAATAACGAATCTCATCGTAAAGATAATTCGGCTTCTTTAATCTGCTCTCGGCTTGATTTTAATCTTTGTAGTCATCATCTTTGTTACTCTTGACACCGCAACATAGGCAAAGAACAAGTAAAACACCAAATAGTTGTACAGCGAGAATAATGAGACTTCCGATAACAATTTTCTCAAGATTTTCATTTACTTGGGCCACAAGTTTTTCCATGCATCCCTGAAAGAAGAAAAAAAGTTTCGAATTAGAGGAAATAATTTAAAAGCATAATGATAAAACTTACTTCTTTATTGATAACTGGGTTAATGCTTGTTGTTAGAGCGCCTTTACGTGATGTTTCGCAAATTTGTGCGTCAGTTCCATTCTTGCAGCATGAAGTTGGAACGGAATAAACAAGCTTCTGACTCTTGATTCCCATATCCAACAATCCAGAAGGGTTATTTAATTTACTGTGGGACCAATCGGAAGGTCCATCAGCGCCACAACATTCCCAATTTTTCTGAATAGCATCGATGACCTCAGTACGCGCGTTAATTACTTTGTATTCAGTGCTGATGGAATTCTTAAAGTTTCTTCTAACGAAACCTTCAAGTTTGCTTCCGTTTTGATATGACCAAACGCCAGCAGCAATTTCTGCTGTAAGAACAATCAGCATACAGCAGAAGAACTGAAATTCATTAAATATTAATCATTCATTACTTTCGTGGATTTGTTTTCATTTTTTCCCAACTCACCGACACAAGCATGCATTGTGACTCCTTGAATGCTCCACAACATCCACAGAATGCAAGTATCACCATCAATATGCCTATAGCAAGTAGAATAAACAACGCATATTGATAGTTCTGCTGTTCTTGAGCAAGAGAAATCATAAATGTTGGATCGACCAACATCCACACGGCCAATGCAACAATTGCAAGTCCTACGAGCTGAAATGAAATTTAAGAGAAAATTTCGAATTAAAACTTTTTATTTAACATTAAAGAAAGTTGTGGAAGAAGAAATTTGCAATATCATGTTTTTAATATCTATAAAGCATTTGATTTTCGCATCAGATTGGGGGTGGTTGATTGTTAGCGATAGGAAGAAATTAATTGAATGACGTCAAGTGTTTTCTAACGAGTATTAAACATGATTCATTAGAGAATCGACCAAAGGAAAAGGAAATTATGAGTGTTAGAAGCTTAATTCGGAAGTTTCTAATAGTTAACGATTATACGTGTCGATATTGGGTTTTGTTTCATATCAACGACATAAGTAAGTAAAATATTCGATTTAATACATTTCTTTGATTATTTTGAAACCATAACGACTTAAACAATCGAAAGACTTTCAATTATAATCGTCCGACGATTTTTTTGTTCAAATATCCTTTCCATGACTTATTTAGTCAATGTCAATCAAATATCAAACAAATAATATTGACACAGCTGGAGTGGGCAATGTAATAAGTTTGATATTCAGGTACATTTCCACATATTCACCCTTCAGTTCATTTACTTCAATTCTTACATTGACATAAATTTACTTGCTCTTATGTTATGCATCAATGCCTACGAACCAAAATGAACGGCAACCTTTTATACATTTAAATGCATTTTCTTGTTCACCTTTATGAATGTCAAATGTGCAGAGCTTTTGAATTTCAATGAAATCATCAGCAACGTGTTTTGAATATTAATTGTGAGATAATCAAATGACAACACATAAAAAATGAGAAGTAACTTGAAGAAAGTTACTAATGAATAAACGAATGCAGCGAGTTTATAAGAAAACATTGAAAATATCAACAACAGAACGATGTGAAGTCACAAATAGCTGATAACAAGGCGCTGGTGCTATAAAAATTCTACATTTTCACACCATATAATGAAAGGAAAAAGTCATCCACAAATATTTATGTTTGCATAACCCATTAGACGAATGAAAATGTGTGAAAAAGACAACAAAAATTTCGATAATCGATTAATGGGATGGGATCGGGAACTCATGAAATGAAACCAGGAAGTTAGCGTGTTAATTAAAAGAAAACTTCTGACGCTCCAACATGGTCGTTGAACTTGTAATTTCTGCTTTTCTAGTTCAACTTAATGATTATGATGATTGATAAAAATGAATACCCTTCGGAAGTTATTTTGTTGTGAACGATTCAGGTTCTAAATTACATTTGACATGACCCTTATGTTGTGAGTTTGTATTGGAATCTCATAAATAATTGATCATGTTTAATATGGTAGATTGAATTCGCGTTTATTCGCCTTTCATGAAATGGAAAGAAAAGGGGAAAACCTATCGACCAGGTGCCTTTAACCAATTGGGTCATTTATGCGATAAAATAGACATAAAACAATGCGTTGAGTTTTTCAGCGAAACATTGTAAGCTTCTCAAGGGAAAATCGCTCGTAGCATCGTGACGTCATTCAGAAGATTTTCTCACGAAAAGAAAGAAAGAATTGATTTTTTTATTTTCAAGATGGTAGTTTGTTTGGTTGGAAATTTGTGGGTTGACACGTAATTTTAATGTTCATAAGAAAAAGTTGTGAGAAAAAGTTGTTTTCAAAAATTGTTTTCAATTCAAACCACCATCAATTTCCATCGCAACAATGACGGCTATCGTTAGTGTAAATAAGATGAAAATTGGACGTTTGTCGATAACGAAGCGCTCTTGTTTCAACGTGGGTGACACAGATCAGTTAGAGTGATTTCTATGTTAATTTAATGTCATCGTTTTGAGACATTGTCGTGGACGAGAGTCTGGAGATGAAAACAAATTTCAGATTTCGCTACAAATGGAAGGTTTAAATCTTTATTATTTAAACATTTGCCTCTTCCCGTTTCATCCAAGTTCGTGCATAATAAAAATTTCATCACACAACAAGGCATCCATTTTCAACAATATTTTTATATTCTTTAATGTAGATAACATTGAGTGAGATGTAGAAGTTGGATTGAATTCTGTTCTCGTTCACATTCTCACAATGATTTTCAGTTTTTCTTTCTTTTTCTTCTATTTATAAAAACAACAGCGTTTTCTATTGAGATTTTCATAGCTATTAAACAGCATTGGAAGCAGCAATGTATTTGTTTAAGAGTAAGTGGGAGAATAAAGCAATCATTATAAGATGATTGAAAACACCGCAATAAGAACTTTTAGCGTAGATGATAAATATTTGCACAATCCACCCGCAAATTGGTGCAATGCATTACAAAGATTTATTGTCACTTAGTTTCGCCATAAACATTCCAATTAATTTTATCCGTAGGCAAACCGAACCCCTTTTGTTGTTATATAACTAACCAGTGTCTTTAACATGCAATAAAAATTAAAATATTTTTATTTTCAAATCAAATTCGCGAATCAGTTACATTGGATGGTAATGAAATGTTATTGAAATTAATCGTCGCGTGCTGTCTACGTTTGAAATGACTTTTTCAACATGCAACGTGAAGAAATGATGGATAATTAATTTAATGCAGCAAATATGAAAGGAGAAGACATAAAATGACTGGATAATGTTTACGAGTGTCGCATTTGAATATTTATAAATTCTGTCGCATTCATCAAGATATTCACGATTTTCTATTTTTCAAACTTTTCATTCATAACACGATGTAAAACATAAATCCGCAATAGTTAAATGGATTTTCGAATATATAACTTAAACATTTGATAGCACTTATGGTGCTTCTTAAGTGGGAAATGAAATTTAAGTGAGAAGTTTTAATTCAGTGAGTTCGTGACATGTTAATTGCTTTCAATTGATATGAGCCACCACCCACGGTCGATGAACTTAACACAATTATTTCCTTGATTCACTTTACGTCAAAAGCATATATCTGATAATTACATTTAGGCTGACAAATCATTCAGTTTGATGTTCTATTTTTGTAAGTCAAAAATAACAAACAAAAAAGGTTCGTTAACACGTCGAAGTTGTCCTGAATAGAAATTAAAGTAGGATTGGTTTGTCAGGTGCCGCTGATATGAAAAATGTTATCACATTAGTTGAAAGTCTTCTTTCCACAATTACCTAACTTTATTTCCTCAATTGTTTTCAATTACATAATTCCAATAGTAAATTCAAAAGTGAGAACATCTCAACCAACACAAAATAAATCAACTAAGTGACTTAACTGGTGTCAAGTTCATCTTACTTTTCATATTTTATTTTGCTACAAAATCTCATCATCTCATAGTAAGTGGGTGGATACTGAAATGTGAGAAGCGTCATCATACACAGTGATTTCTATGGAAATTTGTCGGCTTCAAAGTAAAAGATAAAAAGTGTGATCAACATTTAAAGCACCTTCGATAACGGTCAATTTAGAAAAGCATAAACAAACATGACACCAAGTGATGGTGATTGGAATTCTTTATGAGTTTCGTGTGGTGAGGTTCGCATGATTGCGTGCAACAAACACAAATAAAATTTACAAATTAGCCGGAGCAGTTCATTTGACTTGAATTTAAGTGTTGGATGATATCGCCTGACATTCACTTTATGGGTATCATTCATTGTATTTTCATGAATAAAATACAAATTCTTGTTACAAAAAGCAGCAAGTAGCGAAGAAATAAAGAATTCAACTGTTGCTTAATGAGTTAATTCATAATTCACAAGGTGTGGGTGAACTCACAAATCGTTTACATAATCATATCTTTATTAGACGTTACGGAAAACAAAATTCATTTGATACAAGTTCAAGCGATAGCTTTCCATCACTGTTGCTAACACCATGTTTAACATCAACCTCCAATTACTCAACGTGAATAAAACAAATTTTCTTTGGAAACTCATTCATTTTCCAAAGTTTTTCTTTCTTCTTTTCTATTTTTAAAACACAAAAAAAAGTTTTTCTTTTCCCTTCGTCAGAAATTTCAAACCTTTTCAAAAAAGATTTTTCTTTTCTTTATTTATCCAATGCAGAATGGAAGTGAAACGATTTGATTCTTCATGGACGTTAGATGTAGCATATGGAAGAGTTGTCCCAATGGAATTGAATCTCATAAGTATAATATATGAGAGGAAAATTGAAAATATCATGAAATTATTCATGTCACATGTGACATGAGCGGGAGGTTCAACGAACTTTTCTTTTTTGTATTACTTTTTGGTTACATTAACCCAACTCAAGTAAATTGAAGCATAAATGAAAAGCGAAAATGACTTGGAAGTTACCCGAATGTGGAATTTTTCTTTCTTAACATGCTTATTAACAATACAGAGCATGTCATCGTGTAACTTCAATATCCGATTACCAACGATGATAATTTAGTTTTCCTTGTAACGACTACTTTTCCATCTGAATCAACATATGAAATCTAATTTGAATAAAGCTGCTTTCCAGACACAATCTTTCTGCCATATTTAACACATTTTTCTTTCTTAACCGACACTTTGATTATTTACAAATCATCACCATCGAATTGAATCGTTTATCGTTTGGATTCGTCCATTTACCAATCTGATTTATTGACAAATGAGGAATGGAAAATCGCGCCAAAAAATGTTCTGTTTACAACTGTCCAAATGCTTACATCTTGTTCACATAACTCGTTGAAATCTTACGCCAATGTTTACAAGATTAAGGAAGTCTGGTATCAAGTGTCATGTGAAATTTGCCATTCATGGGGCTTTGCTTTAAATCCATCACATGTTACAATTTTACATCCGTTTAAAGGAATAAATGAATGTTCATTAAAATATATTTCCAATTATCTTGCTGCTTCTTTTTAAATAAACGGCGCCATTACGTCGAATGCGACTGAAATTTTCATCTCTCTTCGAAATTTACTTTTTTTGTGCTCCGTTTCGGGAAATTAGGTCAAGAGGAGAATTATAGAATTTTCTTCATTTACTTGAGCATCTGTGCATTCAGAATCAAACTATGAGTCGATAACTATTGGTTTATGTTGTGACATGTGGAAACTTTTAATAATCAACTCTCATCTTCTTACGACATCCAATTTATATTCACATTATTATGTAACTTTAATTAAATTTAATTTTTAACGGTTCATGATTTTATAAGTTTTCATTAAATTTCATGTAAAATATGTTGTTGCGCTATCTAAATATGCAACATCGTTTTCGAAAACGTTTCGAGAGAATGAAAATTTCTCATAATTGTGAAAATTTTCTCTCAAACTGTAAAATTTCGATCAGAAAATAAAACTCTGCAAATACTTTTGCATGATTTTCACCCACGTTTAAAAAGTCGTCTACAGACGACGATGATGGAAAATCTATGAAGTGTGAACAGATGCCACTTGTGCTTAATTATTTGTATATCATCTCTTGTTGATATCAAAAATGTCGAAATATTAATATTTGCGTTGACGAATGTCTATTGGATTAAGTGATGATGATCAAGGCAATCACACGTGAAAATTCTTTAAATACATTGTTTATGGAAGACGTAAACGTTTCTCCTAGTTCGTTATGGTTAATTAAACATTTAAGAAAAATGTGTGGTTACAACATGAGAGCCGATTTGATAATCTGGCAACGCAGCACATCTTCTAAGACATTCTCTTGAGAGTTTTATGACTGAAGCTTCTTATTTTTTGCGTAGATAATGTCGCTTCATCTCAAGGTCAACAGATTCGGACCCGGTTCGTGCACTATTAAAATTCTTTCAGTATCAAAAGCAAACGTTGAATATCAATGATGTTTATGAAGATGATGAGGTAATCATAGAAATTCTATAAACAATCAACTGAGCATTCGAAGAGAAAAAGATGAAGATGAAGACAAAGTTAAGAAACTATTTTCAAGCTGCGAAGAACGCATGTCGAGATAACGAGATGTGCATATTGTGAACATCTTAAATACCGCTTCCTTTGTGAGTCAAGTCGTTTAAGTTAATTTAATGTTGACAGAATTCTATATATATTTCAACATATTTCAGTTCTCATTCATTTAATTAACTTTTGGATTTTGTTTTCGTTTTCAAGTCGTGTACGAAAGAAGAGACGATAACAGAATTTCTTGAATATTAGTCAATGAAGCACAAAAAATTGTATTTTGCTTTGGCCTTTGAATATTTAATGTCGTGAAATTTCACAACTTCTGCAGTTTTCAAAAGTTTAGCAGGAAGACCTTCTGAATGATTTATGAACATCGTAAAGCTGGTCAGCTTAAACTGTGTCACTATAGTGGAACGTTTGCGTTTACAAATTAATTATCACCAATATTCAGCGCATTATTCTTTTTGTTATCTTTTATTTTCAGAATACGAATCCAACTGGAAATATAAGGAAACCTTTTCACGCCCATTCACCTGACATCGCAGCACGTGAACCTGTTTTCGACCAAATAATCAAAGAAATATCCTTCCGATTTGCTTCTAATTTTTATGATTCAATTTACTCATTTCCGTTTTGCAGTCAAATGAACGATTTGAGGGTTGGTCGGTCGAATTAATCGAGTGGAACTCCGGATCTGTCTCAACGACTTTATTATGCAACTGAAAGTCATTCCCGCTATAATAAAATATGTGTGGTGGTTTGTATGTATGATGAACGCCTCCGTTTTCAGTTTTTTTTTTGCAGATATTAAGATATTCAGTGGCTTGCGAAATTCGTTTAAGCAACAAACAAAACTTGATTGTTGCTTCGAGCTCTTTTATCAAATGTCTATCTTACTCAAAAGAAATCTTTTTTAACTGATTTCCTTTCATCTGTAATTATCTCTAACTATATGTGCCATAGAAGATCAAATAGAGGCAACAAAATTGTTCACTCATGTTCGACATACACGCAAAGGCAAGAAAAGTCATGAAACATGAGAATCAGGAGGGAAAATGATTCTTGAGAGAAGAGAAAGAAGAAATTCTAATTATGATTTAGGAATTATGCTTGTAGCTATAAATTTAAGTGGAATCCAGGGACGGAATGCTTTGTTACATTTCTCAACATCATGAATAAGTGAAGGCAACTTGAGTAATCATCAAATTGAAAAATTAATTGCGATATAATTGAAAGTCGTTCAGGGAAATCATTTATGAAGAAGATTCAAGTTGTTATTGTGAATGAAGAGAACGAGATTTATTTAAACAAAGTTTCCATTGATTCGGGTCAACAAATGATGTCAATCGATAAGCAAAAACACAAACTCAACTCTCTTCCCTTATCTCTATCTCTCTCTCTCCCCGGGTCACGGTTTTCTGATTTTATTTTTATCAATTCAAGATTCGATTTAGAAAACGTTGAGAGAAGAATATTCGCGTGTGAAACTTTCACTTCTAATAGTTGATAATTGAACCGCTGCGCTGGAAGATATGCAAGTAAAAGCAACCAGTTATGTTGACTTCTTTTATTTTCTTTTCCATTTCTTTGTCCAATTCTCTATTTATGGCAATTGACTTTTGTGTGATTCTCTTTTTCAATGGCTTTGTGGCTCAAGAAATATTGAATGTCTTTTCGGCATCAGTGAAATAACAATGGGAAACAAAGTTTGAAGAAAAGAGAGAATCAATATCATCTGAAGCACGTATTGCTTGCTTTCTTCATTCTTCCTCACAATCTGATGTCGGGAGAAGAAAAAAAAGTGAACAGTCAATGACGACGTTGATGTTACAATAGTGTTTGAGAATCATAAATATTTCATTTAAAAAACTTCGCTTTTTATTTCTTCTCATGACTACAAAAAAAATCTGCTGAGAAAAATTAGCGGAGAAGCAGAAAAATCTTTTTTCTGTTTTTTCTTTTTGTTTTAATGTTAGTTGGCCCAAGAAAATTTTTCTTTTTTTGCAAATGAATCATACGAAAAATATAAAAATTTTCTTTTCACAACATCATCGAACAAGACAAGAAAAAAGAAGGAAAATTCCTTCATAATAAAAAAGCATTTTCACGTAAGAAAAATTCTGTAAAATCTTTTTCCTTAAATTTTTTCATTCTGTTCTTCGTTCCAAGGAAATTGCGCACTGAATCTTCTCCATAGAATATTCACTAATGACCTTCAGTGAGATGAAGAAGAAAAAAAGTTGCTACACACAGCAAACACATCTTCATCCCCTTAAAATGAGTGCACACCACACACTCTTTAAACTCGTCTCAACATGATGCTATGTTGCTGGTATTATGCTTCTTGGGGTGACTGTGTTGGTGTATACGATAAGGGTGTCGTTTTTGCGTTTTTCTCGTGAGAAGAATAATGGAAGGGAAAAAATCTTTCACTTGCAGGAGACTTTTTTGAAAACGGAATTTCTTCTAAGAAAAGTGAAGCTATTTTCAAGCGTCTTTGGTCAAGAGATTGCGTCACATATCCAACTTGATCTGATACATACCCAGAACACCAAGTTCATCAGAACGACGAAGAATTTAACGATACAACAGCACGCATTCATTATGACTTTTATTCCTTTCTTTTCGCTTTTTCAAATTCACAAAACTTCTTAACGATTTGATTTTCTTTTATTATCACTCGAACTTATCACCACCACAGCTTAATTTCCTCTTTAATAACTTTTTTCTTTCCACCGTGAAGAGCGTTCGCGTTTCTTACCGAACGTAAAATCTGTTTACAAGCGACTGAGAAGCACACAAAAAAATATATCAAACCAAACATAAATTTGCTCAGCAGAGAATTATTTTGAGAGAAATATTCACAGCGCATGCGCACTCTTGGGTGATTTCAACGATCCAAAGAAGAAAAGTTTATGTTGCATGCGAAACATGCGAACACTCATAAATTCCATGCGAACACTTTCATTCAAAAATGCTCAAAAAAATTATTTTTCTTTAACATGAATTTATTTATGGTTCATTGAAATACAAAGTTTTATCAAAGAACAAAAATTAAAAAAAATATATATGAATTAAAAAGCACGACGCTTCCCTAATAAACCTTGAAGGTTCTTCTTGGATCCATCACGATGTTTCTTATCGCGGTACATCATTTGAGTTCTAAAGTCTTGAGCAAGTGGTGTCTGATGTTTCTTGTTCTTTTTGGCATCGAACACAACAACACCGAACTCTGTTGAACTCTTTGATTGAGAATTAATTGGAATATAATCAGTTGTTTTGAATTTGTAAGGTGAAGCTGGTTCTTCAATGAAAACTCCCGATGTTGTCCAAACTGGACGTGGCAATGAAACGAGAGGTTCTTGATAGACTTTCAACTTCTTCTGCTTTGGAATCTTCTTTGTGGCAGCGAGTTGTTGAGGAATAATTTTCTTCAATTTCTGTGATGGCAATGGAGCCATAAAGCATTCATCTTGTGTCACTTTCGACTTTGAGCTTTCTTTCTGTGGTTTCAAATTCTGCGGATTTTCAATTTGCTGCAAGACTTTCAACTTCTTCTTAGACTTTGTCTTTTGAATTTCCATTTCAGCATCAGACACAACGCTGTCATCTAACTTTCGCTTCTTTGTCTTCTTTACCTTTTTCTGTGGCTCTTCATAACTGACATCAGCAGGTTCAGGAACATGATAAGTTTCCATAACTTCATCTGTCTCAATGCTTGATGGTTTCGTCGTTTTTTTCTTCTTCTTTACAACTTTTTCTTCTTCCTTTTCTTCTTCAACAACAATATGTTGCTTCTTAGAGGTTTTCTTTTTCTTTTCTTTAACTGGCTCTTCAACTGGTTCAATGTTTGGAACATCAGAATTTTTTTTCTGAAAAATAAAAAGGAAAATAATTTTTAATTCGTAGATATTTAAATCTTTAATTTATCTTTTCTTTTACCTTTTTCTTTACAAGCTTAACTTCTACCTCAGATTCGTTTTTCTTCGATTCAGAAACTTTTTCTGGCGATCCTTTGGATTCTGAAGAACTTACTTGCTGCTGTTGTGCCAGCAATTCTTGTTCTTTAGCCAATTTTTTGGCAAGTTTACGTTGTCGTTTTCGTTCCAATTTCTCTTGTTGTTTAGTAATGGCATCGACAATGTGATCGCTCTTATTGACTTGAGAATCTGAATTAAAAGAAAATAAAATTATTTATTAACTCAGAAAAATGTCAAAAATGCTCACCTTCAACCAACTTTTGCTTCTTTGCTTTATTTTTCTTCTTTTTCTTCACAGAATTTTCCTTATTTTCACCATTTGAAGAATTCAAATTCTCATCATCAGCTGACTTTTTAGCTTCTTCTTGTTTCTTAGCTAATTTCTGTGCCTTTCTCTCACGTTTCAAAGCTAATTTTGCTTTTTTTTCTTTATTAAAAGCGCTCATGAGTTCATCGCATTTGTTTAAAACTGATTCAATGTTCACTTGAGACTGTGAATTCTTTTCAGAATGTTTCTTTGATGATTTTTGAATTTTCTCAGGAAGTTGCGTAGAATTTTCTTCTTCAAAAAGTTCCGCAATTCCTTCAAACTCTTCTGATGTCCCATTGATGATACTTTCACGCATCTTAACAGTTAAACGTTCTGATGTTCTTTCTTCAATGATAGTTTCACTCATCTTAACTCGTTTACGTTCCATTTGGATGCTCTCATTGAACTTTTCTTCATCACGCTTTCGTTTGTTTGATGATTTTTCTTTTTTATTAGAACGGGGAGGATTTTCATCCATTTCATCATCAGCTGTTGAAGTGACTTTAGTGGGAGTTTGAGAGTTCTTTTGTGGAGAAGTTTTCTTCTCTTCTTCTTGTTTTTCTTCATCATCGCTCTCTGATGCTACAATTATTCGTGATCGTCGCTTCTTAGGACTACTTTCAATCATTTCTTCAGCTGAATCCATCGAATAAGCATCTGAAACTTCATTTTCATCCAAGAATGAATCATTTTCTTCATCCTCCTCTTCCTCAATTTCATTCTCGTTGGTATCTCGAGACCCTAAAGATTCCCCATCATCAGGCACTTCATTATCTTCCAAATAATTCAATTCGCTATTTGTAATTGATTCATTTGATCCAACTTCTGCTTCATCATCGATTAATGAATTCTCTTCAAAGTCTTCATCCTCAGATTCATCACTTGAAGGAATTTTGTTTTCTGTCGTGTATTTAACTGATTGATTGGGGCTTTTTATGATTACTTCGGATTTTCGATTTAAATTATATTTATCAATAGGTTCCGAAGTACATTTAATTGATTGACTCCAAGAACGAGACATTCGCTCAGATGTTGAACTGTTCTTAATACTCACTTCTTCCTTTTCTTCTTCATCGCTGACATCTTTTCCACTTGAATCCACTGGCAATTCTTCCATAACTTCCTCACTTTCAACAATAGTTTCACTTTGAATGATACTTTTATTGGCAGATCCGTTGACAGCTTTTTCAAATGATTTTCTTGGACTTTTTGTCTTGTTCAAGTTTGGTGAAATTTCCATGTTGGAATCTTCATGATTAGAAATTTCCATGTCGTTTGAAATTTCTATTGTGTCGTTTATACTGACTGAATTCGTCTTCTTTGGAGTTTTAATACGTTTAATTGGAGAATTTTTGAAAGCGCTATCAATTTCTGCTTCAAAGTCTTTAAGCATTGTGTTAACTTCTTCTTCTTCCATGTCAATTTCAGCTTCATCATGAATAGAACGTCGACCACGAACAAGAGTGTTTAGAGAAACATCTGCTGTCGTCTTTTCTTCCACTTCACCATCCAATGATTTTTCTTCCACTTCATTGACGCAATCGAAAAACTTTTCTTTGTTCTCTGTCGGAGCTTGGAAATTATTTTTCATTTCGTCAAGAACATTATCGAAAGTTTCTTTAATAGCATCCATTGATCGACGAATTTTTTTTGAAAAAACTTTGGGGAACTTCTCAGCACTCGTATCGACTTGATCATCTTTCTCTTGTTCCTCATCAACTGTTACCGATGTTGAATTTATTTCGCTCATCTTCTCAATATTTACAGACAATGGTCGACAATTTTCCAAAAGCTTGCAACTTGGAGATTTGGATATTGAGCGATTTCGAAGTTCCAGCTCGTTTTCACTCGACTTGTTCAGTTCACTTTCCCCAACTTCATCAGAATCTTTCGAACTGTCTCTTTGATTTGTTGACATTTCTGCATTCACTTCTTGTTCATTTTCAGGCTCTTCGTTGATTATGTCGACGGTGCTTTCGCGTTTTTTACGAGAACTTTTGATTCTGCCATCCGAAACATTTAAGGATTGAGTATCGCTATCACTATCGATTGTTATAACTGTTCGAGATAATGAACGACGTGCTGGACGAGATGGAATTGGTGTTAATTGAATTTCCTTTTCTAGAGACATTCTTCTTGTAACGCATCTTGCAGGACTTGAAGTATTAGTATTTTGTTCAGAAATCTTACGATTTCTTCTACTCACTGGTGAGTTAAGCAACGGCTGTGTCAAATTAGCTGAGAATAATTAGAAATAATTATTTCAACAAATTTTAATTTAAATCAACCTGGAACTTACCTCGTTCAGATATTGTTTCAAGCTTTTTAGCTGGAGCTTTGGTGGGTGTGTTAGAAACTGTTTCTATATCATTTAATGATTCAGATGATGCCATTCGACGAAGAGAACTTCGAGTAACTAAAAGAAGTTTTTATGTTAATGACGGTTGAAATTCAAATTATGTAGGTTATGTAGAAATTTAACATCTTAAAACTTTACTATGAATCTAACTCATTGTGAAATGATTCATAACTATCAATTGCAAGAAAACTCTGTAGTAATTACATTCATAGTTAGGAATTACTAAATCAACAGCTAAATTAAATACGAGCTTAACAGAATTACAAGCATGAATAAATATTTAAATTCTGTATATTTAACAAACCTCGAATTGTTCCTCCGGATTCTTCTGTATTCGATGACATCTTATACTTAACACTCTTTATATTTTTATTTAATGTTGAATCGATCTATTATTCTTTAGATATTCAATAAATATTTAAAATTGAAATACCTAGTTCAGCCAACTGAGTAACGCAATGATAGAACTAACATCATGTGATTACGCCTGAATATATATTTCAAAAAAAAAATCCGTTACATCAATATGCTGAATTAATAATAGTATTGAACAATAATCTTGAATTTGTAATTGATGAGCATGATGATAAGCAAGAATAATGAACACAAATCTTCAAATGGAGCATTTATTCATGTGCTACGCACTTTAGCCTTATCATAGAATTAACTGCATAAGGAAACATTTCATTTCACATAGGACTAAATATTCAAGAAGCTTAGTCAATTTATTAACAGTGATCATACATCAACATTTTAAACTGTTTATTAAATATTAAGCTTAGCATAAACGAAATTGAAATTAACAACTAAAAGTCGTAGATAGCACATTTCAATTAAAATAAGATTCGAGATTTAAATAAACAAAAATTTCCTTCTAATAAAAATGCGTGATTTTAATTAAACTAGGTACAATTGCGTTTCGAAATAATTTAGTAAATAAAATAATTAACTAAATATGCTGCATAATTAAACTTTTCGATCATCATTAAGATTATGTTTTAGATACAAATCATTAATTTTATCAAGATGAAGTCTCATTCGCGGCATTAGAATTTTCAAATGTTTAATGTTGTCTTCAAAGTAAAGGTCTGATCCCAGAAGTGTCGATCTTGATGGCATCCATTGGTACAAGAGCTTTAATTGTTTTTATCACTCAATTAAATTAAACAAATATGTAACAAAAAAGAAGAAAATTTACCTTAAAAGTATTTTGTAAAAACCAACCATGATAAGGCTTCAGTACTTCATTATAAGCCTGATTTATCATGGGTTTTAAGCTGTCCGATTTTTCTTTGATAATATCATCATTATTTATGACATACCAGAAGAATCTCTCAATTAATTCAAGAGCTCGCTTCAGCCACAACAACCAAGGATGACTCAACTTCTCAGCATCAGTCAAAATCATGTCTTCAAGAAACTCTCGATTCGTTATGTCTTTTTTATAATATTCCAGCAAAGATTCTACATTCCCACGCATATCCATAACAACTGGGCTAAATAGCTTTCCAAATTTTTCTAATAATTCAATGACTTCATTTGAAGATTCTATAAATGCGACAGTGGCTATTTTTCCACTCGGGTGAAACTCACTTGGGAATCCTTTTAATTTAACTAAACTTAATCTTGGCGCTGATGACATTTTGAGTTAATCTGGAAATAACAATTAAAACAATATTTAATCATACTTAAGATTATATTTTCAAGAAAATGTGAATTGCTAACAATAAACATTAATTAAAGTCTTCTTTATAAATTACTCCGTTTGATGAGATTGCAAATATTGAAATACTTTTTAATAAAATTTCTTTGGGAAAGGAGAATTCACTCAAATTAATATCTGAAAAGATCCAAGATTTGATAACTATTCGATTTTTATGTTCCAATTCACGAATTTCAATCACTCTTATAAATGAATCTTTCGATCTTAGAATTTTTTCTTCATGATTAAAAGTTATCTCATCGAAATGTCGCGATTGTGTGAACCATTTATGATTCCAAAGTGTAACAAGACAACTCTGTTCGAAGAATGTCATGTCATTATTTTTTTGTTGATGATATTTCTCTAAAAATGTTCCTCCAGGTTTCTTAAGTATTGTAAATTTCTTCGAGATATCAAATTTCGATTGCAAATCTTTATTGATCTGACATCGAATGCTTCTTTTAGGTAAAACTTCGGTAAATAATTCTGTCAAGAAAAATCTATGAACGTAGTCGATATCGTCACCCATTAAACCGCTTTCTGTATGTGCGAGATCAAAAATGTGTCCAATTTCATGGATGAGAGAACCAAGAGATGTTGAAAAACATCCTCCATAGGTTTTTCTGTAATTACTATCATCTAGAACTTGATTCAGATCGACTTTCTTTTTATTTTGGAATGCAGCTTGAACTGATTCAACATTTTTTGGATATGAAAAAAGACTTCCAGATCCCATAAGACAAAGAAAACCACCACCGAGAGCAGGATTTGCTAAAGTTTTCCTTTGAATATTGCTATAAGAATATTCTTCGTTCTCTTCAAGTCCTTGGAACAATGTGCAGCTAACAAAAGCAACAAACTTTCGATACTTTCTGACGTCAGATCCATTTTTGTTCAATATTTCTTTGGCGATTTCATCGTACAGTTCCCATTGATTCATTTTCCTTGCCTCTTCAACATCAATATTGCTATAAAATTCCTCACATTTTCTCAATGCGAAAGATCTCTCTCCCAACCTATTCTCATTGAATTTTGTTGAGATAACACATTGTGTCAGCTTCAAAGCCAAATCGATGTTGGCTAAAGCATCGCTGACATCATTTTCGTTGTCATCAGATGTTGACTGAAATTTGCCATCACTATTACGGTGTATTATGTAGATAGGTTGAATATCATAGTTTATATTAGAAAATGATTCATACTTTAGGTTTAATACAACCTTGACATTACAATATGAGATTTCAAAAATATTTTCACAATTTTCTGTAAGTTTCAATAAATATTTAAAATGCTTTTTAAAAAGTTCTACACAGATGCATGAACTAGTTTCGCTTAACTTTTTTATCTCTAAATACTTGCTGGAACATAAGTTGTTTACTTTTCCAGATAATAAAATAATTTCTCGATTATATACAGAAATTTCACCTTTCACATCGTTTAATTCAATGGAATGATTATTACACGTCATATTTACATACCTGCAAGAAATAATAAATTATCTTCCAGTTAATTTGTGTAATACAACTGAAGGAAATTACCTCTAAGACTTAAAATTGAAAATTTAAGGTTTTGTGCAATACTTTCTTTCTTCTTAGTCGAAAAAGTAAACAAGATAGTGAAAAGCCCCTCTTGGATGTTTTTTGCACTTATTGAACACCCCTCTCAATAAGAAAATAAAAAAAACTTTTTGAAACCAAATTTTATTTTAGAAAAATAAATTTAATGGCTTCAAAAACGATAGCAACAGCAACAGTTCGAGCAGTGAAAAGAAAACTCATACCAACAAGAGCTGCTATAACTCTGGTTTGTTGTCTCATTATATTTCTTATTGTACTTGTTATTGAAATTGCGATGTTTATTAAATTAATTTTATATGTTTAGACTCCGTCAGCTGTCAACAGAGTTAAAGCACTTTTAGATGGTAAAAATGATGTTGTAAGTTACAATTACATAAAATTATCGACTTTCAATGTGAAATATATTAAATTAACTTTTTCGTCAGATCGGACTTAAAATTGGAGTGAAACAGAGAGGATGCAATGGATTAAGTTACACACTTGACTACGCAGCCACTAAAGACAAGCTAGATGAAGAAGTCGTACAAGATGGTGTAAGAATCATCATAGATAAAAAGGCACAACTCAGCTTATTAGGAACAGAAATGGATTACGTCGAGACAAAACTTGCATCAGAGTTTGTGTTCAATAATCCAAACATCAAAGGAACTTGTGGCTGTGGTGAATCCTTCAGCATCTAAAATCTTTAAATAATTCTGTCCTAGTTTCAAAATCATTATGTAGATAAATTTTGAATCTTAATTAATCGAGGTAATTTATTTGTTCCTTAGCTTAATAATGAAATGAAAACATTAAAGTTGAAAAGTCAGTTTAATGTCGTGATAATGTCAATAAATTATTTACAGGCAACTGTTCAATTGTCAATCCCAGATACAAGACTACGCCCCACAATATTGCTTGAAGAAGTCTCCAATCCAATCTTAATGCGTTTCATTTGTTCTTCTTCATTTTTCTTGTCAATTTTTGATTGCAAATCTTTTGAATGGAAATTTTTCCGATGAGTATAATAATTTGATGCATTTGCAAATTTTCTTCCACAGAATTCACAAGTTTTTCCTTTTATTGCTTCAACTCCATGACTTTGTCTCTTATGAATGGCTAAAGCTCGTTTAATTTTAAAACTTTTATTGCACTCTTCACATGTCCATGGACGATCTGATGTGTGCCTTGTAATGACATGATTCTTTAAAAGTTTTTCTTTCTTCGTAACATAATCACAAATTGTACATTTATAATCAATATTTGCGTGCAACAACATGTGAGATTTAAGACACCGATTATTCTTCAACCATTTTCCACATTCCTCGCATTTTAATTGAAGTTTTACACTGTCTTTGCTATGCGTTATCATGTGTTCCTTATAAGACGTTATTGTGGAGAAACTTTTGCTGCAAATTTCACAAAGATTTCGTGTTTTTGCTGAATTATCGCCATGCGTTGCTTTCTTATGCGATGCAAGTGAGCCAGCACTTTGATACTTTCGATTGCATAATAAACAAAGGAAGACTTTTCTTTCCGCTTCTGGTTGATGATTGATCAGATGAGATTTGAGAGCACCTTTCCAAATGAATCTTTTGTCACATTTGTCACAAGAGTACGGTCGTTCTGCTGTTGTTGAATGAGTTTGAAGATGTAATTGAAGAAACTTTGGTCGTGACACAATATATGAACAAATATTGCATTTGAAAAGTTCAGGTTGAATGTGTTTGACAAAATGCCAAATCATTCGTGGTAATTTAGTTAATTTTATTTGGCAACATGTCACAAAAGGTTCACATTCGTGGGAAATCTCATAATGTGTGAATAAGTCATTCAGTCGTTTATATTTTGAGCCGCAACTTTCACAGTTGGCATTGTAGAAACTTGACATCATACGCATGAGTTTCTTGCCCTTATAAATTAAAAGACCATTCTGAGAAACTAACTGTGATGGTATATTCTTAGTTTTATGAGCTGATGGCCATTCTGAACTGTTTGTTTCTTCTGAGACTTCACTGCAAGAAGAATCATTTTGGTCTATTTTTATACTTTGATGATTTTCTTCGAAGTCGAAGGAACGGTACGATGTCTGTTCTTCTTCAACTTTTTCTGGTGCTTTTTTAATAACTTTTGTTGGCATCAAAAGATTATCAAAAAAATTTTCATTTCTCTCTCGTTTTGATCTTGTACGGATTGTGGATGAAATTTTAATTTCCTTATGTTGATGATTATTCTTATTGAGAGGTTGATAAACAACCTCTTCAAAATTTTCATCTGCGTCAATCTTCTCATTTTCAATGTTAGCTTCCGGTTGTGGAAAAACACAAATTTCATAAGCTATTTCTTGAATCTGAAATTGTTCCGGATAAATAATTTTCTGTATCGCTTTTATTTTTGTAGCAAAGTTGTGAAAGTTATCTAAAGTTTGGGAGCAGTGAAAGCAAACATGTGATGAGTTATCTGTTGAAAAAACCTATCAAATAAATTAATTAAAGTTGGTGTTAAAATCGATTAAAAAGTTTTTACCTTTAAACTCAAGTAACTTTCGATTTTTTCACTATAACCCGATGATTCGTCGAAAATATTGAGCATTAATCGCTTGTCACATTGATAATTGCAAAGTCTGCAATTTGATAGTAGGTTTTCACTCATTTTTGCTTTAAAAAATAAAGAATAAGAAATTCTTTTGATCAGTCAAACTTTTTACTGTTTTGTAAAGTTACCAACCCCGCTTATTTAAAGATAATTCTCACATATAGAGGCGTTGTTTCAGTTTACGAATTGCCTAAAAATTTCATTTAATTTAAATTTTGATCAAAAACAGATACTAAAAGATATGAGATCATTTTTAAAATCTCATAAAATATGACAGATGACTTCAAGTTATCGAAAGCTGATTACATCATTCAGCAGCTTAACGTAGAAACAGCGAAAAAAGCATGTTTTCTTCTAGCATTCAGTTTCATAATTTATCACAGTATCATTCATTTTAAATACGGTAATTATTGTCTCTTCTTATTATTTATTTTCATAATTTATTTGAATCTATGAATTTCGTTTAGGAAATGACTCTTGTAAGTGGCTTCTTCAAGACTTGGGTCGATTCAAAGGAGACAAAGAATGGCAGGTGATGATTTGTTTTTGTTTATTTCAAGACCGGCTCATTGAATAAAATAAAAATGCATTTCAGCCTTTTGGTTGCATGATTCATAAATACACAGAACAGGAAACAAGAAGATGTAATCGTTTAATCGCGTTCTTGGGAAAAGACAATCATTTCCTTTTTGTTGGTGATGCTCGAATTAAACAACTTTTCGATAGTTTCGTAAATCATTTCAAACCATCAAATGAGCCAAATGAGTCTTCTAACAATAATCTAGAATTCATTGATAGTCGCTTGAAACTTCGTGTCACTTATGTTTCCGCTGGTGATTTAAAAACAATGTTAGCGGAATTTGAAAAACTTCTCAAAGATGTCGATCCACCAAACTTCATCATCGCCAGTTCCAAATTCATTAATTTATCTTTTCAACCTGATAAAAGTGAAAATTTTACTAAGGAATTGGAGAAATCTTTCGTTAAAAACTTGACACTCTTAGTGACACCAATTGACAGTCTCGTATCAAAACAAACAAGAATTCTTTGGAAGCTTCAAGATCCAATTGATGACAGTTTAAATGAACCACCATTAGAATGGAAAGATATCACAAACTCTGACATTGAACACTACAATCGAATTATTTCTGACACAATGAAGTATTCGAATGTTAATATTTGGAGATCAGGAACACAAATCGCTTATGGGCTCATTGAAGAGATGAAAGATGGCTTCAAATTAGGACCAATTGCTTTGAAGCACGACATTCAAATCTTATTGAACATGTATTGCAATGACAACATGAATTACAATGACGGGACTTGTTGCAGTACATCAGAAAACTACACAATGCTTCAGATCATCACTTATTCCATATTCCTCGTGTGCTTAACTGTAATGTTGGCTTTGTTTCTTAAGAAATTGATTTCAAAGTTACGTGGACAAACTTTGTACATGCCATTGCAGCAAGAAATCAATCAACCGCCCATCAGCTCAGTGAATCGGATTCAAGACTTTATACAAGCACTTGGCATCCTTGGAATCATCATGGTTTACTTCTATCTATGCGATCGGACAAATTTCTTCATGAAAGAGAACAAATATTACTCTGAGTTTAGCTTTTGGATTCCTGTTTGTTGGATGACAGCTGTTGGACTTTTCTTCACGGAAGATTCAAAGTTTACTCGTGTCATGCATCGAGATCAAACTGATGAAATGAAAGGATTTATGATCATTGTTGTTCTCATTTACTACATGACCGGAGCAACTCGCGTCATCCCAATTTATATGATCATCAAAGTTTTCATCAGCACTTTTCTCTTTCTCATCGGTTATCAACATTTTTCATACTTCTGGCAAACAGGAAACAATGGAATAACTCGATTCCTAAATGTCATGTTTCGAATCAACTTCATGACAATTGTTTTGTGCTTTGCAATGAATCGACCTTATCAATTTTATTTCTTTGCACCACTCGTCTCGTTCTGGTTTGGAATGACTTACTTGACATTCACATTGCCACCAAGAATCACAGCACAAACAATTGAGAACAATTCTTATCAGTACTTATACTTGGTCATCAAATTTATTTGTTTGTTGAGTGTCATCACAATCTTGTAAGTATTTTTCGATATTTAAATCAAAGGCATTGACTGATTTTCTTCATTTCTTCCAATCAAGATACATGTCGGAAGTTTTCTTCGAAAGAATTTTCTTAATGCGACCGTGGCGTGCACTCTTTGTCAGCATGGATGATTTTGTTGATGAATGGTGGTATCGTTTCAAGCTCGATCGATATTCAACAGCTTATGGAATGATGTTTGCAGCTATTTTTATTGCTGCTCAAAAGTTTAACATCGTTGATGACAGTAATCACGGAAATTTATTTTCAAGACGAATTTCACTAACTTCGACACTTCTTTCAATTGCCGGACTTGGGTTTTATACAACTTTCACTTTCCTGTGCAAAAATAAGTTGGATTGTGAAGAGATTCACTCGTATGTGGTGTTCATTCCCATTATAAGTTTTCTTGTCTTACGAAACATCTCAGGAGTTCTCCGTACAAGATTCTCAACACTTTTCGCGTGGTTTGGCAAAATCTCATTGGAATTGTTCATTTGCATGCATCATATTTGGCTTGCTGCTGATCGACATGGTGTGCTCGTCTTACTTCCTGGCTTCCCCACACTCAACATCATTCTCACATCTTTCATTTTTGTTTGCATCTCACATGAAATTCACCGAATAACTCAGATTCTTGTCTCATTTGCTGTGCCACAGCATGATTGGCGTTTGGCTGTTAAAAACCTCATTTTATTTATGGTGGTCTTGATTCCTATTGGGAGATCTGATGGAATGATTTGAATCTTTACATTTACCTACTGAAATATTTTTCAAATAATAAAAGGAATTTCAATCTAAAGATCTGTTTTTATTTCTTTTTTTTTCTTTTATCATAATTTAGAATTTTGTCAACTTTGGATAAAATTTTGATTTTTATTAATTACGTCTAATGTTTTGTCTTGTGGTTGAAGTTGTTGCGGTTGTGATTGATTTGTAGGAATTGGTTCGTTGATAACGTAGCTTGTATATACATCATATCCAAGAGAGATTGTGTTGTCATAGAGGACTCGAAAACGATTTGGAAGAATCCAAAAATTAATGACTTGAGCTGTCGGCCAAACTGAAACGGAAGAATTTAATTATTTAATGTATAAAACAATTTTCATTAGTTAATTCTCACCAATCCACTCGGCTTTATATAATCTTATAAATTTGTGCTTTATTTCTTCCGATGTTTCGCTGAATGACGCACTTCGCATGACTCCGAGGGTCGCAAAGAACAAAAATATCACAATTGGAGATGCGATAGTTTGATCAACTAGAACTTTTTTAATAACAGCATTAAAGTTCCTTCCAGGAAGCTTGTTATCCAAAAGCTTATACCAGTAGTGACAAAATATTCCAACAGTCTAAGAAGAGTTCCTCATTACATTCTTAAAGTCTTTAATAAATTTAAACAAACTTACCATTCCTGATGCTGCCATGTTTCTCGTCCTTATTCCATCCCATTTGTCAATTTCTTTTTTATAAATCTCCAACTGTTGCTCGATTACATCGCCGACCTTAAAAAGTTGAAAGTACATTTAAAATCTATTTTTAAAATTCTAAAATAGCACTTTGCATTCATCAATAGGACGATGCTTACACTTGATAAACTTATAGAAATGATGCAGTTTGTTCCTAAAAGGTATTTGTCACTAAAGGCCATCTGTGATATATATTTCAATCGTCTAAATAGGTTGATCATTTTTTTAACGATAATCACTCAGCAATTTTTAGAATATTTACGAAATTTTGATTACATTCAAAGCTCACATGCGCTTAAAGAAAAAGTTTTATTTTACTAGGTTTTGTCTCGTTAAAATTTAGTTGAAGTCAGGATACACCAAGCAATTTGTTTCATGCTATTTAATTGTTTGGTAATAATATTCATTCAATGAAATGATACGAATTTAGATTTTAACAATAATCTTCACATATGATCATTTAACCAGCATATATCGAGGGTAATAATTTACCAAGCACTTACATAGAAGATTATTTGTGCAGAACTGTCAAAAACATTTCGACGGCGCCGTTACTTTTCAGTAGTAGTATACTCCATCCAGTCTCCAACTTGACAAAAAATAAACAAATCATCACAATTTTTAAAAGTACCGAAAATATAAAATTATAATGGTAATTAACCATCTAATATATCATATTGTTCAGATTTAACATATTCCAATTATTTACAGAGTGCTCTATTTAATTTCCAAAGCCTTTTATCAGTTATTCTTCTATTAATCTGCACTTGTGCATATCTTCGATCATTGTTCCCATCAATAATAGATCGAAATAAAACTGGAATGCTCGGAATATTTTGGAAGCTTGCACGTATTGGAGAAAGGAAGTCTCCTTATGTAGGAGTTGCTTGTTTAATGATGGCAGTGTCGATTCTCTTCTGGAGCTAAAACATTTTCCCATCTGAATTTAATTATTCTTTTAACTTACTTATAAAAATTCCTTTATTTAAAATAAAACATGATAAATACATAAAACCGAAATTTAACCATCGTCATCTTCATCATCGTCATCGACAACTTCATTCTGTGTCCACCAAGATTCAATTCCCAAGCCTGATTCGTTAATCGCCCCAATGATTTTATATGGTGGTCGACTGTTGTGGTCTGTTGAAGGGTTTGTGGAAGATGATGAAGTTTCATTATCTGGAGGACCTGAAGGTTCTGATTCAACAAACTCTTCATCAATTATTCTAAATTTAACTGTCTCCCCAACATCCATAAAAAGATCGTGTTTTTCATCTCCTTCAACTGGATACTCCCAAACCCAAGCCTAAAATAAATTTGAAGCTGCTTAGTAACGTTGTTGTTTACAATGATTAAACTCACTTGCTCAGCTTCTTCGAAGCGGCTTGGATGTTGAAGTTCGTCTTTGGGAATAAAAATATCATCAAAAAATCCCAATGTAACATAAATTCCATCACGAGCGCAACTTTTTATTTTCCCAGTAAGAAGACTTCCAATTTCTGGTCTGAAAACAATGTATCGAAAGATAACATCCGTATGCGAGGACCCTAAAATTAATTTTATTAAGCGACAATGAGGAGATGAATTAAATTTTCTCTTACCGTCAACTGGTAGAATAGAAGAGTCTTGAAAGCTGACAACTTCTCTAAAGCTAATCATCAACCCAACTGTTCATAATGAGAAGAAGAATTAGTCATTTTATTCAAAATCAACAAAATTCCGGCATTGAATGCTTCCTTACTTTTATGAAGAACTTTATTTGCCAACTTTTTATTTAACTCGAATTTGGCAACATCTGAAAGTCCTTTTGAGAATAGAGATGGGTGCACTTTTACTGTGCTTTTGAGTTCAGCAAGAACAAACATTTTAGTGTTTCACTTTTTCTAAATTTATGTTTGTTGATACAAATTTCAGCTCTGAAAAAAGTCGACACACGAACTGAAGTTCATTTCAAACCCCCACTACCAAGAAATTAACACACTCTCTACCCAAAACTCGCCTCTTCAAAGTCAGTTTCAGGTGGAGAGTGCATTTCTCACCCGGAGAACTTTTTCTCACCACTTTGTATGGAACCAAACCCACGCAAGGCGAATTCACTCGGATTAACCCGGGGGCTTCATTCTGTTGACGGGGCATGGCACTTTTCGGATTACGATGTCTCAACCCTGCACATCGTGAGTAACCTCACTGTAGGATGATTCCGTCGAACCAAATTTCAAAATAGAAATATTTTTATAAAAACTCTGTGTTCTCCTCACTTATATCTAATATAAGCCTGATATTGATTAAAAAATGGATACACAAACAGCCCAAATCCAAAAGAAACTTCAAGTTGAGTTAGACAGTTTCAAAGCAACGCAAAAAGGCAAGAAAATAATATTTTTCAATTGAAACATTAGGTTAAAAAAAGAATGTTTCTTAAAATGTCATTTCTTAATAGAATACTCAAAAATGGTTCAACAAAGACAGCTTCTTGATGGACAACTGAATGAAAATAAGAGTGTGCTTGAAGAACTCAATAAATTAACAGAAGATAAAAACACTGTAAGAATTTTAAAATATTTTCAGAAATTTTTTCTAAAATTTTATTCTATTTTTCAGGTTTATAAATTAATTGGACCAATCCTTGTGAAACAAAGCCTCCAAGATAGTCAACAGAACATCAGTAAAAGAATTGATTTCATTGGAAAGGAGCTTCAAAAATGCAACGACCGGCTAAATGGCATGGAAAAGGAACAAGACAAGCATCGTGAAAATCTTGGAAAACTTCAACAACAACTTAATGTTCTTCAAGCTATGAAAGCTTAATCATTCGATTTAAAAAACACTTCTCTTCATGATTCATTGGTCATCTCCTTTTAATTTCAATAAAAACAAAGAATTCTATGTGAGAAATCTATGAAACTTGTTTAATTCGAAAAAGTTTTCTTTCTATTTCAGCAGATCTGAGTTTCATTAAATAAAATCTTTTAATTGCGTTAAATATTTTTGATTCCAGATTAAAAGTATAGTTTCGAGAGTAGAGTAAAGAAGTGAAAATCCTGCAATTATCGATACAAAACAATATGAAAAACAATGAGAAATATCAGGGGTAGGAAATTCATAAACAGACAACTGACAAAATCATGTGACAAAACTGATCATTTTGCCTCTGAATATTTTCATTGCTTGTGGTTCAGTTCTAACTCAACTCGAATACTAAGAACACATCAAGCAGAGAGATTTAAAGCTGATTCGTTCAGAGCATATATCTATAAAGATGGCACATTTAAGGTGAGACAATTAATATGAAACATTTTAAATAATCTACCTATTTAACTAAATAAACATTTGATAAATAAACATGAGAAAAAAAACTCGTGTGAAGTGGTTTCAACTCGAGTAGAACGGTTAGTTAAGTAAAGGTCGCATTAAATTGTTATCTGCTAACATTAATGACGTCAATCTTAATTGTATGTGAAGATTAGTGAAACAAAAATTGTCTTTACTTGTTTTTAAGGAAAGGAACGCTTCTTGGAATGGGAAATCCTTTACTCGACATCTCAGCTGTTGTGGAGCCAGAATACTTAGTGAAGCACAACCTAGGACCTGACGATGCTATTCTAGCTGAGGATAAACACAAAGAAATTTTTGTTCAATTACAAGAGAAGTACAAAGTCGAGTACATTGCTGGAGGTTCCGTGCAAAATTCACTAAGAGTTTGTCAGTGGATCATCAACCAACCGAATGTTGCTGTCTTTTTTGGATGTGTTGGTGAAGAAAAATATGCTAAGATCCTTCAAGAACAAGCAGAGAAAGATGGAGTTGATGTTCGTTATCAGAAACGTAAAGAACACGAGACTGGAAAGTGTGCAGTTCTTGTTACTGGTAAACATCGATCATTGATCGCTGACTTAAGCGCGGCTAATCACTTCAGTGAAGATCACTTAAAGATTGAAGAGAACTTCAAGATTATGACGAATGCTGATTTTTATTATGTTTCTGGATTCTTCTTAACTGTTAGTCCACCATCGATACTGACTTTTGCTAAGACTGCTCTTGAACGTAATAAGCCTTTCATAATGAATCTCTCGGCTCCATTCATATCACAATTTTTCAAAGAACGTTTGATGGAGGCGATGCCTTATATTGATATCCTGTTTGGTAACGAAACTGAGGCATTGACATTTGCTACTGAGCAAAATTTTGAAACCAAGAATCTCAAAGAAATCGGTCAGAAGATGACGAAACTAAAGAAATTAAACTCGAATAGGCCACGTGTGGTTGTGCTGACACAAGGACATAATCCTGTGTTGTTGTTTGAAAATGATACAATTCGCGAATTTCCTGTATTGGAATTGAAAGAATCAGATATTGTTGACACAAATGGTGCTGGTGATGCTTTTGTTGGGGGATTTTTAGCTCAGCTTATTCAAAACAATTCGTATGAAGAATGCATTAAATGTGGCATCTGTGCAGCTCGTGCAATCATCAAGAGAAGTGGTTGCAGCGTTGGAGGTGACTTTGAATTTTCATAGAAATTCTACAATAGAAGATTTGTAATGTTCATTATTTAATGCTTTAAATATAAGAATAAGAGAAACAATTGGGACTAAATTTTCAAAGCCAAACAATGTAAAACACAAATCTGATGATCTTAAATCTCCAAGCTTATTGTTATAAGTAGAACGAAAAGTCAATAAAATGAACTTTGGCACAAAGCAATACAAAATAACTTCCAATTTTTTTTTCGTATATACCTAATCGTTGAGATTTTCTTTTAAGCCTCAAATATTTCTAAATAATCAACAAGTAAGTAAAACATAAGATGACAAGAATCAACACAGGTGTTGAAAGATAAAATAAAAAATTTGATCAAGATAAATATGAAAAATGTTTTAATGAAATAGATGAAGGTTTTCAAGATAAAAAATAATCCACAAATACATTTTCAGAACGTTTTTTATTAAGTAAGCTTAGAAGGTCAATTATTCGTTTTAATGAAATCGATGATCGATTTTATCATAAAATTTGTTTCGCAGGAAAATGTTTTTTTTTAGAAGAAAACATTTTTACATAATTTAAAAGAAATTTTTCCACTGCATTTTCCGAGAAACGAAAGGGCTATTTTTTCTAACAATTTTAATAAAATAAATAGGTAGATATCTTCATAATCTAATATATTCAAAGGTTTACATAGATATCTAATAATAAATTTTTCTTACGATATCCTTGATGGTAATCCATTTATGAGATATTGCTTCATATTAAAAATATTTAGGAGAAAACAATTAGTTAAAGATCTTCACATTTCATCTTAATACACATCATATTTGTAATTCTCTTTTCCCCTTCTTTCAATTAGATAGTTAGAAATTAAAAAATAGGATGAAATAATCAACTATGCAGTCCAGAAAAGGTTGTTAATATTTGATTCACACATAAATATCCAGGGCCTGGATATTTAACAACTATCACAAATCTAAACTCATCATGAATGGCATTCCAAGAACATTTCTTTAATTGCATCATTAACATCAACCTGTCAATTAGGTTGTCTGCCAAAAATGTTTCAAGTACTACAAAAAGCAACACACAAACTTCTTCCGAAAAGAACACGTAGAAGGTATGAAAGCATTTACAGTTAAGCAGAAAGTTTCTTCTTTCTTTTTTCTCTACCTGCTTACTTGAGTCATTCACCATTTCTTTTCTTCACACACTGATTTTTCTCATTTTTCCTTTAGTTTGAGTTTACAGTGCTGTAATGAAAGTTTAATGAGTTGAAGTAAAGCTAGCATGTTCGTGTCTGGTGAAATGTGATTGTAGATGTGTTGTAAGAGCGTGTTGCGCTTCGGTTATTCAAGCAGTTTACTACCAATGATCAAAGTAACTTCAGAAAACTGAGAAAGAAATTTAGTCCATTAAAGACCGTGATCGTGATCAGTTGATTTTATAGTTTTTGAAACATGAAGTGCTTATTAGTAACTGTCTTGATATCAGTGCAATTCTGTGCACTTGCTTACTCAACACAAAGGCCAAGTCATACTGAAGATGATTCAAGTCCTTTCCTAGACATTGCATCATCATTTTTAGAGAGTTTTAATCAGAATCAAGGAAATGGTGGTGGGTCGAGTTTAGACGGAATTGCAAGTATTGCATCATTGATTGGTAACATGGTACAGTCATCGGATAGTGGAAAATCTCAACCATCTGGAGCAGCACAAATTATTGCCGGTCTGGGGAGTTTATTAACAGCAAATAGTCGAGGAAGCGGTGGAGGTTCTGGAGGTTTCGATCCAGCCATAATTGGTAACGTCATTCAGATGTTTGCTGCTAATAGCGGAGGTTCTAAGGAGAAGCGGTCTAACGATGAAGGTAACGGAATGGAAGCAGTTCTTTCAATTGCATCTTCATTTCTTTCCAACTACAATAATCAGAATCAAGAAAATGACGAGATTGAAACTAATGAAATAAATCAAGAAAAGAAAAATCCTTATAAGAAAGAAGAACCGAAGCATCCAGGAATAAATGGAGATCAAATAATGAATTTGTTACCAATTGTGATGCAAACGTTGAGTTCTTTTACCGGTTCTGAAATGGAAAAGACTGAACAGAAACATAAAGACCACGGTGGAATTCTTCCACCATTCTTAGAGAAAATTCATACAGCGTGGGATCATTTCAGTAATTCTGAGTTAAGTGACGCACTTTACAAGAAGATCGGCTTGGATAATGTCTTCAAAGGTTTCATGGGGCGCGATGGAAAACTTGATTACGATAAACTTTTTGAATCACTTCAAAATCAATCATTTAGACGTCGTTGGATTCAAAAAGCATTGTTTTACATTTCTGACTGGGCAAATTATTTATCTGATCCGGAAGTTTATCAGAGGTTTGTAAATATTATTTGAAAGCAACCTGTTTTTTTTTGACAGAATTAGCAAGGAAAAGAGACGAAACAAACAAGAACAACCTTATTTTCATATGCTTCACCTACTACAAGTCGATAATATGAATGATGACGAAAGATATTTAACTGTACATTCTTTTACGTTGTTCAACGATACGTTCTAGTTTTCATCTTTCTTTAACTTTCCACATGTGTGTTGGTTTCGAATGTTTTTTTTTCTTTTCTGGTTTTGTCTTATGTAATGATTCTCAGTGTTGAAATTGAAATGATTAGTGATTGTGTGAATATAGCGTGATATAAGAAAATAACTATGAATTATGAATTAATGACAAGTGTAACTTTCACAGCTACTTTGCGACGGGCCAAATGATGTTCAACGGATTTTTGCAATCGCAAGGTTTTCCCAAGAAGACTCATTTTGATATTCATCGACCAAGTGAAACGATCTCGAGCTTAATTAATCATGCAGTGAAGAAAAATTTGATGGTCGATGTTGATTCAATGCCTTATGTTATGCCAGCAGTTTCTTATATTAAAGACGTTCTTAAATTAGGAAAGAATCGAGAATATTTGCAAAGAATGAACACAACGGAACTCAATAATAAGTTAACAGACACATTTAATCTCGAGGTAAGAAAATTCAATTTGCTAAATGTTGCAAAGTGATTCATACGATTTTCTAAATTAATTTGAAATATTTTAGGTCATTGAACCAATACTTAAAGTCCATCGCGCATATCGACACGCGATAACTGAAACAGAATGCGATCAATATGTTTTGTGTCAGATCAATTCACACAAACCCGATGAAAATCTTGGACTTGGTGGCTTCAAGGCTGGGGTTCTCAAGTTCGGAAGTTATTTTGCTTCGTGGTTCATCAGCGAGAAAACTCATACACCATTCTGGACCCTGTTTGGAAGTGTAAATAATCCATTCAACTGCGAAGTGAAGTATCCAGTAGATTGCACGAGATTCCATGAAGTTGAAAGTAAAGTTACAACAGAATACGCTCATACAGAACTTTAGGTGAATTATGTAGATATTTTACTAACTTTTAAGATATAAATTTAATAAATAAATAATAAATTAATGATATGATCATGTTTCATCATCAACATCTGATATTAGATAACGTTACGTTGTTTTACAACTTGAGCTCCACGTCAATTTGCGTCATGAATCACACGTCAACTCATTTTCTTAAAATTGCACCGATCAATGACGACAGTTTATCAACTGAAAATAATAAAATTGAAGGCATTCCAAGAAAATAATAAGAAATGGTTCTAAATATGTTAAAATATTTTATTAAATGAGAAACATTGCTGTAATCATAAAATTAAGTTTTACACAGACACTGTTGTGGATCAGATGACGATTGATGAAGAAAAAAAATAAAAATTTGTGTTGTGTTCAGCTTATCAAAGTTTATTCCAAAGGTGAAATTTGAATCGACTCGTTATTGCCAGTTTCGAGATTCTTTATTAAAAGACTTAGCCAGTGTTTTGTAGAGCGGTCTTCTTGCAGACATTGATTGAAAGTTGTATCACGAAGTTGATCTGGCAGACAGCGTCGTAAAGCTTCCCGGGCTCTAGCATTATCAGAAAGACGAAGGTAACAGCGGACGACGTGTTTGAGAAGACGAGATGACGGTTCTTTTGCAAGAGAAATCACCATTTTCCCCTGGAAATATAACAAAATAAATTCAAGATGATCTTGATAACTGATGGAAAACAAAAGAAATTACGAGTATTATAGCTACGTGAGAGAACCGATCATATGTTTGGCAGATGTAAGACAACCCACTGTCGTCAAGAAGAATCTTTTGAAGGATAAATGTAGCTACAGTCTTTGACAATTCTGACCCACTCTCCATGATTCTTAGACAGAGAGGAATGATTTCCGTTGTAAGTAGGAAGGTGATGACTTCCTGTTCATCTGTTTTGACTAAAGCCCCGATTACTCCCAAACTTGTCAACCGCAAATACTCGAAAGGTCGAGTTTTTGATGATGTGTGTAGGAAAGGATATAAGAACAAAGGGATATGAGCTTGAAGGAAGAATGAACGTGTTTCCGGATGTGAAGCGACATTCTGGAGAAGTGCCAAAGCATTACAAACACGGTTCGATTGTTGAGCTGTTAACGTTGGTGGTGTTATTGATGGATAAATATTGATGATCTCCTGAAGTAGTGCAGCAATCGTGCCTGATTATGAGAATAAAATTATTTTACCATTAAAGTTTAACAATCTTTTTCTTACCAAATGAATGCCATAACATTGGAGCAAGGTCGGGAACAGACTCTCTCTTCTTGCTAAGCTCAAGAAGAGCGTTCTCTCTTGTTTCAGGATTGCTTAATTGATTGATATAAGTGTACACTTCCTATTTTTTCAAAAGATGGAAGAGTTATTAATTTGTTGTTTGTGTAATTCAACGTAAGATTTTTTTTTGTTTTTTCTTCGCCGACTCATCAAAACTTTTAAGACTTTAGAGTTAAAACTAAGATATTTTGCTACTTATACACTAGCTCAAACTTATAATTAGCTTAAAAAGTACTTCTTAAGATCATTTAAAATCAAAAAACTTACAGAATCCATTGTTGATTCGACTTTCTTGTTTGAGCGGGGCTAACAACGTAGATTTTTCTGTTTCAAAGTTGCAGGTTTAACTTTTTAAATAATATTTGACGGTTATATTTTATTAATTTTAAATTTTTAAATTTACAAAATCTGTTGATGGATTAAGCTTAAAAACAATCACAAGCACAACTGAAGACAATGTATAATGTCTCTTATATCAGACCAGCCTCCATTTGCTCTTAAATCTGGAATTCTACCTAAACTTACTAAACTTTCATTAGCCCTCGATTGAATATTTGAAGGAAACATGAAAACTGAAGATTCTTTAAGACGATATCTGATGTTTCCTATTATTTGATCTTCATTACATTCAATATTGTTATGATGGACACCGTTGCTGTTAATATATTTTATGTAGTCACAATATTCATAATAAAATTAAAAATAAATATAAGCAAGACGCAAATAATATTGGACGAATAAACTCAAATTTTCATTCAAACCCCTATAAATTATTCTCATTATCTGCTTTTAATAAAAAAGGAATGAATAAAAAATTTATATTGAATTCGTTTAGTCCAATTTTCGAGGGTGCAATGTTTCATTCTCTAAACTCACCATTTTCCAAGATGATAAACTCTTGGGCCCATTAATACCAATGCAATCATTCTTTGATACAAACATTTTTGACTGGTGTACTGCAATGACCAATCCCAATTATAATCGTCATAAGTACAGAATTCTTTTGCACAAGATTTTATTTGCTGCCAAGTTATACGGTTGAAAGCCATTCCCATGTTATGTTTGCTGCTTATCCAATCCGTGATAAGAAACTACTTTACATGTATGAAGGTTCACAATATTATTATTAATAAGTTCATGCTTGAGTAATAACATTGAATGAAGTTATTACCTTATCGTACGTTTTACTATTAATAGTTTTATCATAAACACCAAGGGAAAGAATATTACAGAATGGACATTGTTCCGGTAACGCCTTTTGCATTAAATTCAAAACGTGGAGAAAGTCTTCAGCAACGTAATGATCTTCTTCCAAGAACAGCACATAACCAGAATGATTTTTGGTGACTTCGAGATGATCAAATACTTGATTTGCTTTCCACCACCAATGGTGTTTTGTCTGAGTGAATGAAGCTTCGCGATAATGTCCGTGAATGTCAGGATACAACGCATTTTTACAATTCGTTTTCAATGCAATATTCATCGTCATGTCACGTTTGCAATCTCTTGGATCAGTTCCAGGAAATTCATTTGGATGCATTTGAATTGAGAATGGGTAAAATATTTGCATCACTTTACAGAAATCGATGCTTTGCACCAACTCGTTGATTTCTTCGTCATAAAAATCATGTGAGAAAATCAAAAGTGCTTTGGAAATGTCTCTGGCTTGAGCTAAGCTCACGATCAAATGACGTAAATATGTAATTCGTGTGTGGACTTGAATTACAATGATCATGGAATCATACAACAGAGGTTCGAATATTTCTTGNGAGTTAAGATTCGCAAAAATATTTTTAAAAAACATATTTAGAAAGAAATATCAAAGTCGCTTTCACTGCTACTACAGCGAATAAAATATTTAAAATATAAATAGAAATTTTCAATAACAACAAGCAATGTTCATTCATAATGTTGTTTCAAGCTTGTAATGTTAGTAATGACTTGTCCCTGAATGCTTAACATTAATGGAAGTGCGAATATTTTGTTGTTTGATTATGATACACAAATAGATATCTATGTAAACATTTGCATTATGAAATGATGAAGAGAAAACATGAAAAAAATGGGGAAAGACAGGAAATCAATAATATTGAAGAACGATTCACTAAGTTCTTATTTAGGAAGAAAGTTTTAATTCTAATATTTCAACATCTAAATGTCTACATAAAAAATAGTGATCAGTGATAGATGAGTGAAGTGCTTCTGATGAAATATTAAATATAGTTACATTCACAGTAAAATTAACGCTTTTCGCATTCATAAATTGCGCGATATTTGTTTATCTTTTTAAACCCGAGTTATGAAAAGGTTTTTAAGAGAAAAAATATTCATTTAACGTAGCAAAATATCACAACAACAAAAACAAAACAAGAAAAATGAGAAGAAATCCAGTCGAATTCAGGATAAATATTCAAATCAAGGCATTTATAAGTAAAAGAACATCAACCAAGTTAATAAGAAAAAAAAGTTAACGATAGATTCTGTTTTTGTGTTTTGTACCTTTTGGTAAACCGAATACAACGTTGGAATGGTTTGATAGCCCCACATGAATTTCTCGGTGGTTGTTTCAATTTTATTAGCAAGCAAATCAGCTCCACTCGAACTGCGATCGTCTCTGATGTTCGAATGGAACGTATTGCCTCCGTAAAAGTTGCCAAATAAAGCTTTGTTAGTCTCCTTCACCAGCAATCAATCAATCGATAATTTTCATTAATTTTTGTTCATAATTTTTAATTCGGGATGAGATTGAGAAAAAAAGAAATGTGTGAGTGATACAAACAACAAAGCCTTGTGAGCTTGTGAAGATGAAAATAATGAAAAGAATAATCAAATGATTTATTAATTTAAGTGAGTTTTTGAACTCGCAACTTTGTTGGCATTTAAAACGAATTTCTAATTAGCATCTTTTAAATTATAAAAATTCACAAAAATTAATTTTATCTTGGTAAATATTAGCATAAGAAATCTGCTCACCTTTTTATGGTTGTTGCCGTATGTGTAATAATTGAAAGTCTTCAAATATGTTCCCAACGACATGATGTTGCACTTTGAACAGAGCTCAAATGCTTTTTGCTGCATCATTGAAAGAAGATAAAGAAAATCTTCAGCGACGTAATGATCTTCTTCCAGGAATAACACGAGACCTGTGTGATGTCTGGTGACTTCGAGCTGATCGAAGACTCGATTTGCCTTCCACCACCAGTGGTGTTTGGTCTGAGTGAATGAAGCTTCGCGATAATGTCCGTGAATGTCAGGATATTGAGCGTTTTGACATTTGGTGATCAACGCTTGTTCCTTCTTCATGTCACGTTTGCAATCTCTTGGATCAGTTCCAGGAAATTCATTTGGATGCATTTGAATTGAGAATGGGTAAAATATTTGCATCACTTTACAGAAATCGATGCTTTGCACCAACTCGTTGATTTCTTCGTCGTAAAAATCATGTGAGAAAATCAAAAGCGCTTTGGAAATGTCTCTGGCTTGAGCTAAGCTCACGATCAAATGACGTAAATATGTAATTCGTGTGTGGACTTGAATTACAATGATCGTGGAATCATTCATAAGAGGTTCGAATATTTCTTGGTTTAGTATTGTATAATGATCACTTTCCTGCTTACCATCAAGTTCACCATCTAAACAATTCACAAAATATTGAATATTTCCCGAGAATGAAAGTTTCTTTAAATTTAACTTACCATTGCTAACAGCAAAGAAATATTTCAAAAAGAAAATTGCCAAGAAAAAAGCTTGAACGACCAGACATTTCCTCCAAAAATATCTTTTCATTTAAAGTTTAATATTCAAACTTTTACTCAAAGCAACAAAGCTCATGTTCTATCTAAGTGAAAATGAAAACTAAATATTCATCACATTTGTTTTCCTCTTTTTTCGTTTTTAAACCAAATTTTGGGGATTGAAGAATAAAAACGACGAGTTTGATAAAAAAAAAGAGTTTTATGGTTTATTTCAGTTCATGATTATTAACTTTGCAATTGTCAAAGCAAGAATGCTTAGCTTCAATCACTTTTTTTTTCACAAAACGCTTTAAATAAAAAGTGTAAATGTTACCTTTAATGCGAGTGATCATCATGATTGTCTGTTAGAGTTGAAATGTTAACTTTTAATATCAATTTATTAACAATAATTTTAATTGAAAAAATAATTTATTAAAAAGCGCCAAATTTTATTCTTCAACACTTTTTGTTTTCCTATTTTTGGTATATATAAGTAAATAACATGGAGATGTAACTCAAGATTCATCTTATTCATAGATCTTTAGGCACACGTGATGAGAAGTGTAAAAAACAACAAAGCGACTCATTTTCAAACAAGTGATTTTGATTAACACTGGAAAGCCATTTAAGTTTCTTCAAAGTTCTTTCATCTTGAATTCTCATCAAGAATTAAAGAGAAAAATATTCAGATGTGAAAAATTGATATTTTAATTATTAAGTGTTAACATGGCTGGTTAAGTATTGTTATGGCACTGTATGAATGAACTTCGTTGTATAAAAATTTCGGTATTATCGTTATCATCAAGTGTCAATTTTGTATCTTTCATTCTTCGGTTTGAAGTTTTGATTTCATCTCCTGATTTTAATATTTTATGACAATTTTCATATTTTTAACTTTGGCTTCATGGCTTCCAATATTCATCATGTGGAAGAGAAATAATTAATCATACACACACGCACACACTTTATTGCATTCATTCATGCATGGTCATGTTAAGACACAACATAATATCACGTATATCTGCCCAACCACCATTGGGCTTAAGCGTATCTGAAACATCGTCATGGTCTAAAGTTCTGGTAAGTTTGAGATTCCTTGGGAATAAATGACCAGAAAGGGAAGCATTTATGATCATCTGTTGTGATTTTGAGGTTAATTGATCACAGTCAGTCTTTGTGTGATGCATTCCGCTAAAAAGATTTCACATCAATCGTTTAATCTTTTATCGAAATAAAAATTTAACAATTCTCACCATTCACCAATATGAAACACTCGCGGACCACGAATAATCATCACATTAAGTTTATTCTCCAAGCATTTGTAATTAATATTTTGCAATGACCAATCGTAGTTGTAATCATCGTAATCACAAAAATATTTTGCACATGACTTTATCTCATTCCATGTCTCACGATAAAAAGCCATTCCCATATTATGCTTGCTTGTAATCCAAGGCGATATTTCTATCTGAATTCAAAAATTATACAATTTAAATGACATTGAATAAGATTTGACGATTAATCATTCAAAAACCTGGTCATAGTTTATTCGTGTGATCGCTTCGGAATATGTTCCAAGAGAGATGATATTGCAATATGAACACAAGCTGCTTGACCTCTCATGAAGTTGCTCTAAAACATGTAGAAAGTCAGGTGCAACGTAATAATCCTCTTCGAGAAGCAACAACAGCCCGTTGTGGTTTTGTGTCACTTCGAGTTGATCAAATATTCGATTCAACTTCCACCACCAGTGATGTTTCATTTGTGTGAAAGGAGCTTCACGATAATGACCATAAAGGTCAGGATGAAGAGCGTTCAAACATTTACTGTTGATTGCAGTCGTTTTATCTAAGTTTCGTTGACAATCTCTCGGATCACTGCCAGGAAACTCATTCGGATAAATTTGGATTGAGAAAGGATAAAATATTTGCATAACACGACAAAATGTTATTTTCTGCACCAGCTGATTTATTTCGTCATCATAATAATCATGAGAAAAGATCAACAGTGCTTTTTCAATGTCTTTAGCATGTGAAAGACTTGCGACAAGTTGACGCAAGTATGAAAGTCTCCTATGAACTTGAACCACAATGACAACTGTGAAGTTTGTTGATATTCCAAATAAACTCTCATTAAGTATCATTTGTTGTTCATTGATACTTTGAACTGATTGTCGTATTGATTTTGTCGATTGAAGATATGAATTTAAGTTCACATTCCATGATGTCACGAGTTGTAAATCTGGTTCATTAATTTTGATTTTTTTATAAAAAAAATAAGAAATATGAAAAGAGAAATATTTCTCAAATGATTAAACTTATTCTCTAAGCTATTGAAATTAAAATCATGCTGCACTCACCATAATTGATAACATTTGACTGATTCACTAAAACAATTACAGAGAATGTTAGCAAGAGAGCGACGATGATGACGAAAAGCCGGCGTCGTATTGATAACTTTTTTGAAAACAGCATATGTGAACATTTAAGCTCGACAGATGGCCATCGACTGAATCTCTTTATTTTTTTGGGTCCGAAAATCATCAAATAAAAATGTATAAAAATAAAAAAAAATTAAAAGATCTCAACGATGGCGATGCGAAGAGAAGATAAAAAGAAGACGTTTCGCAAACGATTTAATAATATTTGTTAGGTTGTATGCTTTTGTCTAGAAGAGTTTGTTATGATAACCCGAGAAAACCGCGAACGAAATGAAAATGTGAAAATATAAAAAAAAGAATGCGAAGAGAGTAAAATTGTTCGTGCTTCAACTCTCAAGTTTATTTAAAAACTAACTATCTACATATTTTTAATTGTCAGTCAGTATGTGAGGACTTCTGGATGGGGTTCAATATGTCTTTATGTCACGTCGTCAAATAAGTTCCATAATACTCAAATTTATTTATTTACTAAATGGTTACTTAGCTTGTTGTCCTTCGTTCAGCTGTTTATCTAGTTCATTTCGATATAAAATAAATAACAATTTTCGTCATGCTGAATGTGGTCAATCTTGTTGCATAATAAGATCTGGTTCGCAACATTTACCCACAATAAACATTAAATCATCTAACACTATGACGTCAGCAAAAGCCCAGAAATTTTTTGCATTTTTTAACTTTTTTTATATTTGTCAAGTTGTCAAGTGATATTGACAGTCAGTAAATGGCATAAGTGACAAGCCTTTCCATCACACCCCAAAGCAACAAAAAGATTATTTCTTCTCATTTCTTCTTCACGATCTTTATGCGCAATAAAAAAGTAAGAATTTTTCTGAAAGGTTTTTTGCATTCTTATTTGTTGTCTCCAATCGATGACTTCGAAATTATTGACATAATGTTTGAAAGACTCCAACTAACACTTAATTCTCTTTCTTTCCTTTAAAAAAATGTAAATTCTCTCATCAAAAAACGCAATACGTATGTTGAACGGAAGTATTGTGGCGGTCAATAAAAGCTACTCGTTTCACTATTCAATTCTTATTTTTTAATTCTTGACTTCAAATTTTGAAAGGTGAAATGATAATTTTAATTTATTTTTCGGCTCGTAAATACATAATACAGTGAAAACATACAGTAAATACATAAGTACATAACATTGTTATTCGCAATGAAGTGAAATGATCTTTAAGTGAAATGATAAGTCACTGAAAGAGAATGCAAACAGTCATCAAAAATTTGTCCTGAAATTTTTCATTAATTTTCTTTTATTTTTTATAATTTTCACACTGAGGCAATTATATTTGACAACACAAAATTAATTCTTATGTTTTCGGTTTTTCCAATTTTAATATTTACAAATATTTATTAACAGTCGGAAAGATTAAAATCGCTTAAATCAGCAAGATTAAAATAAAAACTTCACGAAATCAATTCGTCATCAAAATCGTGGGAATTTCATTTTTCCCTCGATTCTTTTCGAATATTACTTTTGATTATGTTGTAACTTTTGGATTTTTATGACCTTAATTTATGGTAGATAGTTTTGTATAAAAAAAGGAGAATTTTATTAGGTTTTGATGTTTTCAATGAATCAATTGAATAATTTGTGTTGCTGAACAATTACAAAACAAGAACACAAAAAGTGATAATAATTAATTCGCAACAAATAAAATTTTCATTACAATGGCATTGCTTTTAATATTCAACGGTTGTAAATTAACATAATTTATTTTTTAGTTCAACATCCCTGCCGCGTACACATCAACACTTCAATTAAAAAACATTTCAATTGGCTTTCAGCATTTTCTGTCATGCTGAAAAATGATATGAAATGCAATTTAACAAATTGATTCATCAATATGCGGACTGTTCATGAATATCTTTTATTTCTTTTTTATTGATCTGGTTTCATCTTCTTTCAGAATCACTGAATTCTTAAATTTCTTACGAAACTAAAAATCGAGTTTCGCTTCACAAGAATAAATTTGTGATGTCACTTAGTCTTGGTAACTAAATAAAAGTTCCTTATGAAAGGTTTTTCCCAATTCGACTAGCAAACTTCTTTCTTTTCTAAACATGGCAACAACCAATCAAATTAAATTGTTCGAGATTTATAAAATATCTTTTAAGGAAACTTAACACCGACGAAAATTGTTAATTTGCGCGGCGAGATTGACATCAAGTGCCATGCTTAATTATTTTAAATAGAAATTATTATTAGATGATAATAGTGACGATATGACTTGATTAGAAAAGATTTAAAACATTCTCTTGCAACAAAGTTGTCGATGAGAATCACTGGTTGAACAAAATTTCTCTTTTTGTGGATCTAAATTAAATGCTTACAATATTGTTGGATGGAATTTTAAATACAGAAAACTCTCTCGGTAAAAGAAATCTCGATAAATTCGTATTCGTTTTATATTTATTCGTACTCTTCGAAACATTTTTATCGAGAGTTGACTGTTAACAGACTTTTTAGCTTCCATGACTCGTCATCTTATAAACGAAGGAAAAAGAAAACAAAACATTGTGAATGTTATAATTTGTCTTGATGATTTTCAAACGTCTTTTTTCATCGAGATCGTAATAAAGAGTTAGATCTCGTATAATTTTATCACATCTCCATGAACTGGTTTTTGATTCTTAAATCAGATCCTTTATGATTATAAAACTGCCAATCTATCTAACGACCAATGTCATGTTTAAACATAGCAATTGATCACGTCGATCACCCCAACCACCATTTCCTTTTCGAATTTTCTGTTTCTTAATCACACTCGTAACCGTCAACATGAGATTCTTTGGATAAAGTTGACCAGCTTTACTGGCGACATTAATAACTTGTTGTACTTTTGAAATAACTTGATTAGACTCACAGTTGTTTTTCTTGTGATGAACACCACTGGGAAGGAAATAAAGAATAAATGTGAAATCGAAGAACTTTTTAATTTCTACATGAAGAGAACTACGGAAAATTGTGACAATTGAAATGATGAAGTAAAACATATTTCAAATATTTACTTTATTCATTTTCCGTAGATTTTCTGAACACTTACCATTCACCAATATGAAAAACTCGCGGACCTCTCACGACCATTGCAAATAATTTCTTTTTTAAACATTGATGACTGGTATGTTGCAATGACCAATCCCAATTATAATCATCATAAGAACAAAAGTATTTCGCACATGACTTAATTTCATGCCATGTTGTGCGGTTTATCGCCATTCCCATGTTGTGCTTGCTGCTTATCCATGGCGTTACTTCAACCTTGAATTCGAGTTAAGATTCGCAAAAATATTTTTAAAAACATATTTAGAAAGAAATATCAAAGTCGCTTTCACTGCTACTACAGCGAATAAAATATTTAAAATATAAATAGAAATTTTCAATAACAACAAGCAATGTTCATTCATAATGTTGTTTCAAGCTTGTAATGTTAGTAATGACTTGTCCCTGAATGCTTAACATTAATGGAAGTGCGAATATTTTGTTGTTTGATTATGATACACAAATAGATATCTATGTAAACATTTGCATTATGAAATGATGAAGAGAAAACATGAAAAAAATGGGGAAAGACAGGAAATCAATAATATTGAAGAACGATTCACTAAGTTCTTATTTAGGAAGAAAGTTTTAATTCTAATATTTCAACATCTAAATGTCTACATAAAAAATAGTGATCAGTGATAGATGAGTGAAGTGCTTCTGATGAAATATTAAATATAGTTACATTCACAGTAAAATTAACGCTTTTCGCATTCATAAATTGCGCGATATTTGTTTATCTTTTTAAACCCGAGTTATGAAAAGGTTTTTAAGAGAAAAAATATTCATTTAACGTAGCAAAATATCACAACAACAAAAACAAAACAAGAAAAATGAGAAGAAATCCAGTCGAATTCAGGATAAATATTCAAATCAAGGCATTTATAAGTAAAAGAACATCAACCAAGTTAATAAGAAAAAAAAGTTAACGATAGATTCTGTTTTTGTGTTTTGTACCTTTTGGTAAACCGAATACAACGTTGGAATGGTTTGATAGCCCCACATGAATTTCTCGGTGGTTGTTTCAATTTTATTAGCAAGCAAATCAGCTCCACTCGAACTGCGATCGTCTCTGATGTTCGAATGGAACGTATTGCCTCCGTAAAAGTTGCCAAATAAAGCTTTGTTAGTCTCCTTCACCAGCAATCAATCAATCGATAATTTTCATTAATTTTTGTTCATAATTTTTAATTCGGGATGAGATTGAGAAAAAAAGAAATGTGTGAGTGATACAAACAACAAAGCCTTGTGAGCTTGTGAAGATGAAAATAATGAAAAGAATAATCAAATGATTTATTAATTTAAGTGAGTTTTTGAACTCGCAACTTTGTTGGCATTTAAAACGAATTTCTAATTAGCATCTTTTAAATTATAAAAATTCACAAAAATTAATTTTATCTTGGTAAATATTAGCATAAGAAATCTGCTCACCTTTTTATGGTTGTTGCCGTATGTGTAATAATTGAAAGTCTTCAAATATGTTCCCAACGACATGATGTTGCACTTTGAACAGAGCTCAAATGCTTTTTGCTGCATCATTGAAAGAAGATAAAGAAAATCTTCAGCGACGTAATGATCTTCTTCCAGGAATAACACGAGACCTGTGTGATGTCTGGTGACTTCGAGCTGATCGAAGACTCGATTTGCCTTCCACCACCAGTGGTGTTTGGTCTGAGTGAATGAAGCTTCGCGATAATGTCCGTGAATGTCAGGATATTGAGCGTTTTGACATTTGGTGATCAACGCTTGTTCCTTCTTCATGTCACGTTTGCAATCTCTTGGATCAGTTCCAGGAAATTCATTTGGATGCATTTGAATTGAGAATGGGTAAAATATTTGCATCACTTTACAGAAATCGATGCTTTGCACCAACTCGTTGATTTCTTCGTCGTAAAAATCATGTGAGAAAATCAAAAGCGCTTTGGAAATGTCTCTGGCTTGAGCTAAGCTCACGATCAAATGACGTAAATATGTAATTCTTGTGTGGACTTGAACAACAATGATCGTGGAATCATTCATAAGAGGTCCAAAGATTTCTTCATTGATTATTGTTTGATATTCGTTGTATTTCTCGATGGAACGTTGAATCTCACTTGCATTCACCAACTGATATCTCTCAGCACTTGACGGCTGACTCGCATTATTGGCTATAATAAACCATAAAATAATTAACAATCACCGATCATCTATCAACAACATTGCATAATCTTTAAATTATCTTTTCTGTTCGCATAACATTTACAAGCGGAAAAAATGCGCACACAAAGAGAAATCGAGTTTTAGTTGGAATGTTAGGCAAACATATTTAATGCTCGATTCAGAGTTCGGAATTGGAATTGATATAAGAAAATTTGAATATCAATTCTAAGTCCTGGATAGCTAGTCGCTTACCTTGTGAGTTGTTCTTTGGCTTTAAATATTTATGAAGTACGAGCGGAATTGCGGCCAATATTGCTTTTGACGTGTCGTTGTTTGTAGTGACTTCAGCAGCAATAGGCTGACGAAAATCTATTGGGAGCGAATGAATAACATTTTTGGGTTACAAATTAACTTAATTAGCAGAATAAAAAATAGCAGGAGTCAGTTAAGTAATTCCAGGGAGAGTAAAGCTGAACATTTTGGAACGATTTGAATTCATATCCACAACAACAAAGGATTTTCACTCGACTTACCATAATTGATTACATTCAGCTGTATGATAATGAAGATTATTACGAACAAAGCGATTGCTATGCGAATCAATAAAATTTGCTTTTTTCTAGCGAGGGCGCCTGTGTTTGGAAGTGGAATTAAGATTTTTCGTTTACTCGTGTACATTGAATAAGCTGAAAATATAATTGAGTTAATGAAGGCTATGAAGTGAACATCGGAATGGAAAAAGATTCTTTCTACTCACCTCGCATTTTTAAGATTGATATTAATCAATATTTTAACTGACATTTATTCGATTTTTGGTTGGTGCCCCAAATGACCTGATGTCGTCGGCATCAAACCTAATTGTCCGACTGCGTGCAATGGGAAGTGATTAGTTAGCACCCTTGTAATTTATTTTACTATTTTTAAAGCCCAAATTAATAACCAGAATCAGAAATTATCAAAGCGGAACTTTTCAACTTTTTTTTATTCAGTTTCACTTCGAATTTTCATTCCTTAATGATGATGGACATAGAAAATCTATCTTAACACAATTGTCATCATCACAAAATCATTTTAAAATATTTATCATTGATTTTAGCACTGTTAAGGAAATTTTTTACTCTTTGGGATCCATTAGGAAAAAGGAAAAATAAAGTTCAAAACAATAATTTTTCATTACCAAAATTTTTCATTTTCCAAGGGAACTTCAAACACTCGTCACTATGTGAGACATCACAGCAATGATTACAACAATCAAATTTGTTTCACACTGCAAAACAATTGAGTTTTAATTACTTTTAATTGGTTTATTTATCGCGAGCGAAATTCTACGATTGAAAACTTTTTCTCGATTGAAAGTTTTGTAACGCGGTTTTGTCAGAGTTGCAAACCAAGCGACTGTCGTGTGTACAAGAAAAAAGTTTTGTTTTTTTTTAATGTTTTCAGATTTTATTTCATTTCATTTACATTTAAATTATTTTTGAGGAAAGCTGACGACTCTATTGACTGCTAATTAGTGGGACCATCACTTGCAGCTTGTTTATGCTTGTCCTTTGTATTCCTTAATGTGACCCAATACCCACACTGGAATCGCAGTCCAACCAGCAGCCATCACAAGACACAGAACCGCTTTTTCCTGATAAAATATAAAATTAGAAGATATTAAATATATGTAAATGATCAGTAACTTAAAAGCTAATTATTGTTGTTATTTTCTTAATTATTATCTTCAAGTCTTTGAGGTTCAAATCCTGATTATTTTTTAAAATAATAATTACGCAACTTTAAAAGTCGCCTAATAATTGATTGACAACATTAATTCTATCAAACTAGTTATCACTTAAAAGGTTGTTTCTAAATAACTTACAGCAAACGACACACGAACTTGTGGAGGTCCTGAAAATTAACAAAAATATATTTCAATAATGAAAAATAAAATTTTAAAAAAACAAATAAATTTCACCTGAAACGACGTTGATTCCACGACGTTGCACATGTGTAATTGCTGGTGACAAAGATTTAATAACATGCTTTGCGAACATTTTGAATGTTTGTTAGTTTATTTAGTTTTTAAAGTGAAATATCCGAAAAGTTTTAGTTTCCAAATTTTAGGAGAAAAACTGCTAAAAATGTTACCTCTGTAACTTCAAATATTTAAATACGTCAATGATGGCACAAAAGTTCAAGTTTGGGTTTTACAGAATTTTTTTATTATTCTTCTTATCGTTTGAGTCGAGCAGATATCATCGAAAACAAAATTTCTTTTGTCGATTACTGCTTTACTCAATATTATAATCAAAATCTTACAACTAATGTTAGAAAGTTTACAAACCGAACTTCTAAACCTGATGGGGAAATAAACAGAAAATAGGCAGCGACGATTTTTAAAAGCTAAACCTTAGAACTTTATTAAATGAGGAGACAAATATTTCATCATACCGAAAGTCCTGAAGCGCTTAACTCCAATGACTTTTTCCAAGGATGCATCGCAGATTGCGTACTGCTTATTTTTCGGATCGTACAAATTCTTTTCCTTAATTATGGCCCAAACTTTCTTAACAACCTCATGTCGTGGTAATTCTTTTGCACCCATAAGAGAAGCAAGATCTGGTGAAAGTTTGTAAGGACGAGTGAATCCCGTATATTTTCCTTTTTTCGGTGCTGCCTTCTTTTTCTTTGCTTGCCAATCGTCACTTTCATCGCTGGATGATCCACGTCGTTTTTTACTTGTTTTTGTTGGTTTGAAGTCACTTTCATCAGAAGAGGCAGCTTTACGTTTTTTTGTTTTAACTTCTGGTTCAGACTCACTGCTACTCGACTCATCGGAATCTTGCATTGAGTTTACACATTCCTTAATAAACATATTTTCAGTAATCTACAATTAAATATTTCCTAGTGTTTGTTTTTACCATGATCAATGTGTCCAGTTCTTTTTTCCGAGAGGTCAGATCACATTTTAACTTATCCTGAAGCTGATGTCGCACTCCTTTTGATGTTGCTTTTTCCAAATCAGATTTTGCAAGAATAGCTTAAAGGAATTACAACAAGAAAAAAAGATTAAAGCCGGCCATAGCTGATATTAATTTTTGAAGTGAAAAAATGGAAATACGAAGCATATATCAACTACATACCATTTATTTCTTTACGTAATTCATCTTTGGAGAACGATGTAGCCATCCTTGGTGTACTGTACAAATTTTTCACTACTTTAGGTACTTTTAAAATAACAAAATTGTTTTGTTTTGTGTAGCTGTTTTTTTTTCTAAAGATGTGTCTTTGATAATTCGCCGTCGCCGTTGGTTTTTGAATGGCAATCCGTTGCGAAAATCTATTGAAAAATAAAAGCTTTTATTTTAAAAAATAAAAAATATCCAAGCTTTTCTCAGCAAAAACAATTAATTTATTTGTTTAAATATTAATTTCAGATAACAAAAGATTCAATAAATTTTTTTATATTAGTTAGCAAATATAATTAAAAAATTTCCAAACAATCCATCATTACGAAGGTTCTTCATTTAATCTCTTTTAATCTTCTATTAATTTCTTCAGGTTGATAATCTTAAACTGTTCAATCAAAATATCTGCACATATTATACAGGTCTTGTAGTTATTATACATATACTTATTAAAAAAACCTATTAGATCACAAAGAAAATTATCAAGTAAAACTAAGCTCATATAACGTAAATATAAAAATCATTTTAAAAGTCTGATGTGCTTGCTATGATGTTCAAGAAGTTGAGAACAGGCTGAAAAGAAATACGAAAAAAATTAAAGTTTCTGGCCTTGAAGGTTTTTTGACTCTCCATAAAATGTGTTTTTCGTCGCTTCAACGAAAAGTCTGCAAAAGAACTTCATTTTTCTGAATTTCCTTTATGCTTTCGTACACCAACAGAGATGTAGTTTGGATTTAGGAAAGGTTATTGAATACGTTTTTAGGTGATGTATACGTTTGTTTCTTTAAGAATTTTTGTCTCAGTGAGATTACAATCCTTACAACCAATGTTCATTCAAAACTGGCCAATCTTCTTTTTTTCACCAGCATTCGAACGTTGCTTTGCTTGGTCTTACTTTTATGAAAATCAGCCTTTTTTAACAGATCGATAATGTGAACATTGAAAAACCAGAAAGCAAGAAAAAGAACCGCAAAAATTTCATAACTCGACTTTGTCGTTTTGCTCGTCGTGTCTTGTCAATTGCAAAGTAAATTTATTTCTTTGTGATTCTTGTAATTTGCGATTTGGACAAACGTTGTTAGATTCGTCGATTTTGTTTTTGGTTTTCATATGTTTAGTGTAACTGACCTCGGAGAATTTTATATTTGTAACGTCAACCCGAACGTATTTTTAAAGAGTGCTTTTTTTCGGTGTGTGCTTTGATGGTCATTGACCCCAGTATACTCTAACATTTCAGACAAGCTACGAAACACACAAAAAAAAGCTAAAATGAATGAAGACTCTCGATGCGTTTTTATTTTCGACTCTCTTTGCTAACTCAGTTCGCAGTTCGCTCAAATATTTTTTCTGATATTTTTGCTTCAACAACTTTCTTAAATGTGTTTCAACCTCTCGAAATTTTTTCGCATGTGTGCGGAGAATTTCTTGTTATAAAACAACATTTCTTTATCATTAAATTATCCAATTGCTTTTATATATATTTCTCAATGTTCTTTTAAATCTTTGTACGAGTATTATGTACAATGATTTATCGCCTTTCCTTTTCGATTGTTTTGTGTGTTCCTAATTCCGATGAAAAGTTTCGTGTTACTTTTTTTTCTCGTTTTTTGTGGGTCGTCAACATCATGACCTATCCAACAAAGTTTTTATACTGGAGATTGGACCGAAATGTAAACGACCTGCCTCAATGTGAATTTCATTCGATTTCGTTGCTTTTTGAATGTGTTGTTAAAGCTTTTTGTGTTTTTCGGAAATGTTAAGCATTTGATTGAATTGACGCAGTTAATAATTGATGATGACAAAACTTTTAGAATATTATCAGAAGATATTTTATCAACTTCCTAACAGATTTTAATTGAACGAATAAAGTATTATGGCTGTGTTCGTTACATGTATTATAGTTCGGTGAGTGTCTGGAGATAAGACAAACGGGGTTATTGATCATGAGACATTTTTGATAGCAGAAAACCTTGGTTTTATTTTTGCTTCTGATTGTGTGAAAAAATTGTGATGCGAAATTACAACAAAGAAACGAAACAAGAAGGAAGTAAGCATTGATAAGAACTTTTCAATTTCAACTTCCGTCGAAAATGTGGGATAAATAAACGATTTAATGAATGAAAATTTCTCGTCTCGTGGCTTCTCATTCGGCCTTTTCTGTCTCGGAAAAATCGTAATATATTTATAGCATCGGTACTGTAACATTGACTTTGGTTTGTCGACTCTACTCGACAGCAAGAACACGGTACAGAGCAGAGATAGCAGAATTGCATGATTCATTTTTAAGTTCTCTCGGAAAACGGCTCAGAATATCTGCTTCCGCATTTAAACATAAAACGAAGAGGCTTCTTCTCCTTTCTGCACTGCACAGTATACACATTTATACCGAGCATGAGATTTGTGCTCGTGTAATCGATTCACTTTCATTCATTGCCATTACATTATTATTGTTTACATTTTAAGTGCGAGCTTTGACATAGAAAAGAGCGCAACATAAATCTCATACATAAATCGTAAACAGCATCAACATAATATTTCATTATGTATGCTGTGAAAGGTTTAGCAAAAGCTTAGATCAGAAACAAGCCTAAAACGGAGTCATCAAGTATTGCTAATGGCATTCGTTATAGTGTCTTTAAGACGATATTAAGCATGCGAATGTAACAATTTAAGTTTAAAACCATCCACATAGATATGATTTGTATGTAGAAGCAATAAATAAATTGAATCAATAATCGAATATATATAGAAATCTTTTATGAATCTCGTGATAATTTTATCATGAAAGCTTTTTCGAACGTATCTCAAATCTGATCAAAGAAGTAATTTATCAATTTTTCTTTATTTAGAAGAAAATAATTGATTTATGACGTCAATGAAGTAAATACTTACATATTAATTGAACATACATGAAACTTGAGAATAAAGAAAGAAAAATGACGAAAAAGAGGTTCAAACTCGAGGACATTCTAAATAATGAATAAACTTCCGCAACATTATAAATGAGACTTCTAAATCTTTTAAATAAAATCTGTCTTGCCAAATATGGCATGAATACTTTTCAACTTCTCACTCTCCCCATTTTTATTCCTGTTTTGTGTTCCATCTTGAGTTCGCATCAATCGTTTTTGTAGCCTTCATGTAAGGCTTGAAAATTTATTCAACTTATGCACATTTTCAAGTGTTAAAGACCTCTTTCTCTACTAGTTAATGACTTTTTATTGAGAAAAGAAAAGAATAAAATGAAAAAAAAATAAAAATAAAAATGAGTTATAAAAGCAATTTCTAAAGAGATGTCGATACAATTACTAGCAAGTCGAGTGTACGTATGATTGAATCGACTACAAAATAATACCCGGTTTTTGATGATTAACAATTATATTACTCACAAAGAATAATATGCAATAATTATTCTTCAAAATGCTTTAATGCTTTCGCCTTATGTTATATTCTTGCAACATTTTTTCGCTGCTGTTGCTGTTGCAACTTGATGTTCGCGTTTTAATTCTTCATCCCATTGTGTGATCAAAGAAATTATTAAAAATGTTTTGTTGATTACTTCAAGACGGAGATTTTTCCCATTGGGATTGACTTCAGGGCTTCTGGCGATTGACGGAAAGTAATGAAAAAAAAGAACACTGAAGCAGTTTTTGATGATGGACTATCGATAAACGAACGTACTCATTCTAGAGCACATGGAGAGGAAATGGGTGATTGATTTCGCCGTTAGACTGTGGAGCGCTGCGTTAAAAGAAAGAAAAGAGAATTAAAACCGGGAGTCAACAGCATCAGCAAACAGCGCGTATTTAAAAATGGCTATGAAACAGCAAAACTAGCAAAAATAACTTTAAGAATGTTGTCAAACTCTTGGTCATTTTACGATAATTTCCAGCTAGATTGATTCAACCGCTTTTTGTTGCCTGCTGCTTTTTCAAAAGGTTCTTCATCTCACTCGCTTCATGAAGCGTCATTTTTGCGAAACTTGATTTTTATTCGTTTGTAGTTTTTATTTTCGCCTCTTGTTTCTTATTCTCTGCATTTCGTCGTTCTTCAAATAAAAAAAAAGAAAAATTGTTTTTCATCATCATACACAGAAACGATAGAGACGATGGCTAGAAAAAAAAGTATACATGACGATGAATAAAAAAAAACTGTAGTTTTTTGTGTGTTTCCTTTTAAACACAAAAATAATTATATCTTGAGAAATTGAATATAGTCAGTCGACTTCGAGGTTGAGATGAAATGGGAAGGGGGGAAGAAGTAAAATGAAAAGCAACAAAACGCAGCGCAAAAAATATAATTTTTGCAAACAGAGAAACACGTTTAAAATTAGGTTCAAAACTTATTCTTCTGGCTTATAATTCTCAAAACTTAGTTTTCGTTATGGTGGGAGTAGTTGGAAAGTTTTTTCTTCTGAATAAAAGAAAATTTAATTCTCTCACTCTTAAAGTTACTCAATACCAGAATTTATCCCAATCGAAAAGAAACATTGTGCAGTTATTTGAATATTATTTATTCTTTGATGTTGTAATGATTATTCTAGCTGATAAACTACATTTCTCTTTTTCATTTTCCATCAATCCTTTCTCCTTCAACTTATGAAAAGTTTTCTTCTTTTATGCTGAAAATTGATGTTCCTAATTTTTGAACAATTTGATTTGAAATCAATGCACCGGAACGGAATATAAATGAAGTGAAATATTATTGAGTGAAAATATCATCACTTTTTTAAGCAGATCTCGTTCAACAATCCTTTCGAAGGTCATTTCTTTTTACATCATCTCTCAGTTTCATTCTCTCGATTTAAAAAATTCAGTGATTGTGATAAAAATTCAACTTTTTTGAAAGATGAGACGATGTGATACGAATATGAAGAAAAAGTCGCGCGATTATTCACTGACGAATATTAAACTGCAAAAGCACAACACAAACCAACGAACCAATGATGAATTTCAACCAAGCAAAGATGGGAATAAAACTTTTATCGTCTTCATAAATTTAAATCCATTTCCCAATTTGTCAAATGCAAAGCAATGCGTTGTCTTACATTCTCACACATACACACAATTCCAACCAGGTGGTTTTCTTCTCGAATGATTCTCTTCATTCTTCTTCGTTCCCGATTTTACTTAATTTATGATTATTTCCACTGCAATTAATATTTTCTTTCTATTTCTCTGAGTTCGAGTTTCAAGGCCAATTTTTTTAATTAAGGAAATTCACACACAAACGTATTTCAACGAGTTTGGTAAATTCTTGTTTTGTGTCGCATTAAACATTCACAACATGTAACAATCCAGTGGTAAATTCAAAAAGCTTTTCTATAAAATGACGAACATAAACCGAAAACTGTCTACTTGTATAATATCTACAACACTTCTCATCATTTTCAAGCATTGGATATCATCACGAATAAATTTCATCATCATCATCGTCATCATCGTCATCTTTATGTGGCAACGAACTCTAAATACTTCTATCTTGCTGTGTTTTCAGTACGTTTGGCAACAGGATTCTGATGCAAAACAGACTTTTTCATTAGTTCTTTCGGTTCATATTTTGCGTGCATGCAGAAAATTAAGTAAATTTGGCTTGCATATAGAGTCGCGTCGGTTGTTTCCAAGACACGCTGATTTCTTATTATTCTCGTTGAGTTCCACTCGAAATCAAGTTATCGTAGGTTGTGAATGTTATTTTTTTTTAGATATAATACTTATTGCATCGCTTTATTTTTCGCTGTCTTGAACTACTTCTTTGAAATTGGAATTTGGATTAAATTTGGAATTACAAAATATAAATTAAGTAACTTTTTCTTTTTCTAAGTAAACGACACTTTGGTATTTAAAATCCTCTGATTTAATTTTACATACATTAATATATATGTACATATAATAGAAATTAGGTTGATTACGTTCTTCTTTTTGTTCCAAGTATAATAATCAATGAATTTGCAGTTGTTTGTAGAGTGTTGCATCTGTTGATGTATCGCAAAACATCAATGTCAGTAAAACATATGTTGTTGCTATCTCATAATTTATGTTCTATGATGCAACATTAATGTAAATCATAAATAATGAAACAAGTAAGAATATCTAATCTTATTGAGCCGCGGCAAGTAAAAATATCTCCAAAGGCATTAAACTGCAAATCTAATGAGTGTTTTAGAATACTTACACGCATACTCATATCAATCGATAATTATTGAATTACTTATGCTAATTAATGTGCATTTATGGTGCAATTTGATTTGGATCTTCTACATGGAGATTTTTCCTGCTTTCTCTCTTCCTCTGACATTCGAAGAGGCTTGTTTTGACACATAAGAATTTCTTCTAGTCTATCAATGATGATTAAAACAGTCTTTTAGTACTTTCATATACACAGTCAGTACGTTGAACTGCTTTAAAAAAATATCCATCATGGCAAACTGATCAAGCATCATTTCAAGATCAATTTATATGAGTGTGCGTTAGTTTTTAGTAGATGAAGAGTAGTAAAGGAAAAAAAACAAATGATTAATTGCTCCGGGGAAGTTCGCAAAAAGAAAGAAAAATATTCGCATGTTGGGCGACTTTAGATGCAGAAAGAAAAGATATGAAGATGATGGTGCGCGTTTTTTATTTTTGTGTGATACGAAAATATTTCATTATTTCTTTCTCTCAGTTGTGTAAGAGTTTGGTGGGGAGTGTGTGAATGGATACGCGACTAAAATGATGTTTTATTATACTGCTGAAACTAGAACGATTTCATGTATATTTGAAACAGATTTTGTGCTTTTTTTTGGGTTTATTGACATTTCAGAATAAGGAAGAAAAGTTTTCTCGACTCGTTCCAGATAAATATTTGATGAGAACATTTCAATGCTCAACTTTGAGTTGTGGTAATTAATCAAATGAAATGCAAACTATTAAAACTTGTATTTTGTCAATTTCCTTTTTCACTATGTTTTTTAAACATGCACAGAAATTATCAACAGTCATTTGAATATTTTTAATAAAACCTCATTTGAAGTACATTTATTAAAAGCTTTTTGAAAATATTATTTGTTTCCCTCATTTTCGGAACTCATTCGCTTTTTTTTTCATGGCGTTCATGAATAATTAAACCATATCTTTGAGCTTCCATCAGTAAACTTGTTCGAAACATTAAAACACTAGTGAAACTTAGAATTAAAATGAAACCGGGCGGCAAACATACATTAAAAAAAGCGGCAGAACGGGCGTAAAATGGAGAAAAATAAGTTATGACTTGCAAACAAAAAAAAAAATACAAAAATAAAATAAACTTCCACTGCGTTGCTATAATTATTCTTCTACTTTTGAGCGTTTGTGTGCGTAGATCACAAAATGAGTGCAGTTCTAAATGCCACAGAGAAAGAAGATCAATAAAGCTTGAAATTTCAGTACGTTTTTTAGTGTTAGGCTTTTGAAAAAAAAATCATATTTTTAGCGCATAAGCACAAATGTTGATTATGAGATTGAATTGTCGATTTCATGCTGCACATGTTTGAGTTGCTTTTTCTTTTCTTCGTTTGCGGTAAAATGAACCGAAACACAAATTCGCTCACATCCGGCGCGAAAAGATGATGTTGAACTTGATAGTTAAGCGAGAGGGAGAGAAAAAATAAATAATTGAACTAAATGCATGTTCAGCTGCGAAAGAAAGCAAATTGTTGTGCAAGAACTGTTATTGGGCTTCATTATATGGACAATTTGTAAAACAATTTCATCATTTAAAGGATAAACAGGAGTCAATTTAACGTTACACAATTTAGAAATTTTCCCAAGTTAAGCGATTAAACTGCTTCGCAAAGCCAAACGACGAAAAAAATATGCGATGTGATCGATATTATAAAAAGAAAATGAACACACATCGACGTCAATGACATTTTGATGTTTGATGGAAACGCGAAACCGTAATTTTTGCCCGAACGTTGAGTGATTCAACTATAATTTGCCTTCGCTCTTTATCTGTATAAAATGTTAAATAGGAAACTGGAAAACTGTCGGAGTAGTTTTTTTTTATTTTAATTTAATTCACAGTGTTAAAGAATGGCAAATTATTGATGGATTGCTTGATGTTTATAAAATGATCTTGTCTTTTGGATGTTTTCAATGTAAGAAATTGTAACAAATTCATGTCTATATTTTTGCAAGTATCTACACGAGAAGATTTTAAGTCGTCTTATCAATGTTTGCTTTGCAAAATTGCCTCATTTATTTGACATTTACTATTCGTCGCCTTGTCGAGTATAAAATTTATATTATCACAAATTCGCTCTCTGATTAAAAGCTGTCCGACCACACATGCAAAGACAAAATAATATAAAATAAAAATGCTGAAAGCTTCCATCGTTTGAGTGAAGTGAATTAATCGTTTACGACCGCTTCGGTCCTGCCTCAATAAAATTCGGCTTGAGCGAACAATTTTTTTCTCTTCTTCTAACATGCAGCTTGCTTACTTACTTACAAATACATTCAAGTGTATCAGAATCAACATGCATTGAACTTTTCACTCTTATATTTATTGTGCGGAAACCTTCGAAAGGCTTCTTTCGAAAGAAAAAAAAATACGATCTTTGTTTGACTTTACTCACTCTTATCGGGGGTAAAAAAAGAAAAAAAATCGAAGGTCGTTTTGAAAAGTTTTAAGTCCTTTCATGTACTGACATTCATCAACTTTTCTCTACACTCTACAGATGTGTCGCAACGGTGTAATCAGCAGCGAAAATGCATTTCACCAGCAACTTGGGCGCCTAATTTTATGCGCATAAATTAAATTATGCAAACTAAGTAGTGCAGCTATGAAAACCTCTCGTGATAACGAAATTACTTCAATTTTAATTTTTCTTTTTTTTTTCGTGGCAAAAATGTATTCTTAACCTCAATAATCCAAAACCTACACAAGCTGAGTAATTAAAAATGCCAAAGAAACGTTCTGCGCTTGGCTCGTAAATTTCTCTACACATTTTGTTTTTAATATATTTTTTCGTAATTTATGCATGAGAAATTTAATCTTTTTAATTTTTTTCTCTTCTCCCTCTTAAAAGTTGTTTTGATTCTAAAGAACAACATGCGAATAGAAAAAAAAATCCGGCAAACGATGATGATGCACAACTGTAAATTTGTGAATGCGAAAAACTTCTTAAACATCATCAAAACAACGTAACTAAGCAAAAATTAAATTTTATTACACAAATAAACCAGAATCAAATATACTTAGAAAGGAAAAAAAAGTTCTCGCCAAACTAGAAAAAGAAACCCGTTGTTCTCTAATTTCCCAAACGACTACAAGTAACGCTTCATCTTCTTCTTACTTATAAAAGCAATTTCATTTCAACAATTGCTGTTTTCATCCACGAAATAAGAAAAGAGATTGTATATGTACATACGACGTGTGTAATTTTCTAGCGAAAAAATTACTGGCGATGCAACAATCTTTTAATAGCGGTAAACAGCTTCGACCATCAAAAACTGGTTTTGTTTTTGCACAAAAAAGTTTTCGCCTAAAATATTCGTATGCTGTTGGGAAGAATGTTTGTGTTTAGTCACTTTGATAGTCATTAGAGAGCTTCATGCGATAAACTTTTCTGAAGCTTTTTGTTGGCAAAACAATGACATAACTTTTAGATGAATCACATAAAAAATCTCTCTGTTCAGTCTTCATCTAAGTAAAAAGCTGCATTTTCCGTTAGTTTCTTATTTATTCGGTTGTTATTGTAGAGGTTTAAGATATCCAAGCATTAATTTGGTAAACGAAGACAATAATATTGTGACTCAAGAGAAAGTATCGTTGCTTAGTGAAAATCGGACAAAATTAACTTCCAAACGCATTAAAGTTTTCAATTTTCATTACATTTTTTCCTTCACAGCTGCAAGTGCTTTTTGTTATTGCAATTTGCGAAAAGCACATCGCGCGTTATTTTTCTTGGTTCCACCAAGCTCACACTTAACTCGCCATCCCACCCACATACACAAAAACTGAATTGAATTTTTCTATCTGGTTAGAGTAGCAGAGGAGCGAAAAATGTAGAGTTGGAATGGGGGTTGAAGGAGAAAAAAAACTTTTTATGCTGCTGCTGTTTATATGATGGTTTTTTTTCTTCTTCTCAACATCGCCTGTGTTTGTGTAGTTTCCGCTTTCCTTGAAATAAAAATAATATAGAAATATACAAAAAAAAGTACCTTAAAATGCACATAGCAAGTAGGAAAATTGACGATAATGGGGTTTGGGTTGGAAGACTTTGAATCAAGGATATTCTCCGGTTTGTCTGCGATTGTGTTGGTAGAAATTGGGTTTGAATTTGGGGGTGGATTTTTTTCCTCTCTTCGTCGTATTTTTATTTCAACTAGCAATTTTTTACTTGCGCTTAATTGCATCATATTTTAAGGAGTGGATCGTACAACAAGCTAGCAAAAATCGATAATGCTCAGAACTCAGACTACTTGTCGTTCTGTATACTTTTTTCTCTCTTTTTTTCGTTTTTATGTAGTTTCGTCGTTAGGGCTTCAGATACCTATGTTCAAAATGTTCTTATTCTTCTTATTGGATTTTATTTGAACTTTTGTGAGTGAAATTTATCGAACGCAATACTAATTGGAATGCAATATAGCTTAGGGGGAAGCAAACGATGGCTGTTTGAAGACGTAATTAAAAAATAACGAGACTTGAAACAATTTGAATAATTTTAAAAAGAAATTCTTTGGAAATTGTCTTCTATTATGTATCGAAATTGTTTCTAAATGTTAGTCGGGTGAATTTAAACGTCCACGACAATCTTCGATTCGAGATGTCAATAACATTAAATGCTGAAGATCGTGAATCTTGCCTTTAATATTTAATGAAAAAATATTTTATAAATGACAATAAATCCATGATTTTCATTATCCATTTAATGAAACTTAAAAAATGTTGAAGTTCTTTACTATTTTATGCATATGTGCACATACATAATATTCAAATTATTGGAAAATAATCACATGTTCCCTCATTAAAGTATACTCGACTCAATGTCGATGAGTGATTTCTGACTCACCTTAATAAAGCTTGAAGTCAAATTTGATCACAAAATAAAATTATCTACTCGCTAGTTAAATATTCCTAATTACATTTTGTTTGGCGGCCATGAATTCGTCAATTTTTCACAACGACTTCTAACATTTTTAATAACACGAAAAAAACTAATTCGAGTGCATTTTTCAACAGATTGAATGTCAATTTCATGGAATTGATTTTCGTGCATTATTTTGTCTCTCCACTATTGCAGTGTAAATCAGAAAAAAATATTCATTAATTGACGCTGACTCGTTGCTTGTGTTTTGTTTATTTTTATAAATTTCAAGGTTGCTCGTCTATGCCGTTGTTGTTTCATTTTTGTTGCACAAAAATGGGTTCAAATTGAATCGAGTGCAGTTTATTTTTTGCGTTATCAATTTCGGTAAGTGTAGTTGTGTGTGCAAACTATCATTGGGTAAACAATGACACAAATTATGAGTTTGAACAAGTTTCGTTATCATTAAATTACTTTTCATCATTGTTAGACGTTTCATGTTTGCCAATATTTTTGAAATGTTATTACATGTCGAAATAGATTTAAATAAACAGCGATTAAAGTTTCAATTTTAATTGTTACGCTTTTTTAATTGGAAGTTGGAAGAACAAACTCAAAAAACTTATCAATAATTGCGCTTCACTTCCTTAAAGAAAATAAATTTCCTGCATTCTAATCGGTATTTTATTAAATTGCTAATCAGTATTAATCGGAGTAATCTCAGGCGTGACTTGAAATTGTAACCTCGACTAAATCTTGGCTATCAGAATTGTAAAAATGCATTACCGGAAATAATAACAACTTTTAGAATTTCATAAACAATTTCTCTTATAAACACCAAGTTGCTTGTGATGGTGTTCACAGGATATTGTTGCAGATAAACGGATGCGTTGGAAATCTCGGAATCGAATTGAGAAGTAATTATCATCTTTACATATAGCTTGTCATAATGGTGATAATTATGGACTGGTTTTGTATCCACAACGATTGCATTCAACAAATCATCCAAATAATCGTCAAATTGCGAAACTTTTTTTATGACTTCTACAAGCACACAAAAGTTATAAGAACTTAAATAATGGTTATGACATTTCTTTCCTCTGAAAAAAAGGTAGAAAAATACTGGTTGTAATGAAATTCTATGATTATAAATGCGGAAATTATGACTAAGTTCTGAAAATTTTAAAATTTATTTCAGAGCCCTTGATACATCAAGTCGAGTGTAAAGTAAGCTGACTAAATGTGTTAAATTAATCTCGTTTGTGTTGGTGAATGCACTTTGAGATTCAAAAGCTACGCTCAAGGTTACAAATTAATAAAGCCCTAAGTCACACAGGACTGAAACTGGAAACGAAGAATAGCGAATAAAAGAAGGAATGAAAGGAAGGTATAAAGCAATCTGAAAAGCTATGAAGTCAGTAGCGACAAAAATAAAAGAGAAGCAAAGCTGAAAAACAAAATTTAATTATAATTTCTTGTTCAACAACACCAGTAGGTATTTTTTCACTGCGCTTCATGTTAAAGAATCTGCGAAGATATATAAAAACATAACAGAGATTGACTTCAATGTTAGCTTTCCACTTGTCACAAAAATTTAGAGAAAAAGAGATAGGAAGAAGGAAAGAAGGAAAAAGAGACAGAGTTCAATGAACTTTGACTCACAAGGTTGATGTCTGCGATATTATTTTACTGGCCTATCCTAATATTTATTGAATTGAAGGTCACTACGGCGAGTGCCGAAAATGCAAAGCAATCACTGCAACGCAACAAGTTCATTTTGTTGAGTTCATTCATTTATTTGCTTCGGTTTTTGTGTAAGTTACTCATTCGGGCTTTTTCGATGATAAATTCAAATGTACACAACGGATGCATCGACAACGGTCGTAAAACTTTCAGTCCAAAAATTTGTGCATATGCCGAAAACTCTCCTCGCATTAAAACGTGTGCTTGCAGAAGATGAAATATATTTTACTTACTCATATACACACACACGAGATGAAACTCATGCGAATCGTTCGTATAAATTGCGCGATGAGAGATTTAGTGAATCAAATATTTTTCAGGTTTGAGAGTTGAAAATAAATTTTCCTATTCATGAAAAATCTCGACTTTCAATTTTTCCTCTCGTTACGATGGGATTTTCATGTGAAAGCTATGTCAGCACTCACCACACGTATGAAAAGTGAAAACGGAAAGAAATTTTCAACCTCGAAATGAAAATGAAAATTTTGTGCATTTGCCAAAATGATCCAACTTGCATCATTGAAAATAAAAGTGAACTGAAATTATTTTCTGGATCTAAACGAAAATGCTTATTAAAGCTTTTATTTTTAATGTTTCGTTTCGTTTGAAACTTGAATTCATTTATTCTTGTTCAGTCCCATACATAAATCATGTAATTAAAAATTTTTACATTCTCGTTTGAAAATTCCGCTTGATGTATGAATAAGAAAAACAGGAAAAAAAATCTTTTTCGCTTTTCTGTAATTCATATAATGAAACTCAGCCAACATAAACGAAAACTGAAAATGTTGTAGACATGAAAAGAACCAAACCATTGCACGCACATTAAAACCATCAAGGCCATTGTAATTTTTCTCTTGCAGAACTGAGTTCGAACAACAGGAGAGAACCAACCAACAAAGGCTTTCAGAAACATATTCGGCGCTTTTAAGGAACATAACAATTCAATGCTTTTTTTTATTATTTTCATGCCAAGTACGCCTGTACGACGAAAAGAAAAAATATGATGAGAAAGGAAAAGAGAGAGAGATGGCAAAACACTTGAAAAACGTCTGACGTTTAAAAGTTAAAGCCACAGGAACAGAACCGAGAATGCAATTTTTAATGGATGTACTTTTCAGAATCGCTTTTTGCTGCTTTTTCGTAGACCTTGGAAGTTTTTTCGCCTCATAATTTGGCTGCATCATGGTTGAGTAAGTTTTTTAAGCTTCAAGTCAACCATTGAGAGACGTAATCAGTAAATTATTTTCTACCTTGATTGCTTTACGCTTACCATCATCTGAAACATCAGATTTTAATTTATAAAAACTTTGAAGAATAAAAATTTATTTTCAAATATTTTCTCGTAATGTTAGAACTTTTATAAAGTTTTCATTCTCGGAATTTATGATCGAGAACTTTTTTAGGGAGTGTCGTTGCAGTTAAACTTCAATTACATAATTCTTTTCAAAGTTCTGTATCTCGATTGCAATTCAAAAAGCTAACTTAATGAGATAAGTTCAAGGTGAGATTGTTAATATTCATACATAAAGTTGATTAATATTTCAAGTGCTGCTGAGTATTAACGACCAGAAACATAAAAGGTGGCTGAATTAAAAGATCGAACTGAGTAAGACGTTAAAAGTTATAAATTTTCATTTTGTTTCCATATCCCATGACATGAAAGTGAAACTTTTCAGGGCATGTTTTCATTATACTGAAATGGTTCATCGTTCAAGAGGCTGAACCGAGAATAATTGAGAACTTTTATTATAAACAAAAAAAAATGGAGAAAATAATTCAAAGGCGAGGGTCGAAGACACTCAATGAAAGCTTCATTTTAGCATCGAAAGGAAAACCGGTCTGAGACAATAAATTATCAACGCAGAGCGCAATACCCCGAAAAAAACTGTGTGAAGTGCATTAACTGGAACCAGACGGCTGGAACCATCGAAAAAAAAACGAACGATGAAGAGCAGAACCCTAAAAGTAGGTCAATGCAATTTCGTTTTCAGTTTTGCGCGTATGTTTTTGGCTTTTTTTCTTTTGTTTAAATTTTACAGCCATTGGGAAGATAATTTTTATTTGTTTGAGAACTGAAACAAAAAAGAAAACTTCTGACGTAACGATTCAACGTATTGAAGATTTAAACATGTTCAAGGGATATTTTCATTGTAATCTGTCAAGTTAATGACTTACAAATTGCACTAAATTATTTTGATATCAAAAATGAAATCTTCATTTAATTATTTTAACATTCATGAGAAAAGTTCTTTAGATAATTAATTGCAAGTTAATTATTCTTGAAAATAAAAGTCCACAAATATTTTATTTTTAGTAAATTTTCGCGTCGTTTTTTGATTTGCTAGAGTTGTGAGTTCAAAACGCTGTGTGAACATGAAAACAACTTTCAACGCACTTTATGTTACTTCAATTGTACCAAAAGTTGTGTTTCCACAAGTTAATTTCATGAATAATTAAAAAGCGTATAATTTTGTAAAAAAAAAGTCTCATCAGATGTGGCTTTGAAAGTGTGTTTGATGATTGAACGAGTGATCTAAATGTACATTTAATAAATCATATTCAAGCATCAACTTATGCATCAAAAGTAATAAAAAACCTAAGTGGAAAGTGTAGCATTGAATTTTCAATAACAAAACCAACATAAAAGTTTTGTTTTTCCTTCCAATTACATTCTGATAACTTCAAATTAAAAGTTAAAAAGAAACAACTATGAGTAAATAATATGCGTAAAATTTTTAATATTTGCAATGCACTCGTTGTGGAATTACAAAACAGAAAAAATATTTTTTTGAAATGATGAAAAATCAACTTGAATCTGAATGCATTGCTGTAGAGGATAAAACCATATGAGGTTGCGGATTTGATAGAAAGTTTCGTCACAAACGAAATAATTTCCATCTAACGCATCGCATTCAAACATCGTAATCAAAGCAAATTGCAAAAACGCGGAATTATTTAAAATCGAATGCAAAGGCATTTTGAACTTCTGAACTCACCATGATGATCATCATAATAACAAACCTCTCGTCTGTGAATTTATGTACTGAATACCGGATTCGTCTACAAATTTTTAATGATGCAAGGGATGAAATAAAAGAAAAATTTTCATCCCTTTTGGATCCCATTATTAATTTTCCCATTGTTCCAAAGTCATGATCAAACTGAATGAGTATGAAAAGAGTTGGTGGTCAAAGATAGATAGATGAATCCCTTAGGGAAAATATTGTATGTTGCTGAATGCAAATTTATGTTCTTTAAAGCATTAAAGAAATATTTGCTCCATGAAAAAAATTACCTTTTAAAGCATTTTCCATTTACTAATGACTTTATGACTTATTGATAATCTCACAAGATTTTGATATTGAAAAAACTATTGATTACTTCAATATGAAATATTTTTGTAACCTTTGCACGTTTTCTTTTTGAAGTTGAAATAAATCAAATAAAATAAATTGTTTACTTTAAAAATAGAATTCATATCATGAATTTTTATTGCAGCGTAGAAGGCTTCCTTCCTTGATATGACTACTGCACTTCCATTCATAACTGAAGTTCATTGTGATGGTTAAATGCTTACGCAATGGGAGGAATCATTACGAGTAGTGCTTTAATTAGCAGTAAATATTGAAGTACTTTAATGAGATCCATCGTGGCTCTTCAGCCAAAGAATATTTACGCATTTGCTTTTTTAAGTCTCATCCTTTTCTACATTTATCAAACAACATCTTTTCAAACTGTATTCAAATGTTTGTTGCAAATTGCAAAAAAAAGAGTTTATGATTGACTTAATTGGTTTGAACATGTATTTGATTTTAATGAGAATAATTGCTCGTCAATATGCATACAGAGGGATCAAAAGATTATCTTCAAAAAACTATTAAATAGAAACAGCAAATCCATGAATTTAATTTTCACCACTAAAAATAAATATGAAATGATTCTCTCTTATAATTTACATTCGAGTAATTTTCCTTGACGTCCTTATGTCGATTTATTATCTCGGTTTCTAAACTCTAATAACGTGAGCAGACAATTATTTTTACAATGATTGACTTCATCCGAAATTACATCGAAAGTTTGTAATGACAAGTTTTATAGCCATCATAACTTGTTATGCAACTTTGCCATTGATCTTTCAAGATTTTCATTTACTTTTTCATGCACCCAAGAGCTGTAACTAAAAATGCTATATTTTAAGAAGAAAAGAAAAATCGAAATAAAATGAGGCCTTGAGTTGAGTTCATTGTGTAAAATATTTTTAATATTTTTATTATTATTCCGCTCGTTATTAGAGAAGAAGAAAATCATGAAAAAAAAATACAAGAAAGAAACGCATACAACCGTTTCAATCTTACATGCAAGTACATTGCAATTGCATTTTGCGACTTCAACTACACAACACCGAAAAAAGCAAACAGCGACAGAGTTTTTTTTCACATTCAGAGAAGGAAAACAAGAAGAAAATTCGATAAAACGCGAAAAGTACTTTTTGAAGGGTTACGAAATTCTCTCTTTATTTTTTCATGAATATATTTTCGTCTTTAATGTCGCTTATGCCTTCCAAGTACAATGCATGTAATGTCTGGATGTAAAACGCATTATGTATGCGTTATGTTGTAAACATTGAATGTCTTGCACTTTTTTATGAGTTATGGTTGATGCGTAAGTAGAGATAATTTAAAATTTGCGACGTAAATTTTTTTATCGATCAAAAAGAACGAATGAAGTATCATGAGACGTACAGAACAGATAAATGCTGTTGTTAATATTTCACAAAAAGAAAAAAAAGGGCAAGAAGACGATGTAAGAGAGTAAGTGGGTCACATTTCGATTTCGTTTGCTTTCGACATAAATAATAAGAAGTGCAATGAAGGAAGAACGAGATAAGACAATTCGTATTGAACTGAACGTCTATTGTCAAATATTTGGCAAATAACCATTTCAATCATAAGCAATGAGGCAAATATTGCAAGTTTGTTCAAATATGTTTCAAATTGAAAGTCATTTAAAGTCATCAAGTGTGAATGTAGCCTATTCTCTTAACTATTTTAATAAAAAAATTCGCCGCTAACTTATTATTTGTTAAAGAAGTAAAAAACCTTCAGACGTTTCTTTACTCAACCACATATGCAGCCTTTCATTGCACTCACACACACTGATACCCAAAACTGCATATCCGAAAAAAGTGCACTTTTATCTACAATTGCAATGCAATTTTATCTTCGCGTTCGTAGGCTTTGATAGGCGAAGATTTTTGTTGTTTTTTTTCTCTTGCGTCTCCCTTACTTTCGTCCGAAATAAAAGAACTGCAGTCGCTTTTCGTCTATTGCTATCTTCCTCTTGCTTACTTGAGAAATGTTTTGACTAAAACTTTGCATGTGATTGAATAAAAACTGATATTTTTGATGAACTATGTTTGGTATTCGTATAATTATAATTTATAAAGCCTTCATGAAACGTTTAGAGTCAATTATTAAGGATTATTCAAAAAAAAATTCTGTTCGCTTATTCCATATTGTGCAATTATCAGAGTTATACTTTTTCATTGCAATTAGCAACATGCGTACACTTACATATGAATGGATATTCTAGCTTTGATATATTTGAATGCATTTTCTTTTTGGTTCACGAAAATTGCATATCAAACAACATAAATATTCAAGTAAATATTGGAAAGAGAGCAGAGTTATGAGAAAAATGAAATAGAAAAAAAAGTCTCGAGCGAACAAAAAAATTCAATTGCACTTCGTACACGTATGCACATTGAGTCGTCGTGCATGTGCTATTTGGAAAAACTTTGGAAAAACATTGTGGTAGTAGAGAAAGAAATAGGAGAAGTGTATGAATACACAACTGAGAGATTAAATACACTCAATCCGGCGTCGGGATACACTTCGAGAACGTCTTTCTTCTTCAACTTTTACATGCAAGCTGTAAAGCACATTACTATACTTAGTGCAAAAAAGAAAAACGTTACAACGACATTTTACACAGTTCGGCAAAAATGTATACTGTGTGAGGCGAATGGGGAAGGAGGGGAGCGAGAGTTGGGGAGTAGAATGTGACGATGAAGGTTGCAATTCTCGGTTTTACTCTCCACCATGCACTCTGGGCTATGTACAATTTAGTTACTCAGTCGCTCTAAAATTGTAAAGAACACAGAATCTACTTTTATTACATAGTGCATCCCGAAGTGCATTTTTTTCCAATAACACTTTTTTTTATTTTTTGTTTTTGTGCTATCGAAGGCTAAAAAATAATAAGAAAAAAGTAAATCATATTTTTCTTTATTAATAACTTTTTTTTTCTAAGACACATTTGTGTGTGCAGTTTTGTGTTTGTTCTGGCCTTTTTAATACGATTTAATGGAAGAAAAGTTATCATCGCCTCTGTTCAATCACTCTTCCATTGTGTCAGAAGCGACAGAGTAAAAAAATTAATTGTTTTTAAAAACTGCACAATTTTTGTTATTATTTTTTGCCTGGATATATGTAAGAGATCTAATAAGTGATTCTTTTTTAGGTTATTACAGTGGAAATATTCTCATGAGGAAATTCTACATAAACAATAAAAATTGTCATCACAATTAATTAAAAGAACATTTAAGACAGTTTCGTGAACATTTGTCATACGTAGTGCCTTTTGTTATGTGGAGTGAAATCATCTAATACTGAAGAAAAATTGACAATAAAATTAAAAGTTCATGTTTTCGAGAGATACTTTGAAGAAAAACGCATGCAATAACATGTGAAAAGTGAATACATATTTCTTGAGAAAGAGAAGAAAATAAATGAAAACTTTCATCGTATGACTTTACATATTGTATTATTGTGTGTTTTTAAATATATTCGGTAAGTTTTTCTATCAAAGTCTCTTGAACTTTCCTAATCTTTTCCCTTGGAAAAAACGAAACAGTCAAATCACTTTTCATTTTGTGTGGTTTTATTTCGTTCCATTTAGACTTATGATCAAAATGTCGCCATTTGGACATGAATGCATTTATTAAGTTTGAGTTATTAAATTATTCACGTTGGGTTTTATATCGACAACACATGCAACTTACTTTCCATCATCATTTTCGTGTACGAATTCAACACATCATAGAAAATTTTTGTAGTTTTTTCAACTTATAAAGACTAAAGTTGGCGAAAAGCAACTAAACATCACTTTTGTTGTTGTGTTGTGTGCTCTGATGCATCTAAAATTTATAAGCTTCAAATTTGCTTTTGTAACTTGTCACATTCACATACACTTGCACTTTCGTAATTTAATTATTAGGAAAAAAAATATTATGGATTTTCTGTCTTTTTTGAAAGTAAGTTTCAAATTGAAAGTCAAAATTTTTACCTTTTCTATTGTTGACGATTATGAGAAACAAAAACTTTGCATTTTAAAAAAATTAATTATCTATTATGAAGCATATATTTTGAATCACATTAAACATGAGTAAATATCTTAAAATATTCATTCATATAATTTAATGAAAAAATCCAAAACGGTCAATTGAATGTGTTACGTGTTTGCTTCAAACCAAGCGCAGCCCGATGACCTCAATGCGTATTTTCTTTTTGTTTCATCCAAAAAACGTGCATTGCACTCTCATTTTCGTTTGGTGAAAAGGAAATCATTACGAAACTGGAAGAAGTGCTCAATAATCATTGTTACCGTCACCGCCAGACCATCATGTTTATTTATTCCCCACAACCACACAAACACACACACGAAGTTTCCAACTGCATCAACCACATTCCACTCAACAACATTTCCAATGCTTTTGTTCACGAAAAAAATTATGCATTTATTTTTAAGAGAATAATTGAATCATGTCCTTGAATTGAGATACACGCCGAAAACCAGTTTTCGTTTCTGAAACAGAAAACACGAAAAATAAAAAAATGCATTTGCTACGTACTCAAGCACTGTGGATGTGTTTCATGCACGAAAATTGCATTTATATTTCGAGATTTTTTCGCTGTTGTTGTTGTTGCTGCTGCCGTTGCCATTTGGCTTTAATAGACTCGAAAATGAATAGCAAAAATATGACTGAGGCTCTCTCGCTTGGCTTATTTAGATAAATTTGTATACGTTAATATGAAGTGAATGGAACTGCAAAAGAAACTCACTTCAAATCTTTTCGCGATTGCACTTCGAAGAAAATAAACAGAAAACGTAAACTTATCTCTCCTTTACCCGTAACTTTGAAATTCTCATTTGCGGTTTGAAGCAAATATCAAATTTCAGGTTCTAGCTTTTTATTTTCCTCTCGCATAGTTTTGGGCTGACCGTAGGCGTCGTTAAGAGGCTTCTTGTTGCAAAAGGAAATAAAATTGAATCTTTCTATTCAAAGAAATACGCCGGACAAGAAGCGAAGAAGAATTCGAAAATAAACATTAATGCAACAAGACCGAAGTCGCGAAATTTGAGAAGCGAATTTGGTTAATTTGACTTGCAAACTCGCATTCAACGAATTTAGAAATCACATTCAAGCGCTTTAAAAATTCAAAGAGTTTGGAATAAGCACCAATTCTTGTTCGTAATCAAATTTTAATATCAAACTACCGAATATTTTTGTGAGAAGAACATTTTGAAAGTTTCGTCACTTCTCCTGCACTCTGCAAAAATTTATTTTGCAATTCGAATTTCGTTCTTTGTGAAAAAGAAGAACTCAGACGATGTTACACAACTTCCATAATTTTCCATGCTCCTCTTCTTACTTTATCAACAATCGGACTGATGCTTAAATGCAATCTCAAAAAGATTTACACTTTTGTTATGCAAAATTCGTCACACAAAGAAGACATTTCTATCAAGTAAAAAAAATATGAAATTCATTGATTTCCAACATGTCAAATTGTCGTTGCACAATCATTACAAAGATTGCAGACATATTCATGCATCAAGAGCTCTTCTCAATGCAATTCGTGTCTCGTAAACACCTTTGTCATAAAGGTTCTTGTAGTTGAACTCGTAAAGTATTCGTTATCATTAGCATTCTTGAGAGATTTCAAAAAAAGTATAAAAAAATATTTGGATGAACAAAAGCAAAATTTTCATCACCAAATCCTTATGTGATGCATCATCATTATAGTAGAAAGAATCATTGCAAGTGTCAACGTATAAAACCATGTCGGATGTTGTGATAAAAGAAATATGAAAAAAGAAGGAGAAGAACACACAAAGTTTGAATTTATGAGTGCTTACTTGGCGTTGCATATGGTGCACATCCTGCTGAAGGCTCTTACCTATATTTTCTCTCCATATTTTTCTTCATCGCTCCTTCCAGCTTTTAAAATGCCCGGGTCTCCTGAAAAATTGCTGCCATCTTCACATATACAGCGTCATGTATTTTTTATTTTATTTTAATTGGAAAACTCATCCAACCATTCAACCAACTCACACTGCTCGACATAATTTTTTTATCCATTGCTTTTTATTTGCTATTTTTTTACCATCACAATATTCGTCCACCACCTCGATCTTCCTAACCCACGACACCAACAAAAAAATTGTTTCCCGTTTGAAAACTGTGTAGATGTGTTTGCTGTCTGAAGATGCAAAAGATGTTCGTGGAGCATGATATCAGCAGCTTTTTCCTGAGGCTGTCTCTGTGTTTCTCCCCTCACCCTACTTTTCATGCAAAAAAAAAGTTCACTAAAACAATCTCAACTTCTTTCTTCTTTATGGTTAAATCAAAATGAATTTGGTTTCAGACACAAGCGATGACGTATTCATACTTAGATATGAAAAAATAAAGGAAATTTCTATATTTGAGTTTGCAGAATAAATCATTAGGATTTTATCGAGAAGTTTAATTTTCTGTGTATCACTGTAGTTATTAAATTTTTGTAATCCATCCATAATCTATTAGTTTTAAGGATAAACATCATTTTTCTCTCGCAAAAGAAACATGCAACAGATGACCAATAAATGACGCTTTTACCAATTTGTTCACTGTTGTTGTTGTTGTTAATTTGTCACACTTGTGCGTGTGCACATAAAGCAAAGCGACAAAGTGACAGTGAAAACAATTTCCCTTCAAGGTAATCTGAAATGATAGTTGGAATTTTGAAAAGGCTTTGAAAATTGTTCAAGGTAGAGAATTCATGGAATGAAGAAAAAAAGTTCTCGCATGGGATTTGATGAAAATGTTGGAAAAAACTTTCATATCTATCGATTTGTGTGCATGTGATTTGCAATTTTCTATTGAAGTCTGTGTCAATTTTATAATACATGTCTTGAAGAAATTGATGATAAATAAGAATTGAAAGTTTTCAATTAATCTTGCCAGTTTTATTAGCTTCATATTGAAATAGTTTAAAAGATTTAATAAATTTTCACCGAAATTTCCTTCTTAATAACCATACAATAAGCGAACAGGAGAGTCTTAATAAATAAAAGCATAGACTCACAATAGAATTCCCAAGATGTTTATTTATACATCTCAGTTTTCATTTTACACATAAAAGGAGGATAACAAAAGAAATTATCTATCTCTTTATTTTTCTCAAGCTTTTTCCATTGCTGTTTACATATGTAATTTGTTCGTTTCTTCTATGTGCTCGACTTACTTATATAATATCAACAGGTAGAATATTTTCAACTTGACGTAATATTCAGTTGAAGAAGTTTTGAAAGTTTCATTTTGACTCTCAAATGATAAATTTTGATTTCCTTTCTTTTTTATAATCCAAGAATTTATCGAATAATAAATCTTCGTAAAATTCATCCCGAAAGCTTTAAAGCTTAATTGAATTATTTATTAAGATTTTTCTTTCTTATCTTTTCTCGATGTTACAGTTTCACTCCACAGTTTCCTCTGTCATCATTGAACTATTCCGAGTGCATGTCATAATAAATTACCTCGTCTTTTACTCCTGGAGTGTTATGCATCATACAGCACTTACACCTCGAAAGCAACCGAGATACTGTACATTGGAGACGACGTCGAAAAATGATTAAAAAATATAAATGAAAAAAAAATTCTATATATTTGGTGTAGAATTTCCCAGCTAAAGCTCTCGAAGCACGAAAAAAGAAAACACAACAAGCAACAAAAAAATAGATTGCATCCGAGGCGTCTTAATGTCGCTATCGAGCGATATGACACATTCTTGCTAAAGTGAAACGAAACGAGCGTCAACGAATGAAATGGCGATAGTTTAAGTTTAAAAAAAAAGTTTAAACACAAAAAAATACATGAAAAAATACACAAGGAACCCATAGAGCTCTTGCCTTGCTGCGAAAAATTTTCTGGACGCCGCACCACCGATAAAGAAAAAAATACAAGAAAGAAGGCAGCTGCAAGCCCAATTGAAGCAACAACAAAAGCATCGTTGATCCAGAAGACGGAAAACTCACTGCTTGCAGTTAGTGAGTAGGAGAAGAAGAAAACGGCACTACACACAACTTGTGTTATTTTTTTCGTCGAAGCTTTTTTTCGTCCTTCAATGCACATTATGGAATAGAGAAAAAAAAGCTCACCACCACAAGTGCTAGCGCAAGTAAACATAGAATTGAACGAAGATATAACGTTTTGAGGAGGCGAAAAAAAAGTGCATACATACTTAAAAATATTCATTCGGATACATTGCCAGAAAGAACATTTTTTACGAGGCAAAAATAAAGCAGACCAAAACCAACCAGTAGAATATTATTTCATAGAGAATTTTTTTCATGGTGGAAATTCGTCGGATTTTCTCTACTGCTGCTGCTTGTTTGCTTTTTTTTGGTGTTCGGGACAAAGTTTCCGTTAAAATATTTTTTCATATTTTTCGGGAGTTGAACGTAAAGTACACTTGTAGATTGACTGTCCAATTTAGTGGAAGAAAGAGTTCTCTAGATCTCGAACGCAATTGAAAAACTTATTGAAGTAGTGAAATAAAGAAGAAAAAAAAAGTGAATAGAGATTTGTGTAATAAGATTTGTGTTAAAAGAGTAGTGAAATAAAGAAAGAAGAGAAAAATAAGACAGAAGTTGTAAACAGTTGTAGATAAACAGATAAATGCATATCTTTAAAACATTATTATCAATGCCAATGTTTCAAAAATTTATTGACTTTGCGTCACATCGCTTTGTGGCAAACGAATTGGAGAAAAATCAAATTTCAAAAGAAGAAACAATTGAAAATTATTTTTCGGCAGTGGACATTAAAAAATGGCGGATTGTTCTTATATTCGTTGTATACAAGAGCGACGATTTATAAAGCGCGAACTTCAGAAGTGGTACAAGGATATGGTTTATATTGTTGGTGAGTGAAACTTTATTACAATTAAAAATCATTAGTTAAGCAATCAAACAAAAGCTTCAACTCTCAGTTTTCAAATGAATTTTCTTCCTTGCTGTTATCGCGAGAACTCTTTTTTTATATTCCTTATTTTCCATCATCCCATTGCATCGTGAAAAGTCCTTTTCTCCCCATTTTCACCCTACTTGCAACACCCAACCATCAGAAACATAAAAATAAAAAAACTTTTTCTCCATCTCCTGCTGCCTGTTGCTTCAAACTATTTCTTTGCGTCTCTTTTCTGCATTTGGTTCTTTCATCTCACTCTGGATGTTTATGGAAAAAGTTTTTCTCTTCAATTCAATGAAGAACCTGTTGCCGAAACTAAACTTTATTTATCAGTCGAAAATTTCGTCCTTTTTTCGGAGAAATGAATCCGAATATCTTCTCATTCCTACTGATTTCGTCTGTCTAGCTATTGTCTGACGAACGGCTTACCGAAAAATAAATATATTGTCGTCAAATTTATGTTTTTCTCTCACTTCATCCACCGCTCAGACGGTCTCCAACGAATTTGCTTTTAATTTAATTCGTTTCCATAAATCTCGTTCAACTTTTTTCTTCACTCTTTCGAGAGATAGGAAACGACACAAACTGAACTCTGCAATGCTTTTTTTTTTGGGGTAATCGAACTTTCCAGCAACAAGCACGAAAAAAAATTTACTGAAGGGTAAAAATCTGTGAGCTCGTTCGGCTGCAAAATTTCAGTCTCATTTAAACCATCTTCCTTTACCTCTTACATTCTTCCCCGGCTAGATGATTTTTTCGCCCCATTTTTTTCCTTTCTTGCAAGGACTGGCTTCCCGAACCATTCTTGCAGAAAATTTATCTCACAAATAACCAAGCAAATAACAACCAGAATTATCGTATGGAAAATCTCTATGTAAAAAATTAAATTGACTGTAACTATAAGGCAAAAGAAGATGTCGTAAAAGAGTCAGATATGCTTGTAGCCTTTCAAAAGCCAAACTTTAACAATCTTTTTCTTAACAGAATTTTATTCCTTAAACAACATTTTTAATAAAAGCGATTAAAATAAACATAATGAGGATTTTCGTCTATAAATATTAAATTGGTTTGTCTGTGACAATAGGAAAAAATACTTTAAGAAATATATAATTAAATGTGTTTGGGTAAAATAATTGAATTTCGTTTATTTGAATTTCCATTTAGTTTGGAAATATAATATAACAACTGATTTTCAAAACTACGTTAGTCTTGTAGCATTTGCCATTCAATATTTTGTACATAGAAAAGCAACCAGTTGAATGCATATTGTTTGAGTGTGAGATGAGATCCTTGCAGCATCGCACATAAGCACACACATGGTTCGACAACAACAATTCTAATCTTTTTATTGCTCTCGCGTCTCACTCGTTCTCTTCTACTATTTGAAATCGAATCTGCATGCTGTTCTGCAACAAGTTGGCTTGTTTGAATTAGAAATGTGTGGTGAGTCAAACGAATTTATCTGTACGAGTTAGAAGAAGGAAAAACGGAAGTTGTTGTGTGAGTTTGACAAAAATTGCCACTCTTAGTTTCAATCGTCGACGATTAACGTGATTTATGGTTTTCAATTAAATTGAATTTGAAAGCTCAGAAGGAATTCATCGGTGTTTCCAGAGGCGAGCTTTCGTTATAGCTTTCGTAAACTTTTTTTTAGTGTCTTCACCCTCTGCCCGTCACACAACGAAAAAAATATAAAATAGAATTTTTCCTTCACCACATATGAATTTTTTTTCGTTTTATTTACTGACAAAAAGAAGAACATAATACAATTTAAAAAAAAATCATTCGCTTGAGAATTAAAAAAGTGCATGCGCTTCGTCTCCTTCTCATTCTACCGACACTCACCACAGCTAGACAAACCCGATGACTTTTTGGATGCGGGGAATTCACTTCACTGTTTGCTTTCTTTTCTTCTCAGCTATTTATGAGGAGAATCTTGCACAAGGCGAAGAATACAGTTTTAAGCAATTTCCCCGTTTTTGCACAAACACATTCAGCGATGCGAGTCGTCGTCGGGTGATGAGAGAAAGAAAAACTAGTAGTTGTGGAGCGCAATTGCGATTGTATGCAATTCGCAATCGTATGCAACTTCTCTGTTTCGTTGACGGAAAGTGTTCTCAGTCGCGTAAAAACACTGCACCGGAATGCAAGAAATAGCTACGGAGAGGTCTACGATGCGGCGACCTCAAGTGTCATTAACAAAAAGTGTCTAAATTCGTATGTCAATTGTTTGTCTATTTGATTTTCTGTTAGCATATTGGATCGCGTTTGTGAAGGGTTTCATCGATAGTATTATTTTTTTGCACAAGCTTTGACGTCATTTCTTCTATAATTACATTATTGCATTTTTGTGAAATTTAGTGAAGTTTTTTTTCTTCTGTCACACATGGAAAAAATGAAAAAAAAAGATTGAGTGAAAGACGAAGCCAAGAAAAAGAAAATAAAAAGTTTATAGAGAAAACTTTTTGATTGTTTGATTGACCAAATAAATAAAGTGTCGAGGAAAGTGCATAATTGTATGGTTTGAAAAGTTTAATATCACATATGGGATTATGTCAATGTCACAACTTGATTTTTTCTTTCTGCTAAATAATTAAAATGTTTCCTCATGAGATGGATAAGCGAATTAAAATAAATTTGAGAAAAGAAAATAGATAATCGTTTCATAAAAAAAAATAAAAAGAAAGAAAAGTAGAAAAAATCAATAACTTGTCAGCAAAATAAAAACCTTTGTTTTAATGAATTTGTTGTCGAAGTGGGAAGGAAGCGTAGAAAGTGAAGTTGCATATAACAGCAAAAAGCCTTCTGTTCCCTTAATCGCAAATGCTCATGAAACAAATTTTTTTGTGTATGGTTAAATTCTCAATTGCGTGTGTGTAAAGTATCCGCGAGTATGTAGTCGCGCAAACAAATAAAAATGGAATGAAAATAAAAATTAAATGCAGTTTTTGTGTAATGATTCAAGAATAATATCATAGAATTCCATCTCTTTTCCTCGACAATCGACGAAACACAAAGAATTGTGAAAATGAGTTGAATCGGGCGAGATACTCTCAATGTGTGACAGAGAAGAAAACATTTTCTTTAGTTTTTTGACCAGTTTAAGATTAATGAGAACGCGTCTTAATCAATTTCCCTTCAATTAATCACTTCGTAAAGTCGTGTTTTTTAAAACTTAGTTTAAATTCAGTTTTCATTCGTTTTAGATCAACATTTATCATCGTAAACGAGAATCAACTTTACACAATTCCCGTGATTTAATTTAGTTTTAATTTATACACCAAAAAATCAACAAAGTTTAATGAAATGAAAATACATTTAAGCGAACGAAAAAAAAATATAAGTTTATAAAAGAAAAGAAAGATTGTGATACTAAATTTAAATTTTGAACTAAAGTTTGAAAAATATTTTGTTGATTCCAAAAGAAAAAATTAAAACATAAAAATAATTGTGCAGTGATGATTGATGGAAACTGCGTGACGATTTGTTAAAGGATTAAAACTTGAAATAAAAAAGTTTCATCTTTCGTTCAAAGAAAGAAAATAAAAAGTTAACGAACAGAAAGAGAACTTTCAAGGACTGCAGTTCATGGATACAACAGACAAACGTATGTTCACATCTTTATACAAACAACTTTCTTATCATTAGTTGAACAAATACTTTGGATATCTTTGGCATATCATTTTATTTTATTTTATTGATCTCTTTACGCAATTTTTTAAGCAATCGAATTTATTTTTATAGCTTACTGAACTGGAAATTTTTTATCGTTTATTGACCCTTTGAAAAGTTTCCCCTAAATGAAAATTAAAAACAAAATTCATTTCAAACGTCTCCAATTATTGTTTTCCTTGCAGCGTAGCGCGTCAGGGCGTCGACATTTAACCGACAAAATAAAACTTGTACTTCCATATACTCACTCATTACACTGTTATAATACAATCAACGAAAAATCTGCCAAAAAAGAACGGAAAAAATATTTTATTGCAGATTTAAGTCAACGAAAGCGAAACAGAAGAAAAATGTTGATTCACAAAACAGCCGAAAAAATGCTCAGCAAGCAACAGACAGAATTCGTCGGCAAACTTATATCAGTTGATTCACATTTTTTTTCCAGTTCGGCATCCACGAATTCTTGTTGTTGTATTGCGCCGAATTTTTGCTGTTTCACTTTTCTTTTTTTGTTTATTACGATGAATACGCTTCTTTCGGGTAGGTCATGAATGTTGTTTCACGACACGCTGTAGACTGAAAGCGTTTATTTGTTGTTCTTGTTGCAAACTTTTGGTTATTGTGTTGTCTCTGTTTCATGAGAGTTCAGTCAATCCACAGTCTCAATGACAACATATTTAAATGATTGATAGCTTTCGGATATCGATTCTCAAGAAGCCTTTTGCGGGTTGCTTTAATTTTTTTTCCTCGAAATATTTCGAGTGCGACTTTTGCTGTTATTTGAGAACGAGGCTTCAAACATGTGCAATATTTTATTATCGCTTGTGGATTTTTGTTCCTATCCGAAAAACACAACAAAAATACACAAAACTGAAAGAAGTGAATGAACTTTTCGGGCGAATGATGTGTGTTCATGTTAAGTTGCATTCATAAATAATATCATTTTATGCATGTTTTATGCACTTCTGGGCTGTTCCTTCGCTTTCCCCTTTTTTTTGTGGAAAATTAGCAGCGATTATTCGGTGAATAATAAATGTTTAAAAAGATTTGTGGAAGTCTAAAGAATTGAAATTTGAGTTTCCACCTTCTTTCGTTGCGTTGAAAACTGAAAATTTAAAATGTAATATAAGAAAAAAAGAATTATTTGAGAAATATAAGCTCCAAAGCAGTAAGCACACTTCATTTTATTTTTATTGAATTAAATTTTACTTACATTCCACGTTGTAAATCATTCCAAGGTTTCTTTTAAGCACCATAAAAAACTGCATCATCGTCTTATCAAATCATTCTTCCTTATCAATCGCGACATGCGACAACAAGTGCCTTCTTTTTTTTGTGCGCTGCATTGTAAATTAGGGCAAGGAATTAATTTCAATTAAAATGACGATGAAAAATCTATATTCTTTTTGATTTGTCAATTGTCTGAAAATGATAAGAGTTCACCAACACAGGTTTCTATAATTATCAAGAAATGTCTGCTTAACTGAATTCTGCAACTGCAAACCCCAAAAAGCATTAAAAAGCATATGGCGATCAAAAAATCTTAAATTATCACAATATAAAAAATAAAAATAGTCTACAATGTATTTAATATATCTCTGCACATGTGTTGGCAAGAGAATATCCAATTTACTGAAAAGAAATGAAAATACGTAATTCCAAAAAAAAGAACGGCAAAAATGCATTTTTATTGATTAGTGAAACTTCACTTACACGCCAACGCACCCATCCCAATTGAAGATATTTTTCCTTGCTAAAAATACGAATTTTTACGACGAAAAAACATAGGAAAAGCGAAGACTGGGGTTGTTATTTAAATAAAGAAATATTATGTGCATTTCCTTGCTCTTATCGACTCAGTATATTTCCTTCACATTCAAACCCCATCGCCACCTACTAAAAAATTTCTCAGCCATTTTTATGCAATTTTTTCCTAGATGAAGATTTTTTTCGTGTGTTATCTCTTTAGAAAACTTGGTGATTGTGTGTGTGTATGTGCATGATATAAAGGTTTAAAAACTATATAAAAGGATGAAATATTTTTTTAGCCTTTTCAAACACGTATAAGAAATTTAATGCAGTATGGTGTCTATGAAATGAGCTACGTACTTTGGGGAAGAATATTCTTTTCGGTTTAATCGAACGACCATTGTAGATTATTTTTCGATGTAGAAGTTCGGAGAATTTAAAAATGAATGGATAAATTGATTTTCGTAATGATTGTTTGACGTTCATCTATAACTTCATTGGGAGTTCTTAGATTGAAAAAAAGTAATTGGCAACTATTTTATATTTTGAAACTTCATATCCATTTGCAGTTATTCACTTGGAAAATTCTTCTTCATTAACACAATGTAAAAAAACCACTACAAACATTGACTCTTCATTCATTTAATGATAAGAATTTCTCCATTATGAAAAAAAAAACTTAAAATGAAATCAATGATGTCGTTGCACTTTTTCGTTCGAAAAAAAATGTAATTGAAACTTCCCACCACCTCTTTTTCCCTACCTAAGTTCGCTCCATAAACTTTTCATCCATTTTCGGATGTTTGGACAACTAAGGTTCAACAAAAGTTGTTGACTTTGCACTCTGCTGAAAGGTGGTAGGTTGAAGGATCTTCAATTTAAAAATGGTTTTTTTTATGATTCATTGATGGCTTCTGTACAGTTGCAAAACGTTTCAATGACTTGTTCTAGATAATCTTTTTTTCCGCGTATGAAACACCTTTACACTATTTATAATTCATTTAGTCTTTTGTTCTTTTGTCGTTTCTCAGAAGATATTTGTTTTAGAACATATGTTGACAACTAAGCAAATTTTCTTAAATGTAAAAAGTGAGCACACGAATGTAGACAAATCTTCCAGTGCACAAGGAATCCCAGCAACAAGAAAGCAGATATAAAAAGTGTAATAAAAGGTCGTTCCACTTTCGCTTGATTTTGCAAATTTATGAAAATAATTGATGGGTGTTTGATAAATGAGGTCCACTTTATCAGAAAAGTTTCAAAAACTTAAATCATTTGATCTTACAAATTGATTTTAATCTCATTAGACATTTTAATGCAACATATATGGCTTTACATAAAGTTTAAAACATTGTTAGGGTTGAGATGTTAAAACATGTTTGTTGCTATGGTATATGCATTAAGGATAATCACCTTACGCAAAAACCACATATAAACACATATAAACAATTATTGTCTAATTATTGAGGCAAAACATTTAACAACAATCAAAAACTTTCTTATGATTTGGTTGCCATTGATCTCCTTTACGTCATAATAATTCAATTAATTTTAATTCATCCATAAAATTATAATTTATCCTTTGATTTTCTCGTAACACAAACTTTTCTTGTTATTTCATATAATTACATCAATTGATGCATCCCTTGCTGACTTCTATCTGTGAACTTATGATAATGGACATAAACAATCAGGATTAGAACGAGTTGCTGAGGAATTGATGGGACGAAGAAAATGGAAACAGTATCAAGATTCTTTAGCTCAATCAAATGCAACGGGTTTATTAGAGAAACAATCTCCCTCAATTGGTAAGTAAATTTTTAAAGAATAAATAATAAATATGACGTTACTTTTCATTCTCCATAAATCAAAACCTTTTCCTGATATTGTTGTCACCTTGAATCAACTACATAATAAAATTTGGTGCGCATAATCTTATATCTAACAGAATTTTTGTTATCTTTTCATCATACATCAACTAGATTATCAAGAAACAAGTAATAAATTGACAGCAGAAAAAAAAAAGAAAATTGAAATCAAACCGGAAGCAAAGGAAGAAAATAAATTAATGACCATAGAAGAAGACGTCGGCGAAAAATTAGGTTTGACATTCCGTTAAGTTTAAGTAATATCTTCGTTTGTAATCGTTATGTTTTTGATTTAATTTAAAATAGAAAGAGAAATAAAAACGGAAGAGGACTCCGATAATCACATTGACGCAAAAAGTGGACTGTTGGTAACAGAGAACGTCACTTCCCATTCTCCAAAGCCAGTAGATTGGAAGCCACAAGAAAAGTGTTACTTTTGTGTTGACGGAAAACTTTTAAAAGTGAACGAGATAGGCGAGCTTGTCGTTGAGGCAGGTCCGGTACAACCGGAAACTGAACTACTCAACAAACATGTAAGATATTCTAATTAATCGATAAATCGTCGTCATATGAAATTATTAATAATTGCAACATTATATTGCATACACACAGATAATTGAATCAGAAGATTCAAGTTCAAGTTCAGAAACTATACAAAAAACAACAATTCAACAATCATTGCCATCGAATTTCATTCCTAAGAATTTGGAAGCTTTGTTGAAGACAATCGGAGTTGATCCGAATATGACGTCTTTAGAATCTATGGCAGCAGCTGCTCAACTTGCAGCATTCCAACGACTTCAATCAGTTCCCGAACTGAATCAGTTAAATCCATTTTATCCAAGTAAGTATCGCATTGTCTCCTGAAATTTCAGTGGATGTTTTTTAAATATTCATTAAGATTTGTCATGCATTCTTTACTGACATTGTTGCCTTCTACATATTTATTCATTCCTTCCCAGATGTATTTTTCCAACAATTTCAACAACAAATATCTCCAACGACAACACCCGATCGGACATCAAGTCCATCCGTGAAAATACCGACAAATGTTGATCTTCCAATGCCATCGCCGACCAACCAATCGGGTGAGCAACCGCTTGATCTCAGCGCAAAACCTGGTGGATCATCAATGGGTGACTCAAAAAATATTTTCAAGTAAGTTTTTTAAAATTGAGATGAAGAATGAAAATGTCAATAAAATCACTCGGCATACTCATTTCCTTTAATTAAAGTTTAATTCAATTTGATATTCAAACGAACGTTTACATTGCGTAGAAGGCCGTTCGTTGAACTCTCGAAAATATCTTGCAAACTATACTTCACAAGCATGCTCCATTTATTCCCAAATATTGTACAGCTGCTCAAAAAATTGTTTTCAGTATCGTTCGGATACAATTTGAATGTAATCCATCTGTCATTTTTTTTTGTTAATTTTTAATTTTTTAACACTGTGACGATAAAGGGTTTGTGAAAACAGCACATTTTATGTTTTGGTGAAGTTCGCACTGTACGCATAGTGAGAGAAAATAAAGAAGCAGATATTATTTCATTTATACACCCTTTCACACAAAGCTACGCAGTGCAATTATTATTTCTGCCATTAATACACTCATATGGCAAAGTTACATTGAAAAGTTTATTAACCTCTCGAATATCAATGCTTCTTTTGAATGAGAAGTCAAGTTTTTTCTTTCCATTTTTTTATATATATTTTTGAACATGAAGAGAAGAAAAGAATTGCATTTATTTGAGATGAAAAGTGCAACTGCATAGGGTCAATAATATTCATGAGTAAATATACAAAGTTTATAATTTACTAAACGATTTCGCATGTTTACCAAATAATCTCGAAAATTCCTTTTAATCTGCAATGAGTTTCTGTGTGAAAACTTCGAAGTAATATTTAGAGAGTAGATCTGAAGATCTTTGTTATTAAAAGTTGCTTATAATAATGGAAGATTGTCATCTGAAGTTTTAATCTGTCACAATAATGTATCATCTAAATGATGTAACTTCAATGTTGAGTAGGGTCAGTTGGCTTCCGTGATTAATCTCTATGCAATTACAATGAAGAATTTATTTCTTTTATTTAAATTTCTTATTGATTTCCTTCTCAAATGTTAACAATTAATCATCTTCATTGTCGTCTATCAACATTCTTCAATGACATTTTTTCTCTTAATTTATTTTTGTAGAGCAAAGCCACGAATATCAACAGTTCCAGGTCGTCGTTCATACACAGAAGAAGAACTTAACAATGCATTGCAAGACATTCTTAGTGGTAAACTTGGCACGAGACGTGCTGCTGTTTTGTACGGAATTCCAAGATCAACATTACGAAACAAAGTTTACAAATTGGCCATTGAGCAGAAACGTGAACTTTTGGCAAACAATCCACCAATTGCTGTGCTTGAGGGTGACGATGATGACAAAGATTCAGAACAAGAGGAAGACAAAGTTGTCAACAAACAAAATTCAAATGATCAATTGCAAGCATATTTGAAGTTGTTTGAAAATTCGCAACAAATGAAAGTTGAACCAAAATCAAATGCATGGTCAATGGATCCAAATACATTGCTTCAAAGTCTTTTACTGGCAAACGCTAGTGGACTTGGAGGTTTAGGTGGGTTTCCATCATTCTTTCAGTCATCATCGAAAGAAGAACTGCCAGAATTCTTACGTAAACTTTTAACCCAGCCGAAAGAAATGAAAGCAAATGAAAATGATAAAAATGATAACATCACAAATGCTAGCAATGGTATCGCAAGTCCCATCGATCGTTTATCAATGTTGAACTTATTCCAACAACAATACAATCACAAAGCAAACTCATCAGCAACACCCGACATGGATATGGAAGGTAGCGACGACTCTACGATCAATTCTTCAATTCTCAAAGTTCCGTCCGTTAAATCATTGTTTGGACCGGGAGCTTTATCTTCATCATCATCATCATCCGCCCAAAATAAAAACGGTGACGTTTCACACTCTACACCTTCCACTTCGCCACAAATTGCTTCTGTTCTATCTACGAGTCCACATATGCAACCATCTTCAGGCCTTCAACAATCATCATCGATGGCCAGTCATTTGGGATTAAGATCGCCACCAAATCTTAATCGACAGAGAAGCGAAAGCTCATCACCGCCAAGTGCAAAGTTCAACCTTCATGACGTTATTCGTCAGAGTATTAGCAAAAATTTCCAATCGAACCTTATGGAAGATCACAAACATTCCACGCCACTTATGATTGATCCAATGGATCCATTCCAGAATAAACGTCCTAGTATTTCAGTTATCAAGAATCTAGGCGGCACTGATATCTCGCGATTCGGTAGCAATCCAAACATCACACAACTTACGCCCCAACAATTATCACCGAATAATACTGGCACAGGTGGAAAGGGAACAAGACCAAAGCGCGGAAAGTATAGAAATTATGATCGCGATAGTTTGGTTGAAGCTGTGAAAGCAGTTCAACGTGGTGAGATGTCGGTTCATCGTGCTGGAAGTTATTATGGTGTTCCCCATTCAACATTAGAATATAAAGTTAAAGAGCGACACTTGATGAGACCGCGTAAACGAGAACCGAAGCCACAACCACTCGATTCATCAGCATCATCTTCGACTGCCAAAACTGACCTCAGTGGTTTACGTACAATTGATAAAAATAAACCAATACCGACGAGTAAGCCTCCATTGAAGCCACCATATGTGGCAAACAACGGTTTGAAGATGCCGCCATTTTTAGATCCGGCAATGGCTGCACAACTTCAATTGCAATCACAATTGTTTTGGCAACATTCTGGAAATTTCCCATCAATGCCTGGCCTTGATTTCGGTCGAAGTTCGTCTCAAAATTCAGCATCTGGTTTCCCACCAAGTGCTGAGAATTTTTTTGCACAACAAATGATTCAAAAGATTCAAGAAGAACAGCAACAACAATTTAAATCGCCAGTGAATGGAAATCAGAATAATTCCAATGTCAAGACACAACGAGATTCAGAAAATATGTTTGATGCTGGTGGAACTAATGGCTCGTCATTGTTTCTTGATGAAGTTATTCGTCAAAGTCTCGATAAGAAAACAAACGAATTAAATCATGGAACTTTATATGAGCAATTGCTGAAAAATACGAAAAATTCTATGCTTAGTTCGGGTGCATCTGATGATAATGGATACTCTCCTAGATCATCCAAGGCAATGAAAAGATCGGGAAGTCCTTCTGACTATAGTCAACATCCCGAAATTAAAAGAGAGCGTGCGAGTCCGCCACCAAACGATAATGACTCTGATTATTCAATATCAGGTCAAAATCTGGCGTTAAAAGAAGAACTTAACGGTTCAATGAAAAATGATATATCGGATACTAATTCATAATTGATAGCCAAAAAAAATACTAACTTACACGTAATGATATAGCATTTCATGTTAAGAAACAATCTTCTCACGAGAGTCTCAACTGTAACGAGAAGCTTGTGTTAAAAATAAAAAGTGCAAGTTAAAAGATGTATACGTAGTTATGGAAAAAAATAATAAGGAGAAAACCATCAAATGATGTTGCATTGAACTGCATAAATGATTCAAAATATGGCAGAAACATATTTTGATTAATAAAAAAATATACAAAAGTAAGAAAAATAATTAAATCAAACCCTCATGATTAAAATTGTCCATAACGCTTAAATAATAAGAACTTTCCCAATTTTATTAGTTTAAATATCACTGGGTGTGTGTGTATGTGTGAGTGGCATTTACATCAATGCACCGCACTTTAGCTAATGTTTTGCGAATCATAAATAAATGAAAATATTGTTGTAATATTTTTCATCAATAGATTTTCTTTTGACAATCGACATGAAAAAGGCTTTTCCAATTTTACTGATGAAAATAAAATGATGACATCAAAATCGAATTATTTTCTATTAAAAAACTTATTTAAATCACATAATTCTTAATAAAAATTTTAATTTCTTGACGAAAATTGTTAAAGAAATGCATGGAAGAAAAATTCTGCGAAACTCAAAATTAAATAAAATTTAAAATAATCTGAAGCGATTGTGACTCTTTGTCCAATCAGCTCTGATAAATCACTCAAATGTACCAAAAAAAATAAGCATTTTTGACTTATACATATTTCGTGTATAAAATTATATTGATATTTGGTGTTCAAAATTAAGTATAAAAATAACAAAAAATTACTGTTTGTAATCGATGTATACATTCCGCGAAAATATTCAGAAATAACTGCATTTGAAGACCACTTTTGGACCTTTGATTACTTCAGGATCTTTCTAATGCATTTTCTTTGGAAGAAAACTTTTCTTCTAATCACATTTCCCTTTGAATTCTTTTCAATTTACATAGTTTCCAGCATGCATAAACACTTTAAAAGAAATCAACAAGACTTGACATGAAAGAAATCTAAAGCGAGATAAACAATAACTCATCATTGATAAATGCTAAAAGCTGAAATCTGATAACGTTGGTTACATATAGCGGTCGAGAACAATAAAATGTTTACGAAAAATAAATAATTCACAAAAATAAAACAAAGATTGATGATGATACTTTTGATATACAACATATTTTTATGAAAGACTTTTTACAACGTTTAAATCATGAGGAAAAGAATTCGGATTAAACAGAATTTAAAATTTAAAAAAATAAAAAACATAAAATTCAAAAGTAATGTTATTTAGGAGAAAAAAAATCAAACATCTTTAAATCGATTTATGCTATTGACGGTGAACTATATTTTAAAGAAAGCAAAAAAATGAAATTATTTATATACACATATTATATATACATAATGAAAAATGGAAAGAATATATGTGTGTGTCTTCACGTGTTGCATAATACCTCAAAAACTTTAAACAAAAGGTAAATTATGATTTGTTTCGGCATTTATTTAATTCCTGTCGAAATTTTCTCTATGAAATATCAAAACCAAAGTAAAGTTCATTTTAAATCTACATACGGTTGAAGCTGAAGCAAATTCGTGTATGACTTAAATTTTTAATTAAATTTCGTCATTTACGGAACTTTGCCATGCAGATCCATTAAAAAAATTGTATACCTATTTTAAAATCAATCTATCCAAATGAAAAAAGGAATCACTTTCGATAAAGAAAAAAAAATCATACTACCTAGAACATATATTTTCGATGTTTTCAAATCATAAATAAAAATAATTGTCTGGAGGAATTTATGGAATATATAAAAACAAAAATATTTTGCTTACGGGAGATTTTTCCCAATAACTTTTCGAGATTATAAAAATTATACTTGTGAAATCAAATGAAAAAAATAATCGAGTTTTTGGCTATACTATGATGATATGAAAAGGACTTATTGATAACATAAAACATACCTTTTTGTATAAATTTTGTTTTCGGGTCATTTATCCCAATTTAAATATTGTCTTTTGTAAACACGTGGCACTGTCTGTGATTTATCATAAAGAAAATATGTAAGAACCATTGAATCGTTTCAAGCACATTGAACATGCGCCTCTTAAAGTGTTTTGAGTTTATGCAATCTTTACGTTCTGAAGTTAAAAATAAGAAAAGGAAAGTATGGAAAGTTCATGAAAATTAAGAAAAGCCACATTTTATTATAAAAAGAACGAGAGAAAACAAGAAAAATCAAAAATACATTCTAGTAAAATTTAAACAATTTTTAAATGATCAAGAAAATATTTAAAAGAAAATAAACGTGAAAACTAAGTGCAATTAGAATGATGAGAAAAATAAAACCATATTGAATGAAAAATATTATGTGTAATAAGGATATTCAAATGACAAACCTTATAATCAAATTATCATCTTGCGAAAAAGAAAAATTCAAAAGCTTTGTAAAGAAATAATTCAGATTTCAAGATTCAAGTGTTTGAGCCGTATAAAAATTAAAAAAATAGTTATTTGAAGTATGTATATTTTAGCTTAAATAATTTCTATAAATAACGAACCTTAGCTGAAGAATTTTGATCATCATTGATACCAGATCGCGTTGAAATTTTCATTCTACCCCGGGATTCAAATTATTGTCTAAGAAGAGTTTCTCCTGAATCTTTTTAATGAGGTTTGAATAAATAATAGTTTGATTGTAAAAAAAAAGAAAATAAATTATTTGAAGAAAGTGGAGAGAAATAAGATTGATAAATCTAGGAAATCTACAACATCTATCTGAAATACTCTTCATAATCCAATACAAAAAAAATTCAATTGAATTGAGTGAAGTAAAATATAGGAATTAGGCTCTCACTTTCCTTTTTTATTCGTAAAACAAGTGCAATAAATTCTGTTTAAATTTAAAGTTTTTTTTCTATGAAAACTGGCACATAAGGTATCAAAAAGTTTCCCTTGAACATATCCAAATTACATAATATTGTCTAACAAACACGACAAATTAAATCAGATACACATAATACGTCAAATGAATCGTCAACATCTTGAAAAGCAGTTGATAACAACTTTTAACTGCTTAAAAATGCAACAATTAAAAACATCATAAATTTTCGTAAAACATTTATAAATATCAACAACACGCAAAACCACAACCTCCCCTAACTGAATCTATGCCTACAGTCGATAGTAACTGCAACCAATCATCATACTTACAATGCAACAGATAAGATACAGTAATCAGTGAAGATCTCACGTTTTATGCTGTAAAATTAAAATTTAATTAATCGTTTGATTATTCACATAAAAAGTTAAATTCATACAGATTAAACAATAGAAATACAATAAACCAACCATAATGTAAATAATAGAAAATGATCCCCTTACAAGCACTCAACATAACAAGCTTTCACAGTTTTTAAGAAAAGCATACACATAAAAATTAGCAGACAGTTTCTAGAATTGTATAATAAAGATCGTTTGAGCTTTTCGCGTATGAGATTAAATATCTAGTAGTCAAAGGCGTGAAATAATCGTAATCATGCAAAGCTTAACTACTACGATTATGTGTAATCAATTTATCATAAAAATGTTGAAAACATTTCTTTCTTTTTTTCCTTTTTAATGAGCGCACCTGTCGCCCTTTTTGATTTTTTATGTGCTGAGAAATTGGCAATATCTTTATTATTCTACTATTATTATTTTTTATTTTACTCACGTTAATGCTTTCAAAGTATCAATAATATTTAAGTTTTGTTTTGTTTGAATATTTCAAGAAATACTTAGAACATTTTCATGATACAAACACTTTGTTGAAAACTTTTCCTTTAATACTTGACAAATATTTTAAAAGCCATTGAAAACTTTCGAGAAAAATAAAAAAAATCACTGTCCTGACAATCTTTCAATAACACTAAAGAAAACTATTTCGGAAATAATAAGAAAAAACTATTTACCAAGTTATTTTAAGAACGAAATTGAAAATTGATGAAAAGTAAAGCTTCTTAATCAATTTTAAGAATATTTTTTGAAAAGGATCTTGAAATGTAAAGACTATTTCTTACCCCTATCCTGAACTTTCGGCTTTAAAACTACATCACAAATATCATTAGATAACAGCAGTCAAAATGCAGTTTATTTTTGGCTATGATGAAAAGCGTTTCGCTTTTATAAATATCGAATCAATCCACCATAACATGTGCCACAAAATCATTTAATTATTTTACTTAGAGAACTCAAAACCTTCTTATAAAAGTCATGCAAAAGAACCAGAAAATTAATAACATTTAGGATTCATTTCAAAAACTTTTTTTATTTTCAAAGGATAAAGTTTTAATTGAGATACTTTAAACACTTTGATACCTTTGAAAATGCTTTGGTGGATTATGAAAACCTTTAAAACTTTAGAGGCGATGTTGGATTCACGACCTAACGCAAAAGATTTGATCATTTGCGATATTCTCTTATTGCCTTAATGCATTTAAATATATCATTGAGAATGGATGGAAGCTAAAAGATTGAATTAAAACGGATAAAAATCTTTAAATATATTTAATGTCCAACGGCTAAAATATCACAGGAAGTAAAAATTACATGTCGAATAATTACTTAATCATTATAAACATGAGCATTATCCACTATTCGTCGCTTTCCAATATGATTATCTTTTCATACTACTCATCTAAATTTAACTGATAAATGAAAATGAAAATTAGAAATCTACTTATTTTATGGAAACTATGAGAAGCTATTTCATTTCGGAAATGTTACCACTTTTAACTAAAGGTGTTCATTAATATCAAATCAAATGTTGTGTGTCACTCACTCTTCATCAGTTCATAGACATTTGATGTAGATACCAAAATTTATTTATTATTTTTTGAATTTCCAAAAGAACGGAGGTCGATTCAAAAATTGTAATTCGACTGTGTTATTGAATTTTAAAACAATTTTTCTTTCTTTTTTGGAGAAACTAAAAAAACGTGATATTTTTTCCTTTTAAATTGATTTCAAATTGGCTGATGAAATCAAGTAAAAGTATAAATTGAAATTGTGTTCCTTGTTATTAGAAACGATTTTAGATGAAGCTAAATTAAATAATAAAAAATATGGTGCTTGAGAATCTAAAATAAATATTTCGTAAATGTTGAAATGAAATTCGTAAATATGTTTCAAAGAAAATGACTGAGAGTTAAATAAGAAAAATGTCTAATTATAAAATTAATTTTCCTTAACTTCTTTTCTTTTATTATTTCTCTTTCCTTTTTATTTCTCTTAACAATTCAATATCCGTCAAATAAGATCAAACTCAAACACAGCCTATAATAGACAACCAAAATAATACAATATTAATATCAATAGCAAGTACAAATTGATGAAACAGCAAAAACAGAAAGGGTCAAACATGAAAGAGAATAATGAAATATAAGAAAGAAAAAAGTTTTCCTTAAAAAATCACAATAGAAAAATCACATTTAAAAGTTGACACTTAATGTGTCAATTCATGAATTCAATTCATTCAATGAAATCAAACTGCATTTAAACTTGCCATGAAAATATTTTTTTCCCAATTTATAATTCAACATATTAAATTAGGTATTCGCGATGAAAACATTCCGACTATCATTAATTGCAGTCCAATCCTATCAACTCAGTCAGATTCTTTAAAATCAGTCAATCGCAATTTTTTTACGTAATTTTTTTTTCTAGTTCAAGCTAACAATATAAAAATAATAAAAACTCAAATACGATCAACGAGAGTTTTGTCTTAGTTTTAATTGCGTAAGTTCTTTATATCTTCTAGCATTACTTAATTAGAGGCTTTAAATTTATACTTTTTTGTTTGATTAAGATTGCGAATTCCTACTTTGGCCTTTTTTCATCTCGTTTAAGTTCAAAAGAAAGCTTCTTTTAGGGAAGAAGAGTAAAAGCAGGAACCACGAGGTGGCCAGATTATTAAGCTTGTTATTTTTGCTTTAATAAATATTATTCGTATCTTCTTAGATATCTTTAAATATTATTTTATTTAGTTTAGTTAAGTTTGTACGACTATTTCTTAAAATATATGTTAGCATAAAAGATTTTTAGAGAAAAAAAAATGATAAACATTGGACGAGAAAATCACCAAGAATTTTAGTAAATTCTTTAATTCATTGATAACATAGCGAATGATTTCAATTTTAGTGAAATTCATCGCTGATTTATAGACATTACGACTTTAAAATTAGTGAAATAAGTGCTTTATATAAGCTGGAATGAAAACTCGTTAATTGTTGATTTTGATAGGAACATATTCTTCAAATCATAATTTCTTCTCATTTTTACTTGTAGCATGAGTGTTTAAAGCTTCTTTAAGAATCAAGAATTGAAAATCCTCCCACACCATTCCGAATCAATCGATAACAGAGTTGGGATTTGACTGACTGACTGACAGACATTGACTTGTCAGTCTGTCAGTCAAACGACTTGAGCGGAACATTTATATGAACGTGTCCCAACAAACGAATATTTTTGTTCGCGATTTTGACTGACTGACTGACTGACTGACAGACATTGACATGTCAGTCAGTCAGTCAATCGAGTTGAACGGAACATTTGCCCATCTCTGATCGATAATGTCACTTCACTCTCCTTTTTTTATTTGATTAAACTCTTTGGGACCAAACCAAAAACTGTAAACAGAGACTTTAGATCTTGTATTTAGGAACATAAAATTGAAAAAAGAAAGCACTTTTTATTTACAAATTATGTATCTCTCTCATATTTCATATCATCCCCTCAAATGTTATCTATCTAAATCTATTTCAATGTTTCCTCAAAACAAGAACAGATTCTAATGAGAAACTTCATTCCATTCTCGAAGTAACTACCAAAAGTGTCGGTAGTTAAGCTCGAGGATAAGCTGACAGTTATTGTTTAGAAGATATTTACTTCTACACAGCATTGTAAATATTCAATCGTCTCAACAATTGTAATTTTGAGTATTTTGTACCGATGAAGAAAAAACAATGAAAATGAAAAAAAAATAAATTCGCATATTTTGAATGCCTTTGTTGTATGAAAAACTTAAAAATTTTAGATGTTTAAACTATTTGATTATCATGAATTAACATTAAATGATGGTTGCACACTTTTTTATAAAAGAAAAGAATTCGTGATCAAGCAAGACCATCATAATCCATCTGTAATCATTTTATGTTGAATTGAAGACAAAGTCTTCAAGTAATCAGAAGAAATAGACAAGAGTTGCCTAGGCAATCGAACTTGGATGAAATAATTTTTATTTGTACTTAAATATAAGAATTTTTTCTCCCTCATAAGTTTTCGAGCAGAAATAAAATTGAAGTAACACATTGCATAATTAAAAATACATTTCTTGAGTTGACATAATTCCAATCCAACAATTGAGACATTAATGTATAAAAAATCATAAGAATGAAGGAGAAGGATGAAAAAATATAACAAAATATTTATAATGTGAACTTTTTTTCGGATAAAATATATTTAACCATTTAGTATTTGTTAAAGAAAAGTATCAATGAAAATAAAGAAACATAAAAAAGTAAAAAGACAAACTTTTTCTTCTGTTTCCACTTCCTGTTTAATTTCAGCTAATATTTATGTTTATCGTTGTTAGTTCTACTTGTTGAAAATTTAATTTCTTAATTTAAAAACAAAACTTACCCAAAAGACTTGAAATATTTAAATAGCACTTAGATATTGAAAACTTTTCATGAGTTATCCGATAATGTTTATTTTTCAAATATTTACTTCTCTAAACTTTCCCTTTCATACTATGTTGTTCCATTCTCCCAAACCGCATCACATGAAAATTTCCAGGAAAGTTTATTAAGTAAAAAGTATTAAAACATCAAATATTTGAGAGTTACATTTCACTATCTTGCAGCTTTTGACAGTCGAAGATAAAAACATTTCAATCTTTGGTAATTTCTCTAAAATTTTATATTTTTTCATTATTAAAAATTATTATTGTTTGTGTAATTAAACTACATTCCCAGGCATAGATCTAAATGTTGATTGATTTCTCCAGTTGCTACAGAAATATTGCAGACTGGACAGGAACAAATTTCAATTGGAATAATTTCATCTTCTTTTTCTTGAACTGGCTTAGGAAAGTTATCATTGAACTCATCATCGATAAAAATGACATCATCGTCAAATTCAGCCTTCATAGAATCATGAAGTGATGTATAATCCGTGTCTGTAGTGATCTGAATATGAATAACGCCATCACTAGGATCAAAGAGTTTTCTTTTCTTAGGTTGGCTTTCAGTCTTATCACTGTCTTTAGTATCAAAATAATCCAACAGTCGGCTTCGTCCAGAGTTCTTACCACCTAAAGTAATTCCTGAACTACTTTTTTCCCGAGCTTTTGATGTTGATGGAAGATTTGTACCAACTTCAACTCCTTTGCTTGTTGGTTGTTTATCGTCTGTTCCATTTGGCTTAAAAAATTTTCGAATGTCTAATCCAGGTGAAGTAGTCATCTTTTTCTCTGCAATGCTTTTTTTCTCTTTCTTTTTGTTTTCTTTACCTTTGACTAGCTTTTCAGGCTCTTTTACTTTAATAAATTTACCACCACAAGAACTTTCATGTTGTTTCCACCAAAAATCATTCGGTCCAGGAGTACGATTGCTTACTCTCTTTACAAATCCATAATAAGGCGATCGATTTTTGCAAACTCCATCACATCGCCACCAATGTTTTTTATATAAGTTAACTTCATCATGAAATGTATGATAAACAGAAATGTTTGTTCCAGCTTGTCGATTTATTTCGTGCATTTTGCTTAAAAAGTTCTTTCCATGTCCACCATTCTCTTCTAGAATACCGCGAATGAAATTCCAAGCGTGAATCATTTCATGGAGAAGTGTTTCTACGAGATCTTTACGTGATCGAAGTTTCAGCAATGGCTCACTTAAACGAATAACACAAGCCATCCCCATTTGATTCCTACGCGAATAACAAATTCCAGCGCATTGGTACATTTTCGTTGACCATTCAACTTCAACACATGACAAGCGACCAGCAAAAAATTTATTATTGAATGTACTGAACATTGAAAATATATTTGGCGTTGGATCTAAAGTTTCCCTGCGATTTAAATAAAAACTTTTTGATTGTTTATTTATTATTATTTCACAATTATTTCTTTACCATTGAGGATCAACCAGATTTTGTGTAGAGTTTAGATCGAAATTAGTTTTAGATGGTTTTGGAGGAAGTTTTTTGAAAGTTGTCATTATCCTAACAAATAAAGTGTAAAGAAAAACGAAAATTGAAGAAATTTTGCGCTAAATGTTGATTTCAGTCAAACATTTGAACTTAGAGAGGTGAATGAATTCTATGGTGATTTAAGCAGGTTACACGGTTTCTATTTACATTCGCCCGCAACTTTCTTTCTTTAGCAAAAAAAGAAAATAACTTTGAATCAGCTAAAATAAGTAGATATTGTTAAAGTACAAAACTTATTTGCTTTCTTTGATTTGTGAAGTTTAGTGTTTCTTCGTTATTGTTAAATTAACTACCTCAAATGGATAGTACACAACTGTCGGTTACTTGCATCGCCCCTGTTAATATTGCTGTAATTAAATATTGTAAGTTTAATATAGATTTTTTTGTGTTCCATTGCAATTATATCTACAAACTATTATTAGGGGGGAAACGTAATGAGTCCTTAATTTTACCTATTAACGATTCTTTGAGCGTGACACTTTCTACTGCTGACGTAAGTTAAAAATTTCACTGATAGCTGTCGCATCGACTAATTTGCATAATTTTTTTCATTTTCTCGTTGTAGCTTTGCAGTAAAACTAAGATTATCGCTGATGCAAAGTTCACTGATAATGTCATGATATTGAATGGAAAGGAGGAAAACTTTGAAAATGAGCGCATTCAGCGTTGTGTTAAGGAGATTAAAGCAAGGGCAGCCGAATTGGGGTCGTGTCCAAAGGAACTCCTTGAATGGAAGATTCATATTGAGTCTGAAAATAATTTCCCGACTGCTGCTGGTTTAGCGTCATCAGCATCTGGATATGCTTGCCTTGTTTATTCATTAGCTCAACTTTATGACTTAAAGAAACAAGAAATTTCCGACATTGCAAGAATGGGATCTGGTTCTGCTTGTCGCAGTATTTATGGTGGTTTTGTTCAATGGCAGAAAGGAATTCAATTGGATGGCAAAGATTCTATTGCTTTTCAAGTTGCTCCAGGTTTCTTTTTTATATTATTAAATTATTTTATTATTTAATCCAAAATCTTAATTCAGCTTCTCACTGGCCTGACTTGCATGTTCTTATTTTGGTTGTAAACGACAGCAAAAAGAAAATTGGGTCAACATCTGGAATGGCAAGGAGTGTTGTCACGTCAGAACTTATTAAGTATCGTGTTGAAAAATGTGTTCCACAGAGAATTCATTCAATGACTCAAGCGATTAAAGATCGAGACTTCTCAAAATTTGCTGAAGTGACAATGAAAGGTGAAAATTGTTTATCAAAATTCTTGTATCTATAAATAAACAAATTTAATTTCAGATTCTAATCAATTTCATGCCATTTGTTTGGACACTTTTCCACCATGTGTTTACATGAATGACGTTTCACATGAGATTGTTAATTATATTCACGAATTCAATCGCACAGAAGGTGAAACAAAAGTTGCATACACTTTTGATGCCGGACCCAATGCGTGTTTATATTTGCTTGAAAAAAATGTGAAACGAGTTCTTTCGTTTGTCAATCACATTTTCCCCAATGACAATCAAAAATCTGCTGAGTATGTTCGCGGTATTCCAGTGGAATATGAAAGCGAAGTAAGATTGAAATTATTAAGATAGATTTATATCAAAATAATTTATAATTTATCTTCCAGGACGTCAATGAATTTCAAAATTATCCCCAGTACGAAAAAAATACTTTGAAATACATAATCCACACAAAAGTTGGCGAAGGTCCATCACGTGTAGATTGAAATTCTCTCTACTAACTTTTAATACTCATCTGGAACGAACAAAAAATTTGCAAGCACTTAGGCCAATCTTGAACTCAAACTTTATTTTCATATCATCACTGACTGCATTTCTTCACTTTATTTTATTTTATTTTTTAAAAGGGTTCACTGGAGACAGTAATGGTTGTATTTATAATATAATTATCAGAATGATAGTATTTCTTAAAAATCTGTGTAATCTCTGGAAAAGGGCAATCAAAATTATATTTATTTGTCTATCTCTTATTTTATTATCTCAATAAAAGGACTAATTAGATCAATGATCTTAAATCTCTGTTTGCTCATTGCATTTGGAAGCCACATTTGCTGTCATGAAATGAACATTATGTGAAAAATATTATATATCTAAGAATTATTAGCAAAAAAAACAAATTTCAATTATCAACAGAAGCAATTGAAAGCTCGAAAAGCATGAACATTTTGAGCTTTCGGAAAACTTTAAATAAACTTCTCAAAAGTGACTTTCAGAAATGGAAAAGAGTCAAAATATATTATTTTCAACATATTTTCTTGGTCATTTATCTCTTTGTAGTTACATGCTGATGCGTGAGACGTGGCACTGGCATCCAATGGAACGTCCATCTTTTTCCGAGATTGTTGAAAATTTAGATAAAATTTTAAGCATAACTGCAAATGAAGAATACTTAGACTTAGGTTTACCACAACTTGAAACTCCGCCAAGCTCAAGTGATGAGTCTGGCGATAACAAAGATGAGTTTCCTTATCTTTTGTAATTTTCATGCATCAAACAGTGAAATTAATGTTGTAGAAACGGCATCCGTGGTGTTTAAGCAAACAGAACAAAAATGAATAGTCTTGTATGAAAATTGAATCAGAAATTAAACTTTTTAAGAAAACTCATCTTTCGTCAAAACACGATTTTAGATTTGGAGGCAATAGAAACAACTTGAAATGGAAGAAAGTTGACAATTTTCATTTCTTCTCAACATTCATTGACAATGCAAATTTCATGACATATCATCTTGACATTAATATCTTTCGATTATTTTGAAACTTTATCATTGATAAAGATGGAAAGTTTCACAAAAAGCTTAAATTTTTTAAATAAAAGGAAGAGTTTTTGCACAACTGGCATCATTGTCTTCAGTTCATCATAGAATTCACTTGACTTCAAGATGAAAGGTTTAACAATTTTGTTGTTCGCAACTGTCATTGCTTCTAGTGGTAATTCATATTTAATTTTAATTTTCTTAACAATTCTTAATTTTTTTTTATTTCCATAAAGATGCTGCTCAGAAGTGTGAAGAAGTTACAGATCCGTGCGCTTCTGTTAGGGCAGATGCAGCTCCCATTTACGAGAATGCAAATAATGTTTTCAAAGAGGTTGATGACAGATGTACACCACTTTTTGAAGCTGTAGAACCGAGACCAGCATCGGATGAACTCACCGCAGAACTCAGCCAAATTTTATTGCAATGCTCACGTGATATGGAAGATGACTATATAAATGCCTTTACAGGCCTTGGAGAACTCTTGGGAATAGACCCTCCTCAACTTTATTTGCTTATGTTTTTAAATAATGAAAGGGAAGGTTTGAGCGTTTGTCATCATCATCATCATCATCATCAAGTCTCGGACGAGTTTCTCCTTATGAGAGACTCCACATGATTGCGTTAGCAATCATGTTGCATTGGACATTATGGTTGATAACAGTTAAACTGCTACAACCGCCCGTTATGCGTCCACTTAATGTCTAACAGAAGATGACATTAAGCTGAAGGAAGTAGCCTTTGTCTCTCTTTTTCAGTTAATTTTTTTTTTTTTTTTATATCTGATAGCCTTTTGTCCTTTGTTTGTGCCTGAAGCATTTCTGCCACAGGCGAGAGATGATTGAATTTGTCAATGACAAAGACAACCAACTCCCAGAGTTTCATTTGTAGTGCGGTAAACCCATGGGAACGGCCGCATTGCAAGTGTTCCATTTTCAGCAGCGTTCTTAGTCTTTTGCATTCTCATTGCTCGCCTTGATACGAATATCAATTTGATGCAAAGGAATTTCAAGACCAGCCGACTGCTTAGATGAAACACTCGCTTCGGGCCGAAATATCTAAATTTCACCTTACCTCATTGACACCGGGAATCGAAACGGGGACCTTAGAATTAGGTTCCCGACACAACCACCCTGAGCCAATGAAGCCAAATGAGCCCTTTTGAGCGTTTGTCTTGCTGAAACTGATAGCGCGTTCAACGCAAACTATGCAAGCATTTCGGACAATTGGCTTGTTATTGCTGATTCCAAAAGATTGTAAGTGATTCAATGAAAATTATATTAAAGTTTTGATCATTATAAAGAAAAAAGTCACTTTTTGAATAAAAAATACAAAGGAGAAGGAAAACAAATATATTATTAAGATATGGATGAATTATTCTTTATCTATGTATTGGTTAATAAATAGGTAGATATTCAATATCGATAAGTGCTCTTAAAGTCAAACTTGAACTGAAAGTAATAACGTCGATTAGCACTTGAACAAACAGAAAGTGACATCTTATATTTCTGCAATGGCAAAATAGTATCTACATAATTCTTTTGCATGACAATTGACTTTTAAGGTTTTCAGTTACTCATATGGATCTAAGGTAGGCTTGGATGTCGTCAATAGACTTTCTTTTCATATTGATGTAGATATTTAAACATATTAATAAGAATAATAGGTACATACAGTAAGAACAAATATTGTTCATAGCTGCGTTTGCTTTCATTTTTCATTTTTGACGGCTGATAAAAAGGAAACAAGAAAAAGTGGAAAAAAATTTGTAGGTACAAAATGATCTTTAATTAAGGCACTACAACTTTGCAAACTGCTAAATAAAATTTTGTTTATTTATAGTTATATCTCAATTAGGTATATTCTTTTTTTACATGTGTCTTCAATCAGTCACAACTCAAAATATTGCAGAAAATTTATAAGTTAATATCAAAAGATTGAAAACTGAGAATAATCTAACAAAGGTAGGCAATAAATATCGAAGGAATAATTTTAGTTAGCACAAATTATTAACGGTTATTTAATTTAAAATCTTATTGTTAAAGTTTTATAACAGTTTTCATGTGTTATAATTCTTATCTTACTTGAATAAATCAAAATCAAAACAAAAACATTGAATTTTGGATGCTTATTTTTCACTTTATAAAATCTCACGTTATATTGTATGAAATATGGTTTATTCAAGTTGGTGCAGGCTTTGTGGAAGCACTTTAGGTAGTTTTGAGATATCCGGTAACATGGAACAAATCATAGACGATGTTTTAAAGGTGAATTGTGAAAATTTGTTATTAATGTTTTTATTCTTACTTAATGTTTCTTTATCGGTTTAAAGTTGAAACTACCACACTTGCTGATTTGCTTAGATTGTGTAAGCTTTCTCAACAATTTAAGTATATTTAAGACGAAAGCCCAAATGTTACAAAGTATGTTTAAGGAGCTTCGTGATTGTTCCGATCTTCATGCTACTGAATTATCGGAAAACGAGCTGAACATTTACAGATCTCGCTTTGGTCTTGAAAAAATAACTCAAAACAATATCGTTAAAGAAGAATATATTGAAGAAAACAATGAAATGGATCATTTATATCAGAGTGAATCAGTGAATCAAAGACATCCTAAACGAAAACATGAAGAAATTGATTTTGAAAAGTTTAATGAGTTCAAATGTCATGTCTGCAATGAAAACTTCAACAAAGCACAATTTCTTACTGTTCATTGTCGTATTGTCCATCTGACAAATCCACAATTTTCATGTTTTTGTGGAGAAAATTTCAGTTCTTGGAATAGTTTGATGACACACAAGTCAAAGCATATTAAAGATCAGAATGAAATAAGTGTTTCGGATGGTAACACAGATGATCCTTTACAACCACAAAATAGATTCATACATAGGGAAGAGAATTTTCAAGACGATCAAGCGAGTGATGAATCAGAATTCGATTCATCGAATGATTCGAAAAGCATCGCACAATCTGATGGTTTGTTCATCTTATTCGTATTTTATTTAATTAATAAAACATATCTTTGATTATTTAATTATTTAATATAGGATCATGTCGAAAGAGAAAAGCATATTCAGTTATGTATAAAGCAAATGTTCTCAAAGATTATTCAGCAGGAATAAAAGGAAAAGGTCTCAGAGCGCTTGCAATTAAACATAATGTAAGATTATCAACAATTCGAGGCTGGGTGAAAGAAAAAGAAAGAATAATATTTCAAAATAATCGCGGAGGAAATTCGAATTGCTTACGCAAAAAAATTGGCAGTGGTAGAAAAGCAAAGTGGCCTGAACTTGAAAGTTTACTTTATGATTGGTATTCGGAACTTAATCAGCTTAATATTCAAATTCTTCCCCGACATTTCAAACTCAAAGCAAAAGAAATTGCAAATGAACTCAACCTCGAGAACTTTACTGCATCAGACAAATGGTTGTCATCGTTTAAAATTCGATTGAGAAAGGTCAATTGTAAGTAACAAAACTTCTCATGTTCTGCCCGAAAATTCTTCAGAAAGAGTCAAACAATTTATAAGACAAATTCGTGAAACGATAAAAGAAAAGGAAATTAAGTTATCGAATGTTCACAATATGGATCAAGTTTCGCGTTATTATGGATGTGATGATCGTAAAATGAATAAGTCATATAAGAAATTTACAGTTTCTTTCACAATATCAGCAGATGGAAGCATTCTGACACCTCATTGTCTGTTCCCGAAGCTTCATAAAAAATCAGATATGAATCCAAATATTTTCGTAACTCATAGCAACACTGGAATGTGGAGTGAAGCAATATTTGATGAATTTATAGAAGAAATTATTATGAAACGTCCTGCAACAAGACTAAACTCTGAACCTGTACTTCTTATAATTGATAGCTTTGGATGTCATGTCAAAAGCACAACATTTATATTCATGTTATTCCACCAAAACTTCCAAATATTTGTCAACCACTTAACGTCTCACACATAAATTCATTCCATGAAATGTATTTCAATCTGTACAATGAATATTTGGCTGAAGCAAGTTTATCCTCGATTGAGGTGGAAAATTGTTTGAAACGATTGAGTGCAATTAAATCTCCAAGTCATGAAATGGCCTCAAACTGGGTATGGGAATGGACACAACAAATTTCTGCTGAAATCATCAAGGAATGTTTTGAAATGTGTGGCATTGGTTTGGGTAAAATCGATCATAACTCTCTCAGTCAGCCTCTTAAAGAGTTATTTGAGATTGATGGAGTTGATTGGGAAGTGAATTATTCTGATCTCGTTACAAAGAATGAAATGGAATCAGTTGATGATTTGTTTTGTCCCGAAAATTCAACTGCAACATTCTATAGATGTTTCCATTATGCTGCGAAAATCGAAATAGATTTTGATTCTTGGTTTGACAATATAATTGGCAATGTGATTAGTTTTTGCTGTGAAGAATGGTCAGATGTCTTTAGTTTACCTGATTGGGATGAAATGAAAACAGGAAAAATCGTCACTGGAGCCGAAATTTATGCAATATCGAAAATGGCGAACAAGAATATTGTTGTTAAAAGTTTTGATTCGTCCAACTACATAAACAGTGAAAAGAGATTCAAAGGAATGGATTCTGATGAGATGATAACTTTTTTCAGGCACGATGATTTCGATCAATTTTATACTAAAATTGTGTAATATTTACGACAAGTTTATGAATAAAAAATTGTTTTTGTTCCTTGTCATTTGATGAAACAAGTTCAAATTAAAAACTTTTAAATTATACAGATGTATCCAAAAATTGACGTCAATTGCATTTTCTTATGAGAAGAATAAATTTTTCCACGACTAAACTATTCCAAATCCAGAAAATTGCGAAAAAATTGTTCCCAAAAAAGAATTGCGGATTTTTTTGAAATTCTTACCGTTAAAAATGTGAAGGTAAGAATTTAATTTTA